AAATGTATCTACAAAATCCGGAATTAATCGCTCTTTAATAACCCGCAAAAAAAAATCACAAAGAAACACGTATTTTTCATGCCTACAAGGTAGAATGGCCCCTTAAGTCGTTTTCGAGAATTTTTTGCGGGAAAACTGTAAGACTTTTCTTACATAATTTTTGGTACACGTATTCAGTACTATTTTATGTATACATATTATTTTTTTCAACTGAAGATAATGAGAATTACGCACGGTACGTTTGATTGAGTATGGGTGTACGAAAACAAAGTAGTATAATAAAAAATACAAAATCTTGATTAATTTAAATATGACTGTCGTATAAACCATATCAATAACACAAAGCGAAAAAAAGCTGAAATTTTGAAATTTAATTCCCACGCTACATTTTCTTTCGTCATACGTCATTTTTAATCCCCCGTAAGCACAGTGGATATTTCATTATTAAAATGAAACGTGAAACGTGAAAACGTGCTCCTCGAAAAATACACCGGTCCAATAATCTATATATATAAAAATAAGTTGTCCTATGTTCGTGATTCTATAACTCGAGAACCACTCAACCGATTTTCAAACGAGTACATGCGTTGGAAAGGTCTACTTTCACTGATGGTTTATAAAAAAAAAACATCGAAAAATTTCTACGAATATGCGTTATACGCGCACTTTTATGATGGTGTGTTTTCCCTATATAAAATGTATTTTTTTTCTTATGCGAATTACATTTTGTCGGTATAAGGCTCTGCTTCCTCGCGTCATTTGACTTATTTAATTTCTGTGTGTTTATTGATTGTCATTTCAGTTTACAGTGCGAGCATTGACATTTGTAATCTTTCACTTATTTTCACATTTCTAATCTTTCATTGACATTTTGTATGTTATTGTATTGTCCAGCAACGCGGGCAGGGTTACTCTAGTAGACTATATATCTGTTGACTTCTGAATGATAATCGACGTTTGAGAATCGTATTTGACAAGTAATTTCAATATCTATTCGATGCTTCAACATAATTCTCGATAATTGGCATATGTCGATATCAACGAATGTATCGTCGGATCCATCCTATTATTAGTCCGAGTGTATCGCGTTGCTCCAACTGACGAATGAAAATAAATGATCGCTAACAATAGCATGATTGATTAAATCTAGATTCACGGAAATGTACAGCTAAAAAAGGGAAAACGGTTAACAGATTTTAGACAGTATCAAAGCTACTCTCGTTTCAGGACAGTACTTTTACGGTGTGCCTGGCGTGTGTGTTTTATATATCACCGCCGTAATATAATCGGGTCAACGCGTGATAATGCCGTGAAAAACGACGGAAAAATAGCGAAAGGTTTCGACGGCGGAATATCAATGCTCTACGCCAGTCAAAGGTAAAAGGTATGAAACCGAGCGCTTGTTAAAATGCAAAATATCTACGCGTGTGACGAAAAAGGGGACACAGATGCCTGGAAAACGACTCTTTGGTCGCGAAATATTAACGAGAACAGTAATCCAGAGCTTACGCTTAAGCTTAAACTCGAAAGTTGCTCTCTCAATCTCGCGCCCGGTTATCTGATCTAACCAGCCTAAAAGATCTAATCGGAGACTTAGCACACATAACCGAGACTCGAGTAAGACCTAGACACACGAGATTGATTCTTCCAGTGCTTTAGAACTCTATCAAGACTGCTTGTCGGAAAGTTTGACGCCTGAAACAGGTCACCTGAACAATTTTCGAACGACAGAGAAACGAACTCGATTATTTGAAATCTCCTATCGTTATCGCGCCTTCCTCGGTTGCCCCTCTGTGACCTTTGATATATTCATGGACAATTGGATCGTTTAACTATGGACAACTTTTTCCTCGTCATCGGTGGGGAACGTCGCGCTACCCTTGGGAATCTGCGAAAGTTACAAACAACCGGCGAAACGAGCGTGGAATAAAAGTTTCGTTGGATCCAACGTGAAACGCGCGAACTTTGGACGCGCCCTCGACAATTTTATCCGCCTGTTTCTCCTGTTCTTTTAATGAAAATGCAACGAGTCCTCGAACGCGAAGTTCCGGAAAGGGAGGATTATCAAAGTCCGCCGTGGGGTTGATTCTTCGAAGTCGTTAACCCTTTCCACTTATAATTAAATTTACACTAAACTTAAAGTATCAAGCATTGCAAATTTAGTTTTCTCAGATCCTCGCTGTAACTTTCGATCGAAATTTTGCCGAAACTAATTGGACGTCTAGGAAACTTCTCTAATTGGGTGCGGGCGGTGCAGCAATGGCATAGAAACTCTCGAAAGGATCCTGTAACGATGTAATAAAAAAAAAGAACGGATACAGTGAGGTTCTATTTTGATTAAAAATCTGCCCGTCAATCGAGCTAAACCGCAGAAAATATTATTGGAGGTTATCGTTGCGTGCACCAGACCGCTTTTATCGTGTCTCCAGCGATTGTAGCTGGCCGCGAGCGACGCTTCGCGATCGTTTCGAACGGGCCCTTCGTGTTTACGACGAGTAGCTTAATTCTGTTTGATCGATTCATCATGGAACTCACGAGAGCCTCCGATGCTTTGAAGTCGCTTGATGTCACTGTCGAGCATTACTTAAAACGGGACATCGAACACAAGCCTAATTAAACAAATTCTTTAACTGGATGAGAGGGTCCAGGCTTAATTGGAGATTCGATGCAAAGTATAAGTCTAACGACGCAGTCGTACTTATACAGTTAAAGAGGAAAAGACGAAAGAGTTTATGCCTCATTTATTATACGATAACATAATAATAATAACCCTGTTATTGTACAATCCAAAACATCAAGATTTGATAAAATAACCATGTTTTATGTACGAGTTCCAGAAATCTTGGATCTCTCTGTCAAAGAGCATTCTTTGAAACAAGAAAGCAAATAAATGGCGACTGAAAATGACAAACCAACAACATCCAGAGTTATCGAGGATACGTCGAACTTAAAGCCAAGGAAATGCAGGTCCTTTGTCAAGAATGACCGACGACAGTGTTCTTTGTACACAGACTCTGCCCACTGTCGAGGGCAACTATTTCTCCGTTACGTTTTCTGTCTCGTTACGCTCAAAGAATGGATTAACACTAGAACTAATTATAATTATATTAGAAATAAGTGTTTATTTATTCTTTTATAGAAAATCACGGTAAATTTTCAGAAATGCAGTCGAGTATATATTATTTACAATTTTTATTAGAAATTAATCACATTTTGACCGCTTTGGCAGTTCTAGTTTTAATACTTAGTCTTCGTGCCGGAAAACAAATCGAAACGAGCAACGAGTCACACATTTTCGCGAAAAGTATCGCTGACGTGAACTGTACAAGTCGTAAACTTCGTTCCTGGTTCAGCGAACAGTCTACCGAAGGAGAACAGCAGTTTCGCGTCGTTTTACCAACCGATATAAATCATGCTCGGCGGCTATTACACGGTGTGAAAGGATATTACGAGATAGCAGAGGGGATAATGCAACGGAGCTTGAAAGTTTTCCTGAAAACGGATAATGGGAAGAAGCGTCAGAGATTATACGGCGTGGTAGAGGCAGAGCTTCTTTCTAGAATGGAATGCCCCTAAAGGGCCGCGGCGTCGATGCACCCAAAATGTTAACAAACTATATTCCACCATTTTGAATAAGCGACAATTTTCTTAAAGAAATTTCAATCGACACGTTTTTTGGAATGGTAAGAATGAGGAAAATTCGGAGATCTGGTAACACGTGATGTTTGAAATGTTAAAAATGTGATAGTTTGCAACGAGGACGCCTCGAGCAAAATCCAGAGAAACACACGGTGGATGAAATTTACGCGGCGCAAGCAAGTTTTATCGTCCAATCTTGTCGTCGATAAATATACACTTTAGAGGGTACGATGTGTACCGACTGGAAACAATAACCCGACGGATAGCAAAAGCAATCTTCGTGCCTATACGGCTCCGAACGTGCGCGTTTCGAGGCGAAACGATTCCTCCTGGAGGTTCGTGTTTTCGACGTGAACGTTATTTTCTCGCGACAGCTCGCGAAAGGACAACTTACCCTGTAATTTTAAATATTTCTTCGCGGACGTCTCGCAATTTTCAACAACTTCGACCACCTCCCTAACCCGGGGGTTAGTTTTAATCAAGAGCCTTCGCGAGGCTTCGAATTAATTTCACTTCGAGTTTGCAAGTTTTTTCTTATCGTGAACTTTCATCACGCTCGCTCTACGCCGGAATATTTTCATATATGGCGTCGTATAAAATTCACCGACCTCGGGGATAACAATTCCGCGGAATAAAGCCGTGGATGTTTTACAGAGAAACTTCGCGGATGTTCTACGAAACGTAACGACGAATAACAGGAAGCCCTCCAAATGCCCATCCTTGCTCGAATTTAATATTATACAGCGAGGAGCGTAATAAGAAACTTCTATCCTGAGATCTGATGAAGGTATAGAGTACAGGCTAACGAAAAGAGGCTTTTCGCGCGACAATGGCACGGATAAGCCGCTTCTTCGAGGAAAGTTGACCCACGTACCGGACCATTCTCTAAGTTTCAGTTTTTATTCGACAAGTTTTGGGTTAAGGACTTTCGTTTTCTCTTTGTACCGGGGAACCTTGGAGACGCTGTTCCCTATTATTTTATCCAATTAAGAATCCCTTTTCATCCCTCGAGGATGAAACCGAGTTTTTAATCTCGTTCCTTGGTTCTCGTCCACCGACTGAGAAACACGCTTTCCAGCTCGCGATCAGAATTGGTCGAAACGTAATCTGACTTAATCGCGATACGACGGCGCGTAATCGCACAGTGATTACCGTTCAGCTGCGGTGTAATTACAATTGTGAATCCTCAACGCGTCGACTGGCGGAATTAAACATAACGCTTTAAAATTTGTTTCCTTCGAGGTCTCGACTCGGGAATCTGTTCAAGAAGTCGCTACATTTTCCCCGGCTCTGGCGGCGAAACGGAAGACACAAAGGAACAAGGAGAACGGAGACGGAGACGGAAACGACGAAAGACTCACCTGGCCTGTTTTACTCCGCGGTCGAGACGAACGGGTTCCTCTTCCCTTCCACAGCACAAAGAATCACAGTTCGCGGTGAAACGGTACTACGTAAACTAATCCCGAGCGGTCATCGGGGTGTACTCCCTGATACCCCGTTCGTCGCACTAGGTATCCCCGTCGCAGATCTGGTGAACACGACGACGACGATGCTCCTCCGGAACGGATGCACTGTCGCGTTCCCTGGTCGCTACGCGCGTGATACACCTACGCGTCTCTCTCTACGTGCGTCTGTGTGTACCATACGTGTTCGCGCACACCAGTCCGTAAAAAGTTTCAGCCGTACGCGTACGAATCCTCAATTAGATTTGCACGACATCCCCGCGCCGTTCGCCCCCGTCGCTCTTTTCCTCTTCCTCTTCGAGTCTCCGGGAGAAGTCCTCTTCGTTCCAACGGAGACTCCAGGGAATTCCCCCGACGCGTTATAGGCTATTCTACTCTTTCAACCAGCTTCTAGCTGCCCACCTCTGGTCGCTGCTGGGGTGGTTGCACCTTTTTTCGGCTGAGATATGTTTCGTTGACGGCGACCGGAGACGGGTTCCCCGAGGTCGATCGGCCGCGTTTCCACCGACGACTGGTCGAGACGGACGGTTCTATCGTCGTCCACCCTCCTCGCCGCGGCGACGATCCACCTTTGTCGGTCGCACACAGCTTTTTCGTTCGTTCACCGCGACGCGTAAACGCCGAGGGGCTCTTTTCTCGGCCCTGGGTCCTTCTAAACTAACGAAAATTCCGGCACGCGCGACTCTCTCTCTCTCTCTCTCTCTCTCCCTCTCTTTCTCTCTCTCTCGTTCTCTCGCTCTCTCGCTCTTACGACACACACGGCTCCCGGTGCTGCTGACCAGAGTCACATTTTAGTGCGACACACACGGGTGCCGTGGGGTTACGCTCGCTCGCCTATCCCTACTTCTCTGTCCGCCTCGGCCGCGATCGTCCCTATTCCGAGGGTTCATCCCCGCCAACGCTCGATCCCCACCTAGACGGTTGCTCCCCCACCTCTAGCGACGGTGCTACCTGGTCGGACGACGGCGATGGGATCGAACGTACGAAATTTGTGCAAACATAAAAACTACCCCCTCTCCCCCTATCACGAACTTGATTGGGACCTTTTTGGACCCCTCGATGCTCACATTTTACAGCCCAATAAGCCGAATTTCGGTTTCCTCTGTTGCATTTATTTCCCAAGTAACACGTGTTTTTTTTTTTTAATTACAATGTTGTATCTATGGCTTGCTTTATAGAGGAAAGAGAAGGAATGAAGGGGGAACGATCCTGGGTCTTCTGGTAATCTTATCAGTAGACTACGGATACTTATGCACTTATGGAAAATTTTAATTCTCAAAAAATTACAGAATAGGGGTCGATCATTAAAGTATTCATTAAATAGCCTCTCGTTTACATGGCTGTCACGCAACCTGGTGTTTTGAAGTCGAGTATACCCAGAGCAACCCAATAGAAACCGTGCGTATTAAAGAAAAGACACTTATTAACAGTAGAACTACCAAAGCAGATAAAATGACTGATTCGTAATTAATAATATTTACTCGACTGAATTTTTGAAATTCTACCGTAATTTTGTATAAGGCAATACACTTATTTCCATTGCATTATACATTTCTTCACGTATTTATTATTTTACTTTCCTTGGTACAAATAAATGTTAATATGCAAAAATATAAGAAATACTTCAAGTAAGTTACAAATTTATACATTTACGAAGCTCCCATTACATCGATTCTATTGATAAAAGTATGAATTTGCATGAAGCTCCACAGTTTACTTATCAGTAAGGCAATCCTGTCAGGTCTTGAAAGATCCTAGATGCTTGGAAATTTGATAATTTCTAGTTGTCGATCGTGTACTTGTGAGAGATCTACAGGTTGAGCGTAGCCCTCTGGTGGCGAGCGCGGCAAGTGTCGCCACATATCTATAAACGAAGCAGCATGCACGATTCGAGGAGCCTGGTGTTTGGTCAATTCCATCGCTATCGCTCCCCGAAGCATCCCCCACACAGGGTGGTACGTCGCTGATGCTGTGCCACGCTTCCCCTTCCGAGGCCAACAAAACGCGGGGGTGTACGATCTCCGGGGGTGCCCGGTTCCCCGAGAATATTCTGTCCTGTGTCGGTGGTATCAAACAAAAGACACCGAACCTATTGTCGGACTTTTCCGTTCTTACGTAAGCGCAAAATCCTCCGGGATTACCGCTTTGCTTTTGTTATTATTTAAACCCGTAAACCTGCCTGTTATTTAATATTTCAAAGTTAACCGACGTATTATAACATTTATGCAAACGAGAACTAATTCGCCGACAAATCGCCGACCGAGCACGGTTGATAATACATCATCCACGGATCCAAAGTTTCTTGGAAGAGAATCCAACGTAAGACCCACCGGTTGCGATGATCGATCATGCGTTTAGCCACGAACTTGTCGTCCTCCGACTCTTCCTGAGGAATACCGTCGAGAAGAAAATTCGCTCCGTCCGACAGCTAGTATATCGCTAACGAATGTTCGTATTGTAGTCCACTCTAATCTGATCGCGAATTTAATCCCGCTAGAATACCCCGTCCCGTACGATTATCGATCCCCTAAACTTCTGCAATTCCTTCGAACTGCTAAATTATTTAAGCAGAATTCCTCAGCCAACCGCCCCGGAGATACGCGTCGCTCGCGAGATCAAAGAATCGCTCGAGGCGCTATTTCCAGAGGATACGCACTCGCACAATGATTGGTGGGTCTTTATGGACCCAGATAACATTTGCTTTTCAGTCATTCTTCCCCCTATTTTCTGAAACATCTATTCGTTATGCAATCTGTGACTGGTTATATTTCACTGATATTTTAAGAGCAAGGATCTAACAAATATTCTTTTAATAAAACTAAAACATATTTAGCTGAAAATTGGGATCATTGTGTCTTCCAACGAGTGGATAAAACAAATATTCTATTTTCTAAAACATTTCTAGTTATGCAATCTGTGACTGTTTATACTTCATTGATATTTTAAGAGGGTTCAATAAAATATATTCTTTTAATAAAACTCAAAAATATTTAAGACAAAATCATTGTGTCTCCTAGTGCGTGGGTAGAACAAATATTCCACATTATTATAGGGTAAAAGTCTAAATATACAAGTATTACAAAATGTAAGATACGGGTCTAGAAAGATCCAGCAATCACAGGTCGAGTACTATTAACTTAAAAAATATTTTCAGAATAAATAAGTTTGCAAGATTCGTTAATTTTACTAATCCAATTTGTAGACTTTAATATTACGAGTGGCCATGTTACTCTTACCCTATAATATTTATTATTAGACTGCGGATGTTTATGCATTTATGGGAAATTTTAATCCTCAAAAAACTACAGAATGCATTTAATATGCAAAAATACAAGAAATACTTAAAGTAAGATGCGAATTATTATATTTAGGGGTTGAGGCAGCCCTCTGTGAAGCTTCCGTTTCATTAATTCTATTAATAAAAATGTGAATTTGCATAAAGATCCGAAGTCTATTTATTATATAAAGTTTCTACGGAGCCTATTGAAGTTATAGTTGTTTCTGGCCCTGATTTGGAACCCCTAAAAATGATACAGTCCTGACTGTTACCCCTACAACGAGGACAGATTATCCCCTCTGGGCGAACCACCCCTGCCGCATCGTGGCTTCGAAACCACCCCCGGCTGAACGTTGTACGCAGACGTGGTATCTAGATACGCGTCTATCTAGACCGTGTCTGCCTTTCCGGCCTGGTTGAATGGACAGGACTTGTTTTGATTCGGCCCGTAAGCCAGGAAGCCGCGAACTCCAGAACACCGAGGCGATACGAGCTTGCCACAATGGCGCTAGAACGAGCCCACGGACGTTTCAGATGATTTCAGACGATTAAACGGCGGAAGAGGAACAACGACAACCAAGACCATTGCCTGGCTCCTGAACGAATTAACTGGAACCGTCAACTTCCACAACGGAAGGCCGGGCTTCCTCTTTTCGTCGCGATTGAAAGGACGATACGTCAAATCACTGCGCTCCACTTTTCAATACGATCGAGATACACGTGACAATTCCCAGTATCGGGTCGTAGCCTTTCGATTAGCCCCTGGTAATTGTCGTTTCGAACGAGGAAATCTATCTTTACCTATCTCGAGACGTTACGTCGAACTCTCGATTCGACACTTGACTCTGAACATGGCATTGAAACTGAAAACAGTGTGATCTACTCTTTCGTACGATGGTGGCACGGTCACGATTCCAATAAATATTGCGGTTTCCGGAAGCTGTTGCAACATTGGCAACCTCTGGCCATCCACGAAACAGATGTTTTATTGCCTCTTTTGTTGCGTCGACGTGATCGCGATTCATTCCTCGTAATACCAGTCTCTTCTTACATTTTTATTTACGGAAAACAATTTCATTTCGTACGAATGGGAATTCATGTTGGAGGAAAGATGGAACGTCTATTGAAGATTTGTAATTTGCCAAGTATACGTTGAAGAATGGCTGAGGATTGCGAGGAGGAGGGTCGTTGATTCGACCGAACCGCGTAAAGAAGCGTTCCCTGTCGATCGATAGTTCTCTCAGTGACAATTATAGTAAATGCGTTGAATTATTCGGCCCCGGAGGCCTCCGAGTTAAGCAACCCCGAAAACTATGAGGGCCAAACATAACCGACCCGTCCGATTCTGGCTTTCACCCCCCCAGCGTATCGTTCCCGGCAGTGCTGTAGTCGTAAAGGAAACAAGGGGATGAAAAACCGAAGGGAGAACGGAGAATCTTGGCCGATAAGAGGCTACGGGGCCGTAAAAACAAGGGTCGTTGCAGTTTAGCGGTCGCCATAATTCAGCCCTCCTGGAACCGGACGCCTCATTGAGCAAATACAGCGACGCGCAAAAGCTCGAAAACAAAACAATTCGGGTTCAAATTCTAGTCAATTCTTCCGCTGTTATATTAGAGCTTAAAATAATCAAAAATTTTATTTAATTTCTGTTCTCTCGTTGTTAGAAATCCATTAAAAATCGCGAGTTTAAGGAGGGTGAAGCACAGCCACGGAAACAGTAAAGAACGTCTACGAAAACAAATATAACGAGACACGAGGGGGATGATTTATTACGAACTTTAACCGCCAGACCGGACCATTCATTCGGAAGTTTATTTATCAACGATTGTTCGACGATAAATCGTGTAAACTTGGTAAATAGAAAAGGGGTATTCCATCGGGAGAATGCTCGACCGACACTGTAGATGGTTCTATCGTTGGCGAGCCAGTTGATTCAAGGTGCGCGAACGTGCACCCTTAACTACGGTCCTGGTTCCAACCCACCTTGATCGTAACCCCCCTATATTCGCCCCTCTTTTCGGTCTGTCCTCCCACCCAGCGTGGAAAGGATTCTCCTATTGACGTTCCACCCTCTCGGTGGCTATCCCTGCACCCCTCTGCGTCGTCCTTTCCAGCACACCCACGCGTACTACCCTCTTGCGTGCCATAGCCACGTTCTGACGTAACGTTGTTACGTCAGGACAGCACCATACGCCGGCGCACGTAAAATCCTTGGATGAACCTGCTAGCCACGGTCCTCTGGAATCTAAAGTTAGGTTTACACACCTGGAATTCGTACGATGCTCCAGAGTCTTCGAACGTCGGAAACTCTCTGCCCCATGTTGTGGTCTTCGTTAGTCTCCTCTTGCGAGGAAACCTATCCCAACAGCAACCCTTCCTTTCTGATGAACATTTAGACAGCAGCGGTGTCTGAAACACTAAAGATAACAATAATATGAGTCGCTGTAGCAAACTTCTGTAAGCCTGACACGCTTCCTTAACACTGTGAACATCCACCAAATGCAAATACTGATTAATAAAAATGCAGAGTTATCGGGTAAGAGCGATAGAAGTTTCAATTCTCGCAGCCGCCATATTTCTTATTTACTTGTTCGAGTGACATTTCATCGACGCGTTGAAATTATAACGAATTATAAAAGTTTAAGCATCGTATAGAAAGGTAAAAAAAGGATCAAATAAAAAGCACTAGAAATACAATGATTTTGATATTTTAGTAATATTGTGACGCTGCTTTAATGCAGGTAGGATCTCGGAGAATTTCGTAGGATAGAAAATGGCAAAAAGGAGCCTTCTAGTGGACTCATCAGTAAGGCCCTGCCTTAGACGACTGGGATATTACAAAGTCGGTCGAGGATTGTATATACAGGGTGTTCGGCCACCTCTAGCAAAAATTTTAATGAGCGATAGTAGAGGCCAAAATAAGACAAAAATCAAGAATACTAATTTGTTGGTGGAAGCTTCGTTAAAAAGTTATTAACGTTTAAAGTGCCGCTCTTACTGAATTTTTTTCTCGAAAATGCGCAAGATTTCGGGGGTATGTCTATTCACCAAAAATGACTGTAATTGAACCCTACAACCGAAAATAATTTTTCCACAACGATTTGCAATTTTTTAATTTTCTCGAATAATTTCACACCTTCTCTATTTTTTTTCTCGAAAGTGGGCACGATTTCGTGGGTATGTCTAATGACAAAAACTGATTGTAATTGACCCCCGCAACCGAAAATAATTTTTCCACAACGATTTGCAATTTTTTTTCTCCGTTGAAAAATTTAGACACCTAATTGGATTTTCAGTAAGGAATTTTTTTCTCGAAAGTGCGTACGATTTCGGAGGTATGTGTAATGATAAAAAATGATTGTAATTGATCCCCGCAACCGAAAATAATTTTTTTAGAACGATTTGAAAAATTTTTTTTCGCCGAAAAATTTCACCACCTACTCGATTTTTTTTCTCGAAAGTAGATAGGATTTCGGAGGTATGTGTACTCACCAAAAATGATTGTAGTTGACCCCCGCAACCGAAAATAATTTTTCCAGAACGATTTGAAATTTTTGAATTTAATTGTTAATAACTTTTTAACATAGCTTCCATCAACAAATTAGTATTCTTGATTTTCGTCTTATTTTGGCCTCTACTATCGCTCATTAAAATTTTTGCTAGAGGTGGCCGAACACCCTGTATAGCAATTGAGGGGTCGGTCGAGCGCTTGTGAGAGCGCGACCCCTCTGGTGGCGAGCATGGGAGGCAACGCCACAATATAAATATACATGTCAGAAATATTAATACCTTCTTTTATAAGTATTTGCATCGAAAATATGAAAAGAAATAAGAAATAGTTCATGGAAAAAGTGTTTTAAAAGTATAAATACTCAAGTTTTACGTTAGTCCCTTTGCCATTGGTAATTCTACATTTCTATATTTATTTAATAAATCTATTGGTAAGAATGGTATTTAGACAATATGTTGAATTACATAAAGTTTTAATAAGATCAATTTACGCAATAATTCGACCCATGCTCGTGTTCTATTATCAAATAAACAAGTCGTTAATAATCTCAACAATGCAATCAATATAATATATGTGGGGATGTGAATGTGAGTGTGTTGTTGTGAAAGTGCGTGAGGCGTCAATCGATTGCTATGACCGGAGTCGAAGTCAGCTGTTCATACCGAGTAAATAAATTAATCGATTGCCAGGTTGCGAAGACGAAATGCAGAATGCGTGTAGGTTTTGTCTCAGGGCGTACGTGTGTGTGTGTGTGTATATGAGAGATTTGGTGAATGTGATCGGTGGAGCAGAGCAATAGAAGCGAGTGGAAAAGACGGACCGGCTTGATTCTACAATATTATACGACATATTTGTACAGAGAAATTTTATCGGATTCTACAAATTGGGGGCTCGTCCGTGTCTTCGAGGAAGTGAAAGTTATCCTCGTAAAGCAAAAGTGGCATTTGAAATCAAGACGACAAGAGGGATTCAAGATAAAAGTGTTAATTGTAATTGTGACGATAAAAGTTGTGAAACTGTGAGAATTAGTTAGTGTGATTGAGATAGTGACGGTTAGCGTTGTGAGTTATTTTCCATTTTACCATGAGTCTGCTGACGAGAGCTGCTAGTGAATTTTCCGTAGTGGAATTGAAGGAGAAGCTACGAGTTTTGGGGCTGAGTTCGTCAGGAATAAAATCGGAATTAATAAACCGGTTAATGGAAGCTGATCCATCGGGTAGCTGGACGAGAGACTATTCAATGGAATCGTCAGATCATCAGGAGGACTTAATTGAACAGTCGGGGGCGACAAACATCCCTTCTATGAGTGAGTTGGAACGGGCAAACATGCAACGGGAGATTGAGCTTTGCCGGGGAGAGAAGAAATTGAAAGAAGACGAACTTGACCTGGCACGCAGGGAGATTGAGTTTTTGAATGCAACAATTTACAATTGGTGGCAATAATCAGGCGATTAATGCACCTCGTCCGATACAATATGAGACAACACCGCGCTTAACTGCACCGATGGTAGCGGACATGTTAAATTATTTCGATGGCAACAGCGAGACGTATGAAACATGGGAAAAACAAGTGCGGCTACTGAGAGCAACATATCAGGTGGCAGACGGAATAGTGAAACTTGCAATTTCGTCACGATTAAAAGGGAAAGCGTTTGAGTGGTTCCACTCAAAACCCGAGTGCATCGTAATGACGGTCGAAGAGCTCCTAGAAGGTTTACGAGGAATGTTTTTTTCACGAGCCAAGCAAGATTCATTTGCGGCAGGAATTTGAACGGCGTATTTGGAAACGAGAGGAAGCGTTTAGCCAGTATATGCACGAAAAAGTGATTATGGCGAATCGTATTGGCTTGAGCGACGGAGAGACAGTGGACTACATTATTGAGGGAATTCCAGATTTCACGTTAAGGAACATTGCTCGTGCTCAGAGGCTGAACACGAAGACATCGTTATCGGAGGCGTTCGGGAAAGTATCGTTGTATGGAAAATCCTTGCCGACGACGTATCCATATACAAGGAAGGAAGAAAATATGTTTCGACCATGGAGGACAGAGGAGAGGATATTTCGACCATGGAGAACAGAAGAAAGAATGTACCGACAACCGGGTCCTGGCGACAGAGCGTATAGACCGCTGCGACTGGAAGAGAGGCCATTGCGACCATCGAGGGAGAACGAAAGAATCACATCACCGAGAGTCGAGGGATACGAGAGAAGGGAAGTATCCAAAAGTGTTAATCGTTGTTTTAATTGCGGTATGGAAGGCCATTATAGTGCGAACTGTCATTTGAAAAGTCGCGGCGCGAAATGTTTTAAATGTCAAGCATTTGGTCACGTAGCGGCGAATTGTTCAAAGAAGGACGATGTAAAAAACGTTTGTGATATTTCGCGGTATATGCGCGAAAAATATTATAAGAAAGTAAGGATAAATGGAGAGAATTTAACAGCGCTAGTTGATACCGGTAGTGATTTGTCGGTAATGCGTGCAGAGCAATATGTGAAAATAGGATCACCACAGTTATTACGACGAGAAATTACATTTTGCGGAATTGGATCTCAAAGTAACAAAACAATAGGCGAGTTCAATGCGCAAATAGAAATCGATGGTAATAAATACCCAATTAACATCTGGGTAATATCTGATACGTTAATGCAACATGATTTGATAATTGGCACCGATTTTTTAAATGCAGTTGAAATGAATATTAAGGGAGGCGAGATTTCTATTCGTAGCGTTGAAAAAGAAAATCAGTTAGAAAGTAATATACCCGAAAATCGGATTCTACATATAAATGTAGTAAGAAGAAGGATTTTAACGTTTACTCGTTTCATCGACTCTAATAATAGAATTGAATATAATCTTTAAAATCTCTACTTTTTCACGCGATCAGTATTTCGGTATTATGTATAATTTAACTTGTTATAAATAAACTTTTGTGAAGGCAGTTCTTTTAATAAACACAGGACCTAAAATTACAGCATTAATTCACTGTTAGAATTCTTTTATAAAGTGTAAGTATTCGATTCAGTATAGTATTCATTAACCACTTTTCTACAAATTAATTATATGATAGTTATTTTAATCGTTGCGCTAAAAAATTTCGAAACACCTGGCGCCATCTAAGAACGGGAATTCTAACTACTAAAAAGTTATCCGGATCACAGAATACTGAAAGAGGTAAACACGCTGTGCCTTCTTCTCGTGGAAGAATGGTATATGTATACCCCAACATTCGAGGACCAATTTTGCAACGATTCTCGCTGTAATTAATTAGTTATTAGCGATACGTAATTTTCCAAGTTGTTACGTTAAAAAATTTGAAAAAATGCACCGACTTCCGATGTTGGTTAATAACTATTTAATAATGCATGGAATGATTACAAAAGGTGTCCTTAAATATTGTCAAGAATCTCTGCTATAGAATTAAACTTTAAAAGTTCATAAATTAATCCCAGGAAATGAGTGGTAATTTAAATTAAATTATCGAGCAGCGGTTCGATTTATTTAAATGGTGGAGGTATACAGATAGTTTATTCTGTGATCCGGATAACTTTTTAGTGGTTAGAATCTTCGTTCATAGATGACGCCAAGAAATTCGGACGATTCAAATAACTATCGCTTCCAATAATTGTTTATAACTAATTAATTGCAATGGAAATCTTTGTAAAATAATTCAAAAATGTTATCAGAAACTTATTAAGAAATTGGTCAGACAGAATAGTATTTGGAGCGGTTATATTTATAACGTTATGAGGAATTATAAGTATTAAGGACTTAATAGAAAGGCAAAAGGTCTGAATTGAGAGGATAGGAAATACTGTGATTCTAATTTTTTTATTAATTTGAATAGACACTTCACAAATATTAATAGTAAATGCATTTTTGTATTGAAAGAAAAACATTGTGAGAGCGATTTGACTTTGAATGCAATGGAAATAATTATTATTTCTTTAATCTTAATTCCAAAAGATAAGGGCACAAACTTCGTATTCTACTCTGAATCGATAACGGTGGTAGTGACACGAAAATAGTAAGAGAATGGTAACAATGTTCCACAAATTTCCAGATTGCAGCTAACAATAATTAACAGAGTTTCTCATGATAAAATTTAAGAGTACTAGACTGTTTTCCAAAAATAGACAGGGTCAAAAATACACAATAATATTTATGGTTATAATTGAATTTTATGAAAATGATCGACGAAAGAATGTTTCTATAATGGCTTGAACCACTAGGACAGTTGGTTCAATTACTGTACGTAACATAACCTAAAAATTTGTAACTAGGATGTACAGGATGTTTCGTACAGCAATAAACAAAAGATTACTTTATGCGAATCTTATTCCACTTTCCTGGTTCAATTTAAATCAAAATTCTCCCGATGATCAGGAAAAAGAAGATCTCGCTGTAAAACGGGGGGAAATTGGTATGGACAGACTAAAAAAGATGTTTTCTTTAAAGTAAGATTGCCTTGATTCAAATGTTGATAAAATAACATCTTTTTTTAGCATACAACTAACGTAACTTTACCTCTTGTAGCGAGTATGGTGAGATATCCAAAGAGATGCTAAGTATCATAAACACAACTACATCGGGCTTTATAGGTGGATTTTTAATAGGTGGTACAATGAAATCAAGATTTGTACCACGAAGTTTCATAGCCGAAAATCAAGTTACCAAGTTTCAGAATGTATATGATGCACAACAGCAATTACGATATAACTTCGTACGTGAATTTTTCAAAGGAGGTAGAAATCTTGCTATGAAACTAGGAGTTTTTTGTTTTCTATTCCAGTAAGATTTATAATATTTGTATAATGCTGTGCTTCCCAACTTTTTTTTACAACGCAATAGACACAATTAAAAGAGGTCAACATTTATATGCCATACCTTTTCAATTAGCAGAGATTATATCAATGTTATAAAAAAATTATGCAATCTATATCACTTGAAAATTATAAAAATATTTATTTATATAATTGTTGTTGCTATGCACTTACACTCTTGCCACGACATACCAGTGTGCTACACATCGCACCTGTTGGAAAGCACTCATATAATGTATCAAAACAACTATATAAGCACAAATTTATTTAATGTTCTCTGTCAGGGGCACATTCATTTGTCTACAAGTATACAGAGGCAAACAGAGTATGATTAATTACACATGTGCTGGTGCTGTAACTGGTTGCTTATTTAAACTCAACATGGGAATTAGAGGAGCAATTTCTGGTAGTATTTTTGGCGCCATACTTGGTTCTATGTATGGATCTATAACATTTTTGACATTGTATCTAACTGGATTTGACACGGAGAGCGTATACAATACAGAGATCAAACTAATGGAATCAAGAAAGGAGTAAGTGCTTGCAACATATTCTGATATTTTTTTAAGGCCAATCTAGATCGATGGGCAATTATTAGGGGTGTTATTAACTAGCAATTATCCACAGACTGTCCATGAATAGTGTTCAACAACAGTCTGGGGAATTGCCAGATCCTGTCCATGAGCTAAATATAGGCAATTACCTGTCAATCTGGATGGGCCTTTAAATTAAAAGTTCCACTTTACCTAAATGTTGATATCATAAACTAATTTTTACATTTCAGAGCAATAACCAGACGAGCAAAAGCTTACATGGGTAGTGAAGTAATGGGCACAGTTGGTGAGACAGACACATTAGTAACAGAATTGAAAAAAGAAGACAATAAAAAGTAAAAAATTTTAAAAAACATTTCATTACCGAGTAATAAAAATGTAATATATTTAAGTGACATATGTGCATTAATCTGTATAATTTTTCAATAATTTAATAATTATTAAACTACGTCAATTGTTACGTAACAGGATATTTAATTTACTGCAATATCAAATACAGAAAGAATAATGTTAATTTTTGATTATATTATGGGATTTTTATTTTACGAGGGAAGAACAAACTTCAAAATTACATTCCATATCGTTACAAATTAATAAATTATCTATAAATTGAATAAATATAAATCGGACATCACATAATATAGTCAAATTGCTATTATAAACATTCCTTATTTACACCCTGATAATACTCTTGCATATCGAACAAATACATTATAAATAAAATGTAATGCAGTTTACAGCTATAGTTACAGAATAGGCCTGATGTTCAAACAAAGAAAAGAAACTCTGTATCTTATCTTTTTATGATGTAATATGTATACATAAAACATCGTATTTAATCATAAAATGAATAATACTATTTGGTAATAAGAAAAGCAAGATAAAAGGAGACCCATTCATCGATCAAAAAAGGATCACATTATACATCTCTATGCACATATATATATATATATATATCTCATTAGCATAATTCAACAAATTTGTAAAATATCTATTTAAATCTCTTGTTCCGAAGTTCCTAAATCTTGAATCTTGGTTAAACGTTTTGCACCTCTGTTTGGTGGACCCTTAGGTTTTGCGAATTTTGGCTGATGTAAACTGATTTTTGGATGTAACTCCTCTTGCAAAAATCCCTCAGTTAGTACTCTTCCATCATCTATTTCAAGCTATACAATCAACACATTTTAAAGGACAATTATTATATTATTGAAAACCAGAAAAGTATGAATTACCAAAACAAGAAATTAAGGACAAAAGTTGAAAATTCATAGGCCTATTCTGTAAGCTGAATAAAACGTATCTTAAAGTCTTAATCATAGTTACATACCCATCCAAGGATTGATCACACCGCGCTCCTTAGAGACCTATTAAATTCTATACAGATAAATCATAGTTGATGACAATAACAAGAAAATTGAAGATTCGAATGTGTTTGATATTAACTCAATAAAGATTAAAACAACAAACTGTAAGATTAAATTGCATAATGCTTTATTGTTTGTAGCGTGTTTAATATTGGCAAGATATACAATTTATTCAATCGTAATGAACCTACAGTTATGTATTAACAGATTGAAATTAAAATTACACTAGAAACTTACAGAATAGGCCTGGTACAATATTATAAACTAAAGTACGTCCAGGCTATAATGTGCGTTGTTACGAAACACAGAACACATTTTTGTTAACAGTTTTTTGAGCATTTTACAAAGATTTTCTTCATCACTTTTTGTAGCTACTATAGGAAACAATGTGTGCCAAATTCTATATTTTTCTACGTGTAAATATAGAAGACCAGTAAATAGGAACATAAGGTGGAATAGCTTTTACGAAATTATTAAAAAGATATAGAACTAATAAATTATGAGTGCCCTGTATTGAGATTCCAACCATAAACGATATTTAATAGTTTTAGAAATCTTACATTTCGAGCCCAACTTCTAGATCAAAACAAATATACAGGGTGAGGCATGAACTACCCCACAATTTTTCAGCCCCTCTTGACAATCTGACAAAAAAATGTTTTTTGTCGAAATTAATTAATATTTAACCGACAAAAAATTGCAGTTGCTTAAATTTAAAAACAACTTGATTTTCGATAAAAAAAAATTAAGGTCACTGTTACATTTTTAAATGGAACTAGGTATTTTTTACTTCGACCTGCTACACTATGACCTTCAGATGACATTGAAAGAAAAATTGCCATGAATTGCCCAAGGCCTCGCATTTGGACGTAAACAAATGAACGTAAACATTACGAATGCTTATTTATTCAACTTCAGAACTTAACTCAAAAAATAAAAGGAAAATTTCTATAAAATTTATACAAAATGTCTACAAATTAACAAAGTTCTCAAATCGAAGCTACACATAAGACTTTATTACAAAGAATAGAACCGTTGCAGACGGTGGAATGCAGTTCGAACATTTAATTTAATTACTAATTATATGTTTTGAATAAACTTTCAGTTTATTTTGTGTGTTAAGTCCTGAAATTGAATAAATGAGCATTCGTAATATTTACGTTCTATTTGTTTACGTCCAAATGCGAGGCCTTAGTGTCATGTGTCGCCAAATAATTTCAAATATTGTGGCAATCGATTCATGGCAATTTTTCTTTCAATGTCATCTGAAGGTCATAGTGTAGCAGGTCGTTGAATTCGTCTCGACGTCGCCTACAATACTGTGAAGTTAAAAATACCTAGTTCCATTTAAAAATGTAACAGTGACCTTAATTTTTTTTATCGAATATTGATTTGTTTTTAAATTTAAGCAACTGCAATTTCTTGTCGGTTAAATACTGATTAGTTACTTGAAAGGGGCTGAAAAATTGTTGGGCCTCACCCTGTATATCAAATATATTTTAAATCAAAATACAAATTAACATTTTGCTAATATTTTCTTACAGCAAATACAGTGCATAAATTGTTTAACACCAAGAATTTGGCGCACTTTATTATCATTTCTCTCGTTAAAATTAGGCCAAACTCTTTCAGTAAATTGTTCGTTTGTATCTTGGACGAAAATTTTTAAAAAGTTTATAAAAAGCTACCAGAGTTAAAAAAATACAGATCACAAAAAATAGAATGCCTCTCGAATATCGTGTTGCTCGCTATCAGATTCTAGTCCCATTTGCTATACATTATACACAAGGAATGTCTTCATACGAAATTTTAAAATACATTTTCCTTTTGACGATACTGACAACATATCACAATCGACTGTGCAACATTAATTGATCGATTTAACGTATTTAATCGTAGTTTGTTAATCACATAAACTTTTTCCTTTCTCTTAAAACATTAAGAACACACAAGTTAATTAAAAATTTCATCTTATCTGTTGCATATGTTTTGAATTATCGAAGTAATAAATAAGTAATAAATAATTGGAAGATATGGAAGGAATATATAAAGTGTTTTCTCTATCTATACGAATCTGAACACTTTGTGCGATTTCTTAACTATACAGCCAATGGGACATACCGGGATCAGTCTTCATACACATATTTATGGAATCTAATGTTTTGTATCATTTATATAGTATAGAACATGATATATAATTTAATATGTATATAAAGTAACTAGTATTATCACTAGCTTGCATTAAAAAATGATAATTGTGTGCAAAGAAAATATATCCACGTGTCAATGTAGATTTTGCACATCTATCACTTGTCTGCTATATTATTCTTGTATTTATATTATGCAGAGAAGTTAGGTAAGTGGCATCAGCTAGCTAGGGCACATGGAATTTTCCCTAACTCTCTAATAATCACATAAGGTATGCAGGTTACCACAGATATTTGTCTGAAACACTCTAGTCCAGTGTTTTCCAAAAATGGGGATTGGACCCCTAAAGAGAGTGTGAAAGAAAATATTTTACGTAAAACGGTGCGGAAACCTTAAACAGTTTTTTTCTATTAATACATCGATCATCAGAATTTAACAACTGTTTGAATATATTTTTCTTATATCACTTTAAATCTACCATTTATCTTGGGCCCAAACAATTTTCTTTTTTTTTTTTTAGGGGGGCACCTTCTAAAACGTTTAGAAACCACTGCTCTAGTCTATATCGCTCATTCCTATACGAATGTTTGAATGAATTTGAGAGTCAAGCCTTCGAGTTTTACTTAACAAAATTACTAATACAAAATGAGACTTATAATAGATATCACTTTCCATTGGACTAGGAACTAATTCACACAATCAACTCACTGGATTTTTTATGTTTTCGAGAAGTAAGCGTTACGAGTATAGAAATTACATGAAATATTAAAGAAATACTATAAAGGAACTATAATCGCAGAAATATTATTTTCATGAAACTTTCATACAAACTCTGCTTTTGTTAGTCGTCGGAACACACAATTAAAAATGCAAAATCCAGTAGAAGGCTTCACTTTCAATATCAAGTAACTGAATTTCATTGCATTTTTATGGTACTCCCAGTATGTATGAACAATCATCCATTGCAGTACTTATGGATCAACAAGAACTGCATTTTATAGAATCATATTTATCAAGAATTTATCGTAGTTGTCAAAAGACATTTCAATAAGGTCTTAACATGAGAATTTTGCTTTTAAAATTTAGAAAAATACACTGGTCTACTCTGACTTGCTACATAGATATACGTATCACTCTGACCAATTAATACTAAATATCAATAAATATCGCTAATTAATAAAAATTTATCTCTGTAAGACGCATTAGATTTCTTATTTAAATCACTTCAGAACAAGTGTAACTATATGTGCTAATTGAAGTATTGGAAACCCATTATATCATTTCATATTAAATAACACATTGAATGTTAATATCGTATTATCACAAATTCAGAATTTACGAAGGAAGATGTCCAATGTTAAAAACATCGCATGTACTTCAATATGCGAGAAACATTTAAGAGTAATGGCAGCAAAATGCATGGAGTTGGTTAACTCAAGACACAAGACCGCTTCTGTTTTGATTTTTTCTCTGGTATAGATTGAGTGAGGGCATAGGGCGTTGATGGAGTTGCAGGAGTTATTGCAGCTGTTTCTTTTATGGTTGGAGGATCTTCCAACATGTCTGCCAACTCCTCACCACTATTTACTTCCAACTAGGATACATCAAATTTTTACAAAAAAAAAAATATTTTAATATCAGCGTTAATGCACATAGACGAGCAGAGACTAAAAGTAAGAAATACTACAAAGTATACAGCAAAGATGCTTTACATGACAACTGTAAGAAACATTGATAAATACTGATAGTTGATACCCTGGCAATATCTTCATAATTTTACATGAAATATAGTTCCCATACATAATGGAGAAAGTAATTTAAGCAAAATGAAATATACATGGTAATAAATTTAATTAAAAATTTTACGAATACTCGTTCAATGTACGAGTATTGCTTACCACTGTTAACGTGTTCTCGCAAGGTGGACGGATGAAAAGAAAATAAGTAAAACGAAAATGGTCTTTATTAAGAATAACTTTCAGTAATTATTTAGAAAATGGCGCCTTAATTCTGAAAAACTTTTCCTTATACATATAATCGCCGCTCGGCTTTAGTTTCTAAGATATTTCAGAAAAACTTTGGTAATTATTTATTATAGAACAGGGAAATCCTTTGACCGCGACATATGTTATCAAGGACACCTTATTGAGTAATCTACAGCAGATTGAGCTGTTGTTCATTAAAAGATAATTTCAGAAACAAAGACTAAACAGCAGTAAGATGTATAGAAAAAAAATTTTTTCAAGTTAATGTCTCTGCTAGTAACAAGTTTTGATCTTATCAAAATCAGTAAGTTGGTTCATTTTCTAAATAATTACCTAACTTTCCTATCTACTTACTTTTTTTGTAATGTTCACTCCGAGTGATTGAATGAGATCCAGAAGAGGTGATTTACAAGATGAGTAGAGCATTCTTTCTTTGATGCTACAACTGTATCCTGGCATACTATATATAAAAACTGCAATGTATAAACAACATTATTCAGTGAAAAATCATTGCATTTAAAATAAATTGATTGTAGTGTTTTACATGAAAATATTAAAAAATGTTTAAATGAGCAATACCAATTACTTTGTAACTGAGTGCAATTTCAGTCAAAAAGTTTCTTTGCATATAACATTTTTAATCTTAATAAACATCTGTATTTAATCTGATAAAATGTGTAAATATATATATTTACATCTATTATTATATTTGATTAAGATGATTTTTTAAATAGATATAAGACAGTATAACTCTTATAATTAACATATTTTTATAATACTTTTTGACTAAATTTATGCTCAATTACTAACATGATGTAATTCATGTTACTGATTTCTTTATTTTAGTCATTGTATTTATTTATTTTACATACCTATACACTCCATGTAATCTCCTTCGTGTGTGTGCTTAAAATTATACAAATGATATCTGGCTGAATCAGATGGAACTTTTGTTGGTAGTTTATCCAATGAAATATCACAAGCTGTAACTAAATGTATTTTCTCCTCTTCCAGATCAATCTTTAATTGAACATACTCATGCACGCCTTTACCAAGCTCCACGATTGCCTGTTTAGATTCGTCTGTTACAGGAAAAGCAACACCACTCAATGTTTGGTGCCTTGTTTCTACGCTATAATCTGTAGTAACTGTGTTTTTCTTAAGTTCTGCTAATTCTTCTTCCGCTGTAGTTAACGGCGCAGGAGCCGCATCGTTTCTTTTATATTTATGATAACCTTCCAACGTTATATCTTCGGGTACAGTACCATGCAACTCTTCCTTTATAGATGCTGTGCCAAATTCTTGTTTCAGAGTAGCTTTAGTCGACGCATAAAGCATCTTTTGCCTAACCGGGGCAGTATCAGGTGACCATGATATAAACAACCAATCGTAACCAGAATCAGGTGATTTAGTATCGAGACGATACAAAATATAAGCTGGCTGATTCTCTACGATCAATGGCTTGATCATTTTATCATAATCGTCTTGCCACTTGTTTACCGGTTTCGAGGAAGCAGCAGGTGTTAATTCTTCTACGAGAAAAAGAAAATTCCATTATTTACAAAAAATTGTACGCGTCGAATTGAGACTAAAAAATCTTGGAAAAGAAATTTACCGTTTTCTATCGAAACTTTTAAGACCCGTATTTTTCCATCGCGGCACTTGGCAAACAATTTTTTAAGAGCATCATTCGCTGAAATAAACAAATCATCAGATAGCCCTAACGTCGTTATTGAATTAAGGTTAATGTCTCGATAGAATCTTCAAAAGATCAAACCCTACCACTTTTTATAATCATGTTACGATAATAGATACCTTTTATGCCCGTCTGATGTGACATGATTCGTGTATTATTCGTTAAAAGCTTTCTTTATCGAAACTATAACACAAAATCTTGTCGTCCTGCACCCTCGAGATCCGTGGCGGAAGAAGAACTACCACAAACAGAGCGTGTAAATGACTAGAACGCGAGACAAAAATCGAATGAACCCGAAATCAAAAAACTGAACGTTGGAACCTGTTTAGAAGAAAACTTTCGAGAGGTTCCCGGTAACAAAGGATCGGGACGTCATACTAATAAACACTGATCAACGATCTATTAAGAAAACCCTGAGACTCGGAATCAAGAGTCTGAGTATGCCTCCAGTTTACAATTTTTTGTAACCAAAAAGAGAGAACGACAGATAATTGTATCTCAATTGTAAAATGGCTTCCGCGCGGCTTTTACGACAAATAATAATTTTTGTTATGTTCACTGTTTCTTTAAACTTTGTTTTTCGAACATAACTGTATTTTTATTTATTTTTAATCACGAATTAATAAGTATTTTTATTAACGATGATTAAACATTAAAAGATATAAATATTTCAATCATTTGCACAATTTTTTAAATACATAATACACTGTTATTTCAAATTGAAGTTCTATGTTCAAAGGGTACCCTATAATTCGTATTTAAAACTTCATCGTTTTTCGTTGTCCTAAAATTCATCATTTAAGAATTCCTCTAATGATATTATCGTTTAATTAAGAATGATGAACATGGGATGGATATCAACGAACTATAATAAGACCTTCAAGTGGCCTTCAACTGACCAATTTAAGACACCAGGACAATATATTATAAATATTATGCATAAAATTTACGTAATTCTAAGTTCTTTGCATGCAACAAGTAGATTGTATTATCTTGTACTTTATTTTTTCATTTGTTACACGTAAAACAAATGAAAGTTTTAATAGATATATTTGTGTGATCATAAAACGATATCATATATAGGTAAATGTGTTTTCGTCATTTTATAGTAAGCATTCGTTTAAAAAAAAAAATAAAAAGAACAGTTTGATACAACGTAATATCCAAATTTAAATGTTTAAAGCCATTTCCTTTTATAAAAATGCCTGGCGAAATACCTGCAATGATCTACTTATACTCGTTAGCCACCGAAATTTGAACTTAATTCCATTCAAAAAGCGCTCGTCTCATTTGTGACCTCTTTTTATTAGAAATTTCTAAGATGGCGTGCTGTCACCGTGTCAGATGTATGTTATAATTTTTTAGATGCATGATAAAGTCGCGTAGTTTGACAGGTTTCATTTGTAGTGAAAGAGCAGACGTCGTATCGCAAATAGTAAACAAATTTTTCAGTCCATTGAAGCTTCGGATAATTTTGTTATGGAAACCGAAAAGCGATCAGATTTATACGAAGAATGGAAAAGACGGGTAAATAGAGCAATTCATGCCGATAATAACATTTATCAGAAAACGTTGCAATTTCATTTTGTTCGAACGAATATAATGATGAACAAATTGCTCACTAAGTACTAGTACGATTTGTTATAAGCATTAAAATAAAACGTGCAATGATTCAAATGAATACAATACACGTTTGCATCATAATATGCAAATCACGATTTTCGCAAATTTTTATTTCTACTGATACTATGCCCAAGTAATAAAATTAAATAACAAAGAATTATTTATTCCATTTTCTACGTTATATTTTTCATTCAATCAATTATAAATGCAAAATAATTATCTAAAGAGAATTAAATTTACCAGGCCTTCCTGGGTCCACTTCCACAAGGATTCCTTGGAGTAGAAGAACGCAATGCCCAACAGCAGCAAGAAGCAGCAGATCAGCAAGCTGCACTCGCGCTTCATCAATTACAGATGCAAAATATGCCTGGAATGCATGAACCACATGTAGTTGGTAGACTTAGTATAACAATTGTTCAGGTAATCTTAAGATTTTTGTTTTCGTGTATATATTTGGGTTTAGCTTTGTCAAACGACAATACATGTATTTTGTAATAACACTTTATTCGTAATTTCAAAAAGAAACTTCCTATAGGCTAAACTAGTGAAAAACTATGGAATGACAAGGATGGATCCTTATGTGAGAATGAGAGTGGGTCATTCAATTTACGAGACACACACATGTTCGAATGGAGCAAAGAATCCGCATTGGAATAAAGTTATTCATTGGTATACATTTTAAATAATAAATATATTTTCAAATATATTTAATTATATGTATTTGCTTTTTATTATCGTAGCTATTTGCCACCAGGAGTTACGCAAATATATGTAGAGATTTATGATGAGTGTTCTTTTGTTATGGACGAGTTGATTGCATGGGGCCACATAGATATTCCACCACAGGTCCTTCAAAAGGGAGAGACGCATGAAGATTGGTGCATGCTTAGCGGGAAACAAGGAGATAATCAAGAAGGGATGATAAATTTAGTTTTTAGTTATACGGTAAAGGTTATTAACGAAATATTAAGTAAAAATATGCATTTCATTAACACTAAATATGCGGATATTGATCGCACATATTTTTATTAAAACCTGTTACGTTGATGATCACATCAAAATATAAATTGCCGAGTTCTGTAAATTTAGTGTCAATGATTAATCCAGAAAGTATTAAAAGTCAACTTGTGCATATGTTTTAATAGACCAAGTGCCACCCGTATATGAATGCACCTTCAGTCATGAGGGTTCCATCATCGACAGTATTCGGCGTGTCACAGTATGCACCGGTTAATGTTTATACGACACCACCCGCGGCTGCAGCTATACCTGTTGTTCCCAGTTCTTTGCCAACTGCTGAAATTGAATTAAAACAGGTAACGTTTATAAATAACAGTTCCTATTGAATTGTACAGATTTGATTTTTTTCTGTTTATTATGACAATTTCTACGAATATATTGTTTGCAGATTTCAGAAATGTTCCCAAACGTGGATAAGGAAGTGATTAAGTCGGTATACGACGCGAATCACGGGAAAAAAGATATAACTATAAATTCATTGTTGCAAATGTGCGAATAAGTAATTTTTTATAAATTACTATATTTAATTCTAAAGGCCGTGTTTGTATTTTCTGCTATGCTGTATTCCTTTCAAACTGTAATATATTTGCTAGCTATTGTCATGCATTTTATGGTATTTTAATATTTAGGAACTTTAATAAGGAGGTCCGTAAAACATATTGGGCAGGGAAATATATTTTCTAAGAAAATACCACTTTCAATGTTTCATATATTTCTTGAACCTTTTGACATCTTCGTTATATACAGAGTGTTCTGGGACGAATTGTACAAAGAAGCTCGTTAAACGCGGAGCTAATTTTGTTTCACTTACTCTTTTGTATCATTCGTCTCAGCCAGTATACAATCATGTGTAACTTAAATAACTAATTGTTCATATTTACAGAAGAAATGTAATGAAATTGTTCTACGTTTATTTGTAAAAAAATTTCTTTCAGATTTTATTTTTTATAAAAGGATGACAGTACAAAAAAATTAATGCATGCATTAATTAAATCTTATGTTCAGGAACGCCTAAAGCTAATATACATTTTTAAGTAGCAAATATTATAAAATACTAAAAGTATTTAATATAATATTCCCAAATACCTCCTGTTGCTTTGATTACCGTCAGAATAGTATTGTAACTTTAAACAAATTTATAAATTCATACATACTTCTTCAAATTACGTATAATTTTTCTTTACCTCCACCTTCATTCCCATGCCAAAACTTACATTTATGTATATCGTTTCTAACGATCAGTCTTCCAAATAAAATTGTTACACTTTTATACTTCAATTATCATTTGTTTTCAATATTATCTACAACCCAAAATAATATTTTGTACCATTATTCCTACCATTAAAAAATACATAAATAATAATTTCACAAACTAGCGTGACCACATGTAAAAGTACGTGCTCTGCCAATGTGGTAAATATTTTTTCATTGGTTCTGCTATCAACCTAGCAAAAGGCACTTTAGTGGATAATGCAGATAGAGCTGCATATATTCTCAAACGACTATAATTGTCATAAAACGGAGATTTAACTATATAAAGTAATAAAGCTAGTCTTCGTCTATTGAGTTCCTCTTTTTCCTCTTTGTTGAAAAACTCAGTTTTTGCCACATTGTTAAACATTTTTAAACTAGAAAAAAGAATTGCGTTGATTATTAATAGATTACATAAGTTTTTTCTTTACTGTATTATTAATAGCAAATCATCTACCTAAATAAATCGATAGCAAATGACAATAACCATGGTGGCCATTGTTTCTCACCAGTGACAGATACACATCCCAAATGAAATAACGGCTTCATAATATACAGACTCTAAAAACATAAGTCATTGATACATTGGTAGGAGCATTATTTTTATAAAACAGATAATAGACACCTATAACATTTCATAATTTACTACATAATGCTTTTACCTCTGCAAATAAAAATTTCTTTTCCGGTACATTAGAAGCATCTAAATTATCATTATTGCTAATAATAGAAGTTAGAGGTTCCCATGTTCGCATTTGTGTTGAACTGGAATCTCTTATACTTCGGACAACAATACCGGATCGTTTCAATGTAAATCCTTCCTGTAACTTCTCATCGTTAGATTCGTTTAACATATCTCTATTAAGTGGTTGTATTGGAGGACGTTTTACTATGCGTTCTTTGTATACATGTATCACCATAAGTCGTAATACAGTCCTAGTAATAATTTACATTTATATATTATTGAACACGATAATCTTCTTTGAATTTGTCATTGATATGTATAAATATCCTTACAAAAATAATGTAATTTATACTATCTTTAAAGTACCATCAACTTACTTAAATATTTGTATTACAATGATTATAAACCATTTGCCACTTCGTCCCCACAATTTCTTAGCGGAGATTTCAAACAATGTTTCTGTATATTCCACGATGGTCAGCCAAATTTTAAGTTTAGACTCAAATTGAGGAAATTTTAAATGCATACATTTTCCACTGCACATTAAGAAATCATTAAAAAGTACTATTAGGTTTGAGAAGGAGTAAATAAACTCTGACGTGAACGTGGAATTGTTGAAGGAACCTAGAAAGTATTTACTTGCTAATGAACTGGAAGAAATATATTACCCTATTAAAAAACATTTGTTCTAACCAGCTGTGAAGCAAGATAAACATTGAATAGTTTTTTCCAAGTCTGCCAGTAACTGTGGATTTTCTATAACCCATTTTTTATACGGTTCAATAATTTTCAAAACGGAAGCATTCACTTTATCGAACATCATCTTGGCCTTTCGAACAATTTAAATGAAACTGATGTTTATAGTCGATCGCTATCAACCTTGAATTATCAACGTGCAATATCTATCAACGAGGGTCGATATTTCTACGGAAATATTATAGGCTACATCCGATGAAACATATAAATATGAAACACCATCTTCTATTTTTTAAAACTATTAACGTACACGAATTAATCTTTCGTTAATCATGTTCACTATTTTATGTTCAATAAAGAACGTCTAAATTTTTTGCTATTTAATATAGCTTTATTTGAAACGAGCTACAATATGTATACGTCAAAAACTCGGTTTGGCTTATACGTCACGCATTTAGTGTTCACAAGTCACAACTCACGCGCTACACGATTCCCCCACTATTTCTGATTCACTCTGCATTGCAAAGGTAAGAAAAAGATAAAATGAGAGTGAGCCAGAGAGACTGAAAACAAGCGAAAAACGATAAAAGATAGATAGAACACAACCTGAACTATCGCAAGGTGTAAAGTCTTCCGATTGGTGGAATGACGTAGCCTGGTAACAGTTAACACTAATTGGCATTGGCAGCGCTAGAGATGGCATGCAAAATCACTAATAGTGATTTATCACAGTGATCACAAAATCACGATCACACTCGTGATAAAACTCAGTGGAAATTCAAAGAATTATAAATGCGCCAAATTTAAATTGCATAGTAATGTAGTCTAAGCAATGAAAAAGGCTGCTTAATTGCATATTTTGTACATTTCAAATGTCAAATTGTTCCAGTCGATTATTTAAATAAATGATAAGAAGTATTGCTTAGGTGTAAAACACTCGCTTTAAAAATAAGAAAAAGTATAAAATCATTTGTAATGAAAATTCTTATGTTCATTTATATAAAAACATACATATTATACATTTATATACGTTTTTATACATTAATATGACATCCTGTATGTATTTATATTATAAAGAAATGTTAGAATTAAAAATTACAAACAGGTTAGTTTTGCATATACATTACTTTGTTGAAAAATTTCACGAACATTTATGAAACGAATGTTGAAACAATGAGAAATAAAACTTATACGTACATCTATTTATCACTTAAAATTGTTCCTTTTCTTTCTCCTTATAAGAAAATTATGTTAACATTGCTTTTAGCCACATTATAATATAATACATATGCAGTCTAAGGACATAATTCGTGAAAAGTGAAAAGAACGCTCTCCACCAACCAAAAGCGATCACGAAGAATCACGAATCACTGTAAAAAATCACCATGACTGGGAATGAACGTGATCGAATCACGAGTGATTCAAAAGTAACAATTCACGCCCTCTGTAGCCAGTATCGATAATCGTTTCGAAGTCTTTTGAATTATTTCGGACGTGTCAAAGTGAAATGCAATATAAAATATAATGAACATTACAGATAAAGAAAATGTTTTTGAATTTAAAAAAAAAGAAAGAATAGATTCTACTTCTGTGAAGTGGGATGCAAATGGGATCGTTTTGCGCGTTTTTGTTCTTGTCACGTGTCTCAAAATACTTTTAATTCCCACGTAGTATGTTTCTTTACATATGACAACATACGTTATTATTTCTAAATTAAATTTAGTTCTATCAAATTATAGGCTATGTGCAATACACTACAGTTTTTATAATTTATTTGACTTATAGTCATTCCACAGATTTCGAGGTTCATCGCAACTGGCTTGCTATAACGCACAATTTACCGATTAAGGAATGGTATGTTAATACCAAATCACAATGGACTCTGGATTATCCGCCGTTATTTGCATGGTTTGAATATCTTCTTAGTCATGTGGCAGCATTTGTTGATCCAGAGATAGTTAAAGTGGAAAATCTAAACTATGCTTCATTGGGTACTATCTACTTTCAAAGATGTTCTGTTATATTTTTGGATTTACTGTTTGCTTATGGAATAAGAGAGTAAGTCTCAAAAGCTATGTACATAATATTTAATTATTTAATTGATAGCTAAGTATGCTTCTTATATATATTTTAGAGTTGGAAAAGTATTCTGTACATCATTTGATAGCTATGCTATTTTTATAATTCTATCACTATGCAACATGGGATTGTTGGTAGTGGACCATATACATTTCCAATATAATGGATTTCTACTTGGTATTTTATTACTAGCTATTGCAAATGTTTGCAAAGTAAACGATCAGGTAAATTGGAGAATGTTATCTACCTTCCAATAAAAATTAAATAAGTTACTTTTCAGATATCTATCTTACGAGGAACTTTATATTTTGCCCTACTGTTAAACATGAAGCACATTTATTTGTACGTTGCACCAGTTTTTGTAGTCTGGCTGCTTAAATCATATTGTATGAATAGTGGTCAGTTCTTTAAGCGTCTGTTTCTCCTTGGAAGCATAGTTGCCATCACTTTGGTGATTTCGTTTGGTCCATTTGTGTTTCAGTTACCTCAGGTACAGCAATTAAATATTGCATAATATTACTTGTGACTAACTATTATTCCTTTAGGTATTATCAAGACTGTTTCCATTTAAAAGAGGTCTAGTGCATGCATACTGGGCTGCAAATGCCTGGGCACTGTATATAGGCCTAGATAAAGTACTATCGATAATTCTAAAACAATTAGGTTGGCTCGAAATGACGAAATTAGCAGTAATGACTGGTGGTCTGGTACAAGAACAGTCGTTTATAGTATTACCAACGCCTACTCCACTCGTAACATTTTTGTTAACTCTCTTTTCGATGTTGGCAAGTTTTATGAATGTTAATATTTTTAATATTAAACATTGTCAATGTATCTAAACATTATACAAATTGCAGCCTGCATTATACATCCTACTTTTCAAACACTGTACTTCAAATTCAAAGCAGTTTGTACAATGCATAGTTCTCTGTGCTTTATGTTCATTCATGTTCAGTTGGCATGTACATGAGAAAGCTATTTTGACTGCTATTATTCCATTATGGTAAGATAAAAATTGAAATTACTATTTTATTATTCGTTAAGAAGTTACATAATCCTCAAACAACTCTTGTATTTATTTTAGCATTTTGGCTGTGATAAACAAAGATGATGCTAGAATATTTTTAATTTTAAGCAATACTGGGCACGCTGCGCTCCTACCGCTACTTTATCCAAACAATTTGACACCATTAAAAATATTGTTACTTCTAACATACATGGTTGCATCTTTTCTGGTATTGTCTAGAAAATTCAAGCAACGTTTACTTCATTTTCACGAATACATATATGTTATTAGTCTACCATTGTTAACAGTATATGAGACTATATTCCACAAATTGATCTTTGCTAATAAACTACCATTTTTACCTCTGGCCCTTACTTCGGTATATTGCTCAGTAGGAGTATGTTACTCTTGGATGCTTTACTATTACATGTTCTTACAATATTGTAGTAACATCAATGACCAAAGAAAAAAAATTGACTAACAACATTGTAACCGTCCCCCGTGCGGGATCAATTTAAATGGATAATAAATTGTTAATTGAACAAAAATAATGCTTTATTATACCCAAGTAACTACGTAACAACGATTCAGAATATTATTTTGTTTTGTTTATTATGTTTAAATTTTTATACAAACGTTCATCACTTTCAAAACATTTTCTTCATGCATTTAATAAATTTACGAGGAACCTTTATTTTATTGTATCTTTATTATAACCTTTCTTTAAAAGATTTGCTATACTTCCACATCACCAATTGTAAGGTCATCGAGCATTTCCTCAAGGGTAATTTGTGGACAATTAGGATCAGGTACTTCATAAGCATTCATTGGAATTGTTTTCGAACGATCTCGGAAAATATTTATATTTTTTCTCATTTCTGCATCTTCCTCTATGTCCTCTAAGAACTCGTAATAATCGTTGTTGTCAGTAGTTGCATTGTCATCGTTTAGCATGTGTTTTAATTTCCAAGCTCGCATTTTGCGACGAGCGACTCTATTGTGCATATAATTCTTTTTTACCAGAATTACGTCTGGTACAGAATCTTTATTCAATTTCTCAAAATTTTCATCATTAATATTACTATCATTAAGGGCATACCCTAAAGCAGTGTCGCCTGGTTTTAATATCTGGCCAAGATGTGTACGTGTATGAATTAAGTTATTGTTTATTCCTAATTCACAACTTTTAACTAACCATACATCTGCTATCACATGTTTATTGGAAATTGTTCCCTGTCCTGGAAAGAAATTCCTATCCTTGAACTTTACTGGTTCAATATCCATTACTGTATACTCTAGTAACTGTTTTGGATTACAAATACTATTAAAAGTATGCCTCCAGTAGAGAGTGGAATTCACTTCTGCAATTTGTCCACTTGATACATCTATCAAATGAATAGCATTTGTCATTTTGTAAACAAAGCAAATGGGATTAATTCCTCCCAATTGATGACTTAATTTTTTTGGAAGACATACTATACTGTCCCTAGACACTGGAACTATTTCTACACTGTACGTGAATTTATAATTGTAGATGTTACTATGTATATCGTGCGAAATCAATTTTTTGGAATGATTATATCGACAAGGTACAACACTTGAAAGGAAATCAACCATCTTTCTAGCTGCTGCTTCATTTGCAAAGAAAAAATCCAGGCCCTCGTGAATAGGTTTTATACCTAAAGTTTGTTCGTGCGTTCTGTACTTTAAAATCAATTGCTCCAAGTAATAAAATGTCTTTTTATTTATTGCCCGTTGTCGTACTTGTACCAAAGTACGCCAATAATCCTTTGCTTCTGTTCTATGACAATCATCGCACATGTGATGATTTACTATATATTCGACTACAAATATTTGTTGTAAAATTGCACCACTCATTACTTCAGCTTGTACTGTAAGCTTCACCCTCAACCTCATCGAATGAGGCTCTGTCCATACGAATCCAGCATCGATTAATTTTACACGATTCAAACCTTTCAACTTTTTTAGACATAATGTTAACAATTCTTTAGACTCTAGCGACGCGTGAATCCATTCTGCAGGTGGCTGCAAATATCTTTCGCATCCTTTACAAAAATGTATCGTTGCTTGTTTCGGGATATTTTCTGTAATGTCAATTTGAGTTCGCAAACATGCAACACACATATTGGCTGGATTTGGTTCAATACCAATACCACAAACACAACATAATACCATTGTTCCTTGTTTACCAGGATCGTTTAGTGCTTCCATTATTCGTATATATTTATACACAATATACTATCAAATATAACAAAATTAAAGGAACCCCGAAAAATTTATGACAAATGATCCACTATCTAACCAAGTACTGAGCACGTGCAATCTACCATTAACTTTACGTTTTTTACGTATTTGTACCGAATGCGTTCACAAAAATAAGTAATTTTGACCCGTTTGGTACAAGTAGGTGCCATAAGCTGTTATATAGTTCTAAAAACATGGTTTTTCCTAGTTACGTGGAAAATCCTATGTAACGTCCGCGTAGCGTACATCTCCCCACTCTGGCCCCTCGTCCCTATATTACGAATAATTAGTTACTAAATAGTAACTAGATTGCGGAAACCGCTCGCAATATCATAAAATATTATAACAATTATGTTCATTCACTAGTAATTATTATATTTAATCGCTAAATATAATATTTAATCCTATTCATGTATTAATCGTTACGCTTACCCATTGTTAATTATTATATTTGTTTAAGTCTTGTAAAAATTCATAAATATAATATAATAGAGTTTAAGCACGCGTAGGATTAAGAAATATAGATTTTATATACCTTTGAAGCGAGCTATTAGCCGAGTGTGATTGCCAACAAACAAATCAAAGAATGTTTTCTACATCCGGCGTAGGTGACCGCTCTTGGGCGCGAAGTCTCAGCCGGTGATACTCGAGGCTACCTGGCTTTCATCCAAGAGGCCCGTCTACAATATTTAAAAGAATATTCAAGGACCACAGAATATCTTATTATTTTACCGAGCTATTGAGCGTCGAAGCCCGCCTGGGAAAATAGTAGCAAATCGTCGTACTCGTAAAAATTTAAATGCCTAAGAGAACCCGTCGCTCCGGTCGTTGCCAACAAATTCGCCGTCTCGCGATCTTTTAAAATCAGCCGGCACTCGCAGACACGCAATTACTCGGAGTTCGGGCTCCGCCAATCGAAATCGAGATAGAGATGCTACCCCAATACCTTGTCCTCACCAATATCCCCAAGAGCGATCCACGGGCCGTGGATTCCACGGCGACACTGGCGACAGCGCTACGTGGAAATTCCACGGTGGAATACCTTCGCCAGATCGGCACGCCACCCCCGGAAGAATAATAAACCAAGTAAGCCTAGGGAAATCCTTTCTCACCAACGTCGACGGATTCCGAACGTAACACCTATGTAACTAGAGAGCTACATTTACGAACATATGCATAATTGAAGTGCAATTATTGAACTCGCTTCTTGTCATCGCGTGAAAGAATCAGTCGAAGAGTCGAATGTCGTAGCGATGGCGGCATGGATTACGAAAATTGCGTTACGAACAGCGAGTAAGTTTATTATTCACGCTGTTCGTCCTCTTATTTTGATATCTTTTTGACAATGATAATCCGTCGCGCGTTTTAGTGCTACTGTTGATCTTATAACGTTGTATGTTTCGTAAACTCACATCCATCATTTTAATAATTACATAACGTTGACGACAAACTGTGTTTTGTCATACAGAAAACCAAAATGTGTACGCTGTGGGGTACACAATACAGAGCCGCGATTGCTCTTCGAAACCAAGAATTATTAAGAATCCAACTACAGCCAGCTTGAAAAGAGGCACGGGAGGCCGTAGCTCCTTTAACGGGATAGTATGCACAGTTTTTGGATGCACTGGCTTTATTGGGCCATATGTATGTAACCACCTTGGGAAAATGGGTACGCAGGCAAGTAACTTGCTATATGATTAAAAAAAATAACGTTCGGCGATAAATTTTTTGTATTCACATATAGTCGGCCTCGCTCACTTTCATTTTTAATATTTGTACATGGTTCATAGAATCTTCATTTCCATTAATTTTGTTGTGTATGGATTAAGTTTGAAAGACATGATTCATAGTTTAAATAAATAAGAATCAAACGCTAAAACCATGTTAATAATAATTATCTTGCAGCTAATTCTTCCACACAGATGCACACGTTATCTTGCTCTGCCTCTGAAATTGTGTGGAGATCTTGGGCAGGTTTTGTTTCATCCTTTTCATTTGAGAGATGAAGAGTCCATAATCAGGAGTATGAAATACTCTAATGTTGTGATTAATTTAGTTGGCCGAGATTATCCAACCAAGAATTTTAGTATGTCGGATGTAAACGTAGAAGGATGTAGAACTTTGGCTAGACTTGCTAAGCAGTGTAATGTGGAACGTTTCATTCATATGTCAAGTTTGAATGTAGAGAATCCTACAGTAAGTTTACCAATTAAATTATGTTCATATTTAAAGTTATAGAAATAACAATTTCTATTATCAAAACATTATTTTTTTTTTGCAAGCCAATGATTCTACCTGGGGGTTCTGAAGTTCTTAAAACAAAATGGCAAGGAGAATGTGCAGTGAAAGAAGAATTTCCAGAAGCTACTATTATTAGACCATCGGTCGTATATGGACAAGAGGATCATTTTATGACCTATTATTTGAGTGCTATAAGAAGAACATGGAGGTAATATATTTTAATGATTATTTAACTTGTGGACACATTCTTTCAATTTGTTACAGGAATATACCATTGTGGAAAAAAGGAAAAGAAACAGAAAAACAACCAGTACATGTTTCCGATGTAGCTGCTGGTATTGCTGCTATTGCAACAAATCCTCGTACTGCTGGCAAAACTTACCAGTTTGTTGGGTATGTAAAATAAACAATTTTGCTAAGTTCTTATACAGAAATTGAAGATCTATTTTTTTTTATTTAGGCCAAGGCGATACACATTAGAGACTCTAATTAGGTGGTTCTATGATATAGCATGTCATGGATATGAAGATGTAGGTTACGATGTAAGTGAGTTAAAGACAAATCTCCTCTTCCGACTACAAGTTGCTGCGAATGGTGCTGTACATCACGTATTTCCTCTTTCGCGTTTAACTTGGGATATATTAGAAAGAGTAAGTGTAGTTTTTTTACTTCTATAATTAATGTAAATCATTATGTATTAATTCAAAGGGTAAAAAAAATATTCATTAATTTTTGTGTAGGATCATACTAGCGACAAAGTAATACCATCATTACCAACTTTAGAAGATCTAGGCATAGTACCAATCAACATGGAATCCCAAATACCTTGGGAAGTGAGACCATATAAATTCTACGACTTCTATACCGAAGAATTGGGAGAAATTATACAACCTAAACCACCACAAACTGTTCCCTTGCGTTGAAATTTTTATTATCAATTGAGATTAGTGTAAAAACTGAATGTGCTCTATTGAAATAAAGAGTACACTGTTCTAAATTTTAGTACTTTTCTTCTTTGTTCATTAAACTTGTTGCTTGTACTGTTAATTACATTTTTCTATAATAAATTATTGTAATATTAGCAAACGCGAGAATTATGTTTTATTGTTTATTAAATGACAGACCATTCTAACTACAATTTAAGATTACAGTGTCTAATTATTGTTTTCGTTATACGTTACGTGTTAGATGTTGGTAAAAAATATAAGCTAGTTTGGTCCTCGGTTACTATGCTGACCGAAGGCCATGCAGATTTTACATTACAAATGGCAAGGGTAGATTTTTCCCTTTTGTTTCTTTTTTTTTCATAGTTAAAAAGCACAGTATTGCCCTTCGATTTTATGAATAATTAAAAGCTTCGGAGCATCAATTTGAAATATTCTTGTCACTAAATACAACTTGAAAACTTTAAAATACGATTAATATCGAAAAATCGACAGACATATCATCAATTTAGGCCGAGAAATAAATCATAATAGGATTATGAAAATTTTTTAAACAAACACGAAATTGTTTTTGAAACGCAAGCTGTTGCTTGCGATTCATTAGGAAGCTCTCTAGATTACTAGCTCTAGATTCATGTACATGTAACAAATCTGCTATCATGAGAGTGGTTCTTTTAGGCAAGGAAGACTACGCACACGTAGAACGATCACACGAAGAGTTAATTCTCGGGGTAATAGAACTACTCTAAGGTATTTGTTGTAAAGATTGAACAAGCCAAAATTTTGCTATAAAATCTTAAATATATTTAATTATTATCTGTGTATTAAATATTAGATTTTTAAAAAGGAATGTTGTAATCGCTAACATTTTGGTAGAGTTCTAAATTAAAAATGACAAAAAACAAAAGATTTAAATAATAAATTTTAATTCAATTAATTCTCTAACTGAAAGAATTAACTCTTCCTAAGATCAAACACAAATTATCGCGATTTTTTTTTTTCTTTTAAATCACGCGAATTTTGTTCCTTCCACGAAGGATTCTTCATACAAGTCCAACTTATTATGTATATCCTTAATCTCTACATACTTTCATTATCGTCGACGAGAATCATTTATTCAAATCTCGTTGTTAACCCTTTGTTTCGTGCACTCAAACGTACATTAAAAAATATGTCTATTAATAATTGTCTATGTCTGTACGATACATCGAAACTAAGAAAACCCACTGAACATTTGTATAAAAGTACAATGTGAAACATTTACAGAAAAATTCTTCAATAATGTAACTAATGAATTAGCTTAATAATAATTTATATAATAAAAGAATGAACAAAACAAGGGGTTAACGTAATGTGAAGTGGCAAATGTAAACAGGTCACTTGCAATCACCTCTCATTTACAGAATTAATCCAAATTGGATGCAGTTTCACCGACCCAGTTACACGGGCCAGTTTAAAGCTCATAGTCGCATGCTTAAGATTGTGCGAGTTATAATAATCGAATACAGTGAATGTCTGTAAGAGTTCTTGATAATTATTTCGTAAAGTAGAACTGCAATGATAGTCAGCCATGTGAGGTCTACTTTCACAAATTACAAGACTATCTCAAATTTAATCTCGTAATTGTCCGCTTTTTACATTAATGCAACAATGTTACATTAATTCTTCCTATTGCATTTATTATGGTGGGTTAATTATAAGTGTTATTGTATTTGGCAAAAGTTTACCAAAGGTGTCTACACGGAGCTTATTCGCAAATTTCAATGGTTTCTATATGTATATATCGAAGGGGACATATTCTTGAATATATTGGAATGTATTCTATCTAATATATACGAAAACCATCGAAATTGACAAAGAACCCCTTTTGTAAACAGTTATCTGGTATTTTTATAGTTAACCGTTCGTATCTATGAATGTGTTTATTTTTTCCTGATAGCTTCCTTATGTATATTGTTAACTTTCTAAAAACGACATTCAATATTAAATTTGAAAGATGTCTTGCATGTGTAAATGGCAGCAATGTGTAAATTTTATTAACCAAGGGGCAATATATTCTTGTACTAGAGGATTTCATTAACTTCTCAAACAAAAAGAAATTAAATGAAAATTTTACTATTTAACTATAAATTAAAGTTAAAATATTTGTAGATCACTCTTTAATAAATACAATACAGAGGATGACTATTTGCGCAGTTGTTATCTCCTTATTCGATCTAAAATAAGATCCAATTATCCGTTTCCGCACTATATAGTACAAAATGATTTGCTATGTACAAAAGGACAATTTAAATTAGAACAAGAGCCGATATGACGAAACATTTTAGCTACGTATCAGGGATCGAAAAGATTCTGAAAATAACTGTTTGAAATTGTTGTATAAAGATTCTAACTACAGCCTATTAAGAACCGGCATAATGTTACAACAGTTATGAATGAAGATGATTCAACAATGGATGCTGGAACCATTTTTGTTTATAACTGCGACACTATTATTTCGGTTCTTGTAACTATTTCGTAACCGGAATCAATATCATAACTGTTTTCAATCCCCCTATATAACAGTCTTACTATACTTTCAGAAAGTGTCGTGTAAGTGTGATTCAAAAAAAAAAGATAGTTCTTTTCATTCGTAACATTATGTTCATCGATGCCGATACGAATATCGTATTCACGTTAAATGTAGCATCAACATCGTTGGCAAAAAAATTTATAGAAGTTTAAAGCTACTTCACCTTTTCTATTCGATAATCCGCAAAAACTTACGAATCGAAACATACAACGTACTCATTTGCTTCGCAAATTATGCAAATAAACAAATTTGAATGCTTGCAACGAAAAGATTTACAGTAATGCACGGTCAACTTTCATAAGATTTGGGTATCAACTGTGAAAGTTAGTGTATCATTCGTAGAACTGAACTTGAATAATACAAGTGAAAGAGATTGGAGGGGGGAAGGGATGAAGTGTGAAAAGTTAACCGTGCAGTACTGTACATACTAACTTTGTATTCAAACGACAACTTAAATTCTCTCCCACGATTCAAATTACAATACCAATGATATGCCATACTGTAACTCCTTGGAGCAAACCTGGACTCACTGAAAAAGGTTCATCGATAACAGAAGAATGAAAAACAGAGTCGTTGACAGCGTAAAGATCCCGACGACACCGGAGCCTAGGTTGTCCTGTACAACATTGTCGTAACACCTGGCGATTAAGTCGAAGTCGACGAGATTCATATGCTTTCCGTTGTACTCGATAGGCGAGATGCAGTAGTTTTCCTTCTGAAACTCGCTTACAGTGCCGTTCACGAAGTCGCTCTCGAGCACGTTATGAGCCTGACAATCACAGGGGAAATGATTGTCAATGGCGCTGATGGAAGTAACTTCAAGTTTGATGTCCCTGGCGTGGCGGGGCGCTTCTAGCACGTGATTCCCGTGGAATCTTAACAACTCTATGTTGTTCTCGTGCCTCAGAAACAGTCTCTCGATAAGATCGATTTTGTTGTTTAATATATTCAGCCGATTTACATGATTAAGACCGCTGAAGACGTTCTTTTCGATGACGCCCAGATCGCTTTCCTGAATATTCAGAGAGTGTACGTAGGACAGGCCACGGAAGGTGTAAGACTGAAGCGATGATAGGTCCATGTAAGTCAATTTTAGAAGGCCAACGTCCTGCAGGCCGTTGAACGCGTCCGGTTCGATGGATCTGATACCCGATGGAAAGATTAGGCGGACAACGTTCGTTAAGCCAGAGAACGCGTGGCTTTGTATTCTGAGCAATGGATTGTTGCTCAATAGAATCGCACGTATATTAGACGTCCCGACGAATGAATAGCCCTCGATGTAACGAATCTTGTTGTTTGCCAGCAATAACACCGATACGTTCTGCAGCGCGGCGAACGAAAATTTCTCGATGAATGGCAGAGGCGTATGGCGAATCGAGAGCTCGTGTAATCTGCTTAGACCACGGAATGCGAACGGACGTATCGTTGTAATGTTGTTACCATCCATCGTCAGTTTCCGCAGGACTCTCAAGCCAGCGAACGCGTCGCCTTTTATTACCGGAAAGTTGTTTTTTGTTAGCGAGAGTTCCTCCACCGTCTGAGGCAGCTGCTGCGTAGGAATGTCTTTCAACCCACCTGTATTGCAGAGAACCTGGAAAAGTAGCGTCTTCTATTTTGCAAGCGATACAGCGAATCACAATAATTACTGGTACAGATGCAGTCGGCCGCACAAGTGTTCGTCCATTTACCACACTCGGCATACGAATAAGAAAATAAAAGGAAACATACATGTAAAAATTAAATAAAAAATACAGAAGTTAATCTTAGGCTGTTAAACTTGCCTTTTCTTTTTTTTCTCTATACGCACGACGAGTACGGCAAGTGAACGACCACGTATGTACGAGCCACTTCTAGTACGTGTTTACAATAAATGTATTGTAAAAACGGTACCATATTGCTGAATTATAATCTAATTTCATTTATGCAGTTTTAAGACCGATCCCTATAAATGTAAGTGTTCGTATATTTTCATATATAAGTGTACGTTTAATTACGTTCGAATTATAACATATCAAACACACGAACGATGAAGGATCATTTATATCCCAACAACTTAATAAGTCCTGTTGCAAACAGATCAATTCCATCTGTGTTTGAATATTATATAACTTGATTTCTTAAATTATTAATTTTATATGACTCGAAATTTCCCTGTTACGTGAATTGTGCGTGATTCCTAAATGTCCAACTGATTTCGTATGATCTTGACATCCATCTGATTGTGAGATTTAGGAGTGTGCTTCTGTGCGGTGTAACCGTTTATCCAGGGTTTGCTTTCTGATCCTCGGAGATCGCACTGTAATATTCAGACACGGAATACTATAGTATGGGATTGGTTGGTGTTGTATTGAAACCCTCAATCTAAGCTTAATTAATGGCGCATTAACTCCTCAATTTAGGACCAGTTAAGCGATGATCAAATCCTGATTGAATTGTGGCTGCCGGTCTACGATAATACTATTCAACGACCCTAGAGATCACGGTGCAAACTATTTCTTGTTCCATAATAATACCGTGGTTTTCTTCCTCGTCTATAGTTATTTGCAAACAGTCACCTGCTTTGGGGAAAGGCAAATGCATTCTGCAGGGCAATCCCAACTTTTCGTAGTAGTAGTAGTTTCCTGTTGCAACGTAAGTCTCGAGCTCAGCGTCGCTGTCCACAGCAGGTAATAAATGCAGATCTACGATAAGAAAAGAAACGACAACAAAATTAATGACTTAGATCAATGTGTTCTATAATTAACACTTTGCCAACCGTATACTTTTCGTAAAGTATACGCGGAAACAATGTGTTAACGTTTACAAGTGGAACAGACAAATCTTATGAAAAAGGTGTCCGACGTACACATGTTTATCAATCGACCGTGTTTTTTTAAATTATACAACTTTCTCGTTATCCAGGCCTCCAGTCCTTTACAGGGAATTAAAATTACCAACAATTACTTTCAAGTATAATAATCCTCTCAGAGATCGTTCCAATTACCCGAATTCCGTTTAACTTTCGATTGCCGTGCCCTACTTTCCGCAAGCGAATTAATTACTGTCCAGATTTATTGATTGAACGATTATAGAGGAATGTTCGTCTGAAACCAATTTGCCAAATACTGAACTTTGTCCTTATTCCGAGGATCGATATGGCGGACCAATTCTCTCTTGCTTCCTAATTAATTCCTTTACAATTCAATTCTCGGATGTAACTCGAGCTTAGTATATCGTCGATCATTCGTTCCTAAATAACGCTTTACTTATATATTTGTTTTTATTTAAATGTTTGAAAAAATCATATCCCTGGTATCTGTTTACTAGTCGAGCAGAATACAGCATTTCATTATAGAACCACAGTTATAATTCTTTACGACCCTATATAGAGTCGAACGCGGCATTATATTTCGTTCCAGTTCGATATAGAATTTTCTAACTCCTGTTACATCTATCTTCTTGTAATACTGTGATGCAAATATTTCATAATCGTTTAGTCAGTATTTATAAGTAATTAAAACAAGATTAGGTCGATTCGCGTTTATATGACACAGTCGATCGAAGTTGATCTTCGTCCGATCAGCAATAATAATAACCGTGAAATGCAAGGGAAAAGAAACGATATATTACAGACGCGCAACATGCGAAAGATACCGTGAATTGCACGTTGGAGATTGTATCGCGCGATTATTGTCTCTCTTATATTAAATAAATTACTGTGAATTCGCTTCTCATCGCTACAATAAGGAAAGACACACGAGCCATAGGGTATAAGTGGAAATAATCGAATTGCGCATGAACCTGCTGAAACGAAATATTAAAAATGTCTCGTATCACAATGGATTAACGCGACGACGTTCGAGCGTTCGATTACGAACTTCCCGATCATTCGTTCCAATTACAGTGCACGTTTTGTGCTTTCAGCCACGAAGGATTATACTCTCTTGTTTTCTATTAACACTATCCTAACTATGCAATCATCGGAAGTTACTCAACCCATTTGGTTCTCTGAACTCGAGGCCTCGTGTGGTACCTAAGTCCGATCAATCTATCGTTTCGTGTAAACGCGATAAGAGAAAGTAACCATTTTAAGCATCACATCGCGAACTATCGGCTCGATTATTTCTTGAAGTTCGTAACGGGAAGCTCGGATCTTCTGGCGGTTCGACGTTCCGTCGACAAACCCGGAGACGGAGGATCGGGAAGCCTGGATCGGGCGCGAGGACACCTGGAAAAAATAGTAAACGACAGAAGCGGTTCTCGGGCATGCAAAATATCCCCGCGTACGCGATCACGGTTAAAGGGCACCGTATCAACGGCGAGAATACACGCGAATACAATCTGATTTGTACCTGCGCTCTGCAATACATCAATCCTGGAGTTTTTAGGGCGCATGCCTCGGCATCCAGGAAAACGTTGCGAGCGGCTGCCGACGTTCCAGCGTGTCCTGAAAAGTGACAACGAGGCTCCAGGAAATAGCGTGTTCGAGATTGTACGCACGACGATCCACTAAATCCGTTTACGACCGTCGCGCTGAATCGCGAACGACTGCTTACCGAAAACGGACGGTACGAGGCACTAGGCGTCCAATTTGGATATTCCCCGATCTCCGGAAGAACGATACGGGGCCGGGAGAAAATTCGCTATCCGTGGCCGTATTCACCGGCTGGGCTCGGGGCTTTATTTCTCCTTAGCCAACCAACCCCTCTTCCTCCCACCCCTCACCCTCCCTCATCCCACGTAGCGATCTGCGCAAGCCCATAATTATTCTCTCGGTGCGCGTAGCCTGGAATGAAACTTATTAGAGGGACAGAACTACAGTCCGAGACGAAATGATAGGACACTTTATGTATAGGGGTTTGCAATAAGACCGATGGAACCTTTAACCGAAATAAAATAAAAATTATTAATCCGGTGCTCGTTGTATTATATTTATAGACATCTAATGACTTTATATTGGGTTGTTCGGAAAGTAGTTTCGTTTTCTTACCAACAGAGACGTTAATTGTATTTTTTAATCAGCTAACTTTATTTTAAACCGTATTTTCATTATATATTTTCACAGCTGGCACCTCGAGGCTTTTGTTTGTTTCTGTGCAATTGTATTCCTCTGGTGTCCCGTAAAATATGGAAAATCAGAAGCTGCATTTTCGGCATATTTTGCTTCTTTATTATCGAAAAGGTAGAATGCTGTTCGAGCAAGAATAAAATTGTGTGACGCGTATGGAGAAGATATTTTAACAGAACGCCAGCGAAATTGTTAATAAGTTTTTGTCGAATTCGACCGTTTGTGATCACATGAGACGACTTGGTTTCGTTTCAAAGCTCGACATTTGGGTCCCACCATGATAATGCCAGATCTCACGCAAATTTAGTAACTCGTCAGAAGCTATTGCAGTTTGGATGGGATGTGCTACCACACCCACCATACTTTCTAGATCCGGCGGTCTTTAAAAAATTTCTTAAACGATAAAACATTTACTTAAAGCGACGATGTCAAAAATCACTTGCATCAGTTTTTTATAAATAAGGGCACAAATTTTATGAGCATGGAATCATACTACCAGGAAGATGGCAAAAGATGTTGGACCAAAATGACCAGTACACGATTCAATAAAATATTTATATATTATGAGAAAATTGTTCCTTTTCACGCGGGAGAAAAACGAAATTACTTTCCGAACAACCCAATACATAAAATACAATATCGTTTAAATGACCACCATAGGCATGCAAGAAAAAGTTTAATCGCAAGGGCGTCGAATTGCAAGATTTTGGTGGCTAATTGACAGCTGCTGTGATATGTGTTGCAATATGGCAGCTATGACGATTATTGGAAAACCCTACATTACGGTTCTCGAAAATCCACTTTTTCGAATATACGACCAGGCGCGGTCACGATCGTTGGTCATATATCCAGGCATCACTATACACTATACGATCGTGCAAAGTATACGGTAAAAGGATACGGAAATAGTTTCGTACGGATGATCGAATAAATTGTGATTATAAAATCATCCAATTAAATTGTTGCTCCACTCGACCGATAATCGTAGTTTTATTATATTCTCACGGCTCAACGTTAGCATGACGTTATAATGTAAAATTAGTTCTGTGCCTCTTTTTGCTGTGTACCCACGATTACCCATTCTCGTGACCTAATTGAAATTCTTCCCTGCGGCGATATCGGTGCACTGACTCTGACATCGCGACGATCAAACGAAAAGAATCGCTTAAACACAAACAAAAAGTCCCGAGACTTCGGCGAACAAACGCCCGCTATAGTTTGACGAAGACTTAAAGCAATACGATAAAATTAAGTTCGCTGGGCTTCGAACAAAAATACCTATAGTCGGAGCCGCCTCGGGTTCATCACCCTGTTTTCAACCAAAAAAGTCTATAGCGCTTGCGATTGAACGTATCATGATATAGCGTGCGTCATAAATACTTCATCTAATCATATAATTATTTCCTATATAATGCCATTGTATGCACATTAAAATAAAACAATGAGCACCAGATTATCCTTCGTTGTTTTCATTTTATTTAAATTCAAAGTTCTATTGCTCTTATTAGAAAATCCTGTATCTGCTAATATATCGACTTACTAAAATACTGTTGCCTTCTAGTTTTTGTTTCTCCACGTTTCCTTTATTCGCAAAAGAAACTTTTCTTTATCTATTTTCTGCGTCATTTCAGTGGCACATTTGGAATAGTTTGAAAGGGGTGTTAATTTAGATCTTGTTTCGCTGGTTCGTTAAAACTTTTACGATACTAACTTTTAATTGTACGCGTGCTCTCTTTATGCTCGAAGACTGTATTAAAATGGTGGTGGGAGCATAGGAAACCTTTAATCCAATATCAATTTAGGCGTATTTCCGGCTGCTAGGGTTAAAGTATCAAGAAGAGAGAGTATCAGGCCGCTTTCGTGTAAAGTTTAATCCTTTGCGGTCTGAGTACTTGCACAATTCATTTGCCTCCACTTACAATGGCAGACATATACTTACGAACGGTTTTTAATATTACATTCTCTTTTCGATAATATCGTATAGAAAGGGTGTAAGCAAATTTCGATTTCGACTTCTCTAAATTAATTTTTGAGGACCCTAAACTTTAAACCGAATAAGTTAAATCCGGACTTCCGGTGTCGGCCATTTCAAAAAACTAATTTTTTTGCAATTTCTTAGCAATTTATCTTCAGTAACATTAATGGCCGTACAACTCCAAACGAGTACGTATCGACCACCTCTTTTAACTATTGATTTAATACATTTTGTACTAAATACTAAACAAGCATGGCGTTTTATATAAATTTTGCCATCAGATCCTGCACGATTGAATTTACTTTCAACTTATACGTTATTTCGAATTGTATTTGATTCCAAGAAAATGAATCGAATAATTTTGACTTTTTGGGGCAAATACTCCATACTGTACCACAGTTTGTTGTAAAATCCATTTGGGGATCAAATAATACGTACAAAAGAATAGGGAGTAACGCATAAATTCTCGCACAGTTTCTCAGGATAATATATTTCATAACAAACTTGTACAGTTCTAGTAACATATGTCCACATAGTGGAAATGGAAAGCAATACCCGTATTTTTATGGTGGTAGAAACTTACAATTAATCAAAAGTGCGATTTCGTGTACGCGTGTCTGTGTACATGTGCATGTACGCGTGTATGTGCAATTTTTCAACGTAGCAAAAAATCAGTCTTAAGAAATAATACGTTAAATTTACATACAAGTAAAAGGCAACTCTCTTTCTTCTCCCTCCTTGTTCGTGATTATTTACAACTCTAATTCAGTAATTAATATATCTAAAATTCTACGTTTTCGTAAGGCATCGAAGATTGCGTCTACGCGGTAGTTAAAATCGTCGTTAGATTATGCCATACGTGTTCTAACATTTGAATCTTGGTTCTCGATACCAGACCATGTTTCTTTCTTTTTATTTATACTTGCCATATAATATTGCTACGCTTCTTATTTATTTTTAGAATAACTTTCAGAAAATTTCACCAGAAATATTGCGCGAAAAATATGCAGGACATCTCCGACCGCGAATTCCGAAATGCTGATATGTTTTTAAACGTCTTCTTGAAATGCATAATTGACAATTTTCAACTTTGCCTTTCGGGAAAATCTGCTTTGAACACATTATTTTCATCCACTATTACAACAACAACAAACACTATTCAAACAATGTTCTACAATGTTCCAAGAATTCGTTCTGTTCGAATTGAACTAGTCTTTGCTCAGGCACGTATAACATCAACTCTTTCTGTATTTGCTCAGATATGTAACTTACACTACTCTCGCATCTCTTCCATTTGACTACTGTTACGTATTATATTCCTATATTTGAACTTTACTATTTCTTTGTTTATTGCTATATGGCGGCGACGCCCATCGGACGCCGTGAATCAGTCATTTTTCGATATAAATATCATTCTATTTCACAATCGCATTGCGATTAATGTACAGGTACAATATATTAACGTAGCTCAAATTTCACCTGAATCTCGTCTCTTTAAAAACCTAGAACGGTTAAAAAAAACTCACGAGATCTAAAAAAAAAGACGAAGGTCCAGGTGAAATTTCGAAAATCGATGTTCCGTTTTATTTATCGTTATTTTAAATTCATTTAAAACGGCTATGGAATATTCTCTATGTATGTTGAGGTAAATAAGTTTCAAGGCAGCTTTGGTTTTGTACTTATCGAAGAGCATTCTGCTAGCAATACAATGAAATCTGTTTGGAACTAGAGCGAAAACAATTTTATTTAAAATAACGTTTCGCCTTTCCATTTCGTTGCAAACAAATTTCACCGTACCAAATCTCGTCGTTGAGAGTGCGGTACGAATTCAATCGTACTCTAATAGTATTCCTTACTATTACTGTTTAAACTGACAACTATTTGTACTTTCGATAAAATCTGAGATCCATAATGAACGTGACATTAAAGTAAAAAACATCTATGGCGTAAAAATCTCATTTTCTCCTATCAACGATTCTTTATAAAAAGAATTACTGTTTATGCATCCGCGTCGAGAGGATCCTTACGTGTATAAACCTGAGATCTATGCAACTTTACGCCGAACGCATCGAATAATGCGTTTCGATTACGATTATAAGAAACAACGCGAAACTCAAATACAACGATTTACAGAGAAGCCTGAAAATTTACGTCATTGATTGGTACTGCGTGTCTGTAAATCGTTGCATCCAGCCGTTGAACGGCGATTTCAACATAATTAAGAAAACTGCAACTTTCGTACCCTACAACTATATCGTAATTAAAAATTTATATCTGTTCATAATATAATATACTTTTTATAACTTATATAATATATATATATATGTGTGTGTATGTGTGTATATATATATATATATATATATATATATATATACTCTTCTCTCGTGTATACATATATCAGCATTTGTAAAATTAAATTAAAAAAAAAATACGGTTCCGTCGAGCTGGTAACGCAGGTTCGCTTCATCGATCAGTCTTAATGTTAATGAACGATCTTGTTCGTTGTACAATGAGGTAGTTCGTTCTATGCTATTGTATGTATATGTATAATATTGAGCAATATTGCAGCTGTATCCCAGAGCCATGATCAGTAACGATAATGTAATCTTATAATTACCAACAAATTAACAGCAATATCTCAGTCGTTAACGAAATTATTCAAAGTGTACAAAACTCTATCTCTTTTTTCTTTGTTTATATCAGATTATATAACTCTCGTATATAACCATGTCCTACTGACAGCATTTAATGCTAAAGATAGGAATTATCTTTCTTAAAAGAAAAGGAAAAAAGAAAATTGCTAAAATAATATACAACTTTTCTCCCCTTTTACACGACCTGATCTATAATCGATCGAGGCTCTAAATAGTACTCGTACTATGTCGAATTGCAAAAGAAAATGAAAACATCGAATCACAACTATAAGTAATTAAAAAAAAATTATACATGCATACTCACTGGTCCAAAAGTTTTAAAGCTTAATGCGATTCAATTATTTTTTTAATGCTCAATCGCCAAGCGTCCAAACCGGGGATGACGATGACGAACTTCAGGTTTTATACTAATTAGGTGCTCAACGAGCCTTTGTCCCAGCTTTGCAGATCAGGCATAGCGAGGACAGTTCGAAAAAAATAAAATAAGTTCGTCACCCCTGGTCTAAACACAAAGAAAGAAAGAAATATATAAAATTAATTGTGTCGAATATTCGATGCAGAATGTTTACACCCAATTAAGTATGACTGTTACTAGAGATAATTTCAAACGAGGATTACCAAATACTTCTTTCTTATGGTATTAACCTGTTCTTAAAATTTCTTAATAGTACAGCAGTTTTAACGTATCTCAAGAAGAAAGCAGGATTTAACCGTCATTAGCATTAGGCTTTAACAACTTTGGAACGTAAGCTTTGATTATATTTCAGTCTCTTAAATCCACAACGCATTAATCAGTCTTGTGTAAAGTAGTGCAAGAGGAATTCCAAAGAATCTTTGCCTTGGTGTTCGTACGAGTTTCTCGCGACAATATAGACTATCATCGACATCCTATATAGGCAACTGTTACAGCGGCAACGTACTGTTAATCCCTGAGTCTTATCAAATGTTGTCTTACTTAATTGGCTACGATTCGGTTGCATCTTTCTCCATTTTGTAACATCTTGATTCTCTCTGAGGCACAAACGCGTGATTGTCTTTACACACGGTGTCCCGTGAAGAGTGAAACCTCATCGACAAAGTAAAGAATTATCGAAATTAAGTGTCACGTCAAGCACGTGAAAAAAAAAAGTAAGTCACTTGAAGGATATCGTGTTCCATAATTATTGCAATAAAATGGACTTTATATTAAAGCAAAGAAACTAGAAATACTCAAATAGTTTGTGTTTCATGACAATTTAAAGATGCGACGCTCAATTTGAATAACCCTACAAAAATATTCTTCAACAGAGCAACAATTATCGATGTTAATAGCTTCACAAGACACCACAGACTCTTGCGTATAATTTCTTCTAAATCCGTACTCTTAAATTACCTAAAACCTTACATTCGTGCTCTTGTAACCGAAATATAGTACGTCTAGTTGCTGCCGGGTCGTCGAAAGACTTCCCAACGATAACGAGAGATTATAAAAAAAATTGTGTTAGTTGTGGCTGCAGGAATCGGAGGCAACACCCTCCTCGTCCTTGATCACCAATGTTGGCGGAACTATCACACGAACATCCGACTTACGACTTACAGAGAGATCTTCCACCTGATCCTCGTTGCTCTGTTGTTTGATGGAGTGGACGGGACTGGGACTTGGACTACATCGAGTCATGTCTAACATTTCTCTATCTATCGGACAGTCCCTGGCTTTGTACGTGTCGAGGATCGAGGCAGGGCTCTCCATTACCGCGTTGCTGTTCTCGTTTTCGTTTTCAGAGAGAGCACCGCCGTAGATGCCACCGTTCGCATTCCCGCCAATTCCGTAAGGAAAACAAGCACCGCCGCTGCCGTTCGAACCGCGTTTAAACGGCCGCGATGTCGTGATACCCAATTTCTTCACTTTGTCGTAAAGGGTTCGAGATGGTACTCTGTACTTACGTGCCGCCTGCAGAGCGCTCATTCCTGCCCTTACCGCCTCGATCGCGGACATTATGTCGTTCCGTGTATACTGCTTGTACCGTTTCCACTCCGGCTTTTGTGCCGGTACGTAGTTCACGATCCCTAAAATGAGGAAAAAATGTTAGCGCTCGTTAACTCTTTACCTAAGGTTGGTGTATTTTTTTCTCAAAAAAAGTTCCCTTCTTTCGGACAGGGTTCCCCAGTTTATTACTTTACCAGGTTCCATAAAAAGAACGGGACAAAAAAGGTCCGACCAGGCCTTTAACTTGCACGACAACCCCCCATAAAAAATCCTTAACCTTAATACCGAGAAATTATCCTCTATCCTACTTTATTACTTACGATATAAGAATTTTAACTTAAACCGACATTGTTCAATTTTTAGATTTTTCATAATAATGTCAACTGGAATTTTTATATGACGGTTTTAAATTATTTCTAGGAAACGAAAGCTGTACCGAAGTGTGGAAAGAACTAACGGGGTACCCGGGTTCTATAACCCGTCGACGTTGTATGCATTTCTGTACCTGACTTTACTTCTCCGGTGTAAGATTGTGGCGAGGGTTGCTTATCATCCTCGTCCATCATGGAGACATCGGTATAAGGACTGTGAGCCGTTTCTCCGTGAACTACGTCCGTACTGCTGCGTCTCTCGTTTTCATTCGACGAGCCGTTGCTGTTGTTCCGAAAGTGGCTGTCGTGGCTGTCTGGATGCAACAGGGGGATACCTTGAGAGCTATCCGCGTGACCTTGACCCAGCACCGTCCTAAGGATCGGTGTGTCCCTGTTCATCAGCATGTTTGAAAGTTTCTTACGTTTCAGGGGTGAGGTTTCAAAGCCATTGTTGTAGGAACCGGTCAGAATGGAAGAATGTTGCGGATGGGACGTTGCTTGGTGACTGGAGCCGGAGTGGGAAATAGGAAGCCCGGATAGCGGCCACATGGGTAACGGCAAACGATTCGGGCCCTGGTCCACCGGTGATCGACCGTACACGTTATACGAGGTACCGGTGGAATGTGGTGGCGATGTGTGGCCGCTACTGTGAGCCACGCTGCTCGTACTCGTACTGATTGCCGGTGGCGGTGACATCGAGGTCTCTGCTTCCTCGCGACGACCCTGCGAACCATTCTCTTCGACCAGACCCTTCACCTTCAACACCTCGGCGACCTTCAGTAGGCCAGTCAGCTGTTCTTGCGCTACGTTTACTTCGCCCCGGTACATGTACTCGAGAATCGCCTTGATTTCGGAATACTTCACGTCCTTCAGCACGACTATAGGATGTTTGCATGGCAGATTGATGAACAATGTCTGAAAGTAGGAAGAACACGCTGCCAGGACCATCTTGTGACACTTCACGGAGACACCGCCGTCCACTGCCAGGGTTACGTCTGTGAACGCCTCGTTCTGCAGCAGCTCGTCGAACACTGTCAGCAGGTTCGAACGATGGTTGTTCCAGCGCAGGCAATACTGCTGCGACGTACTCGCCATTTCGGCCGATCTTATCGGTTGGGTCTGGAATACGTTATGCTACAATTAGCAATGGGATTTCGAAACGCTTCGAATGTTGGAACGCGCAATAACAGCGAAACGATACTAAAGAGTTTTCACAGAACGTATTATGATTTGTTTGCTTTGCACACCCCTAATATTTATACATTATCCAATAATATAAATATAATGTAAATAGATACAGGTTCGACGTTATAGCAGAAGTGAAATTTAAGCACGTTAACCGAATCCCAAAATGTAAAGTCGTTAGTCAGAGAATGGAATGGAGGAGGGGGGATAATTATCTTCGTTACGGCGTGAGTCACTCACGTGGAACTACCCCCAGTTTCGTTTAACCGTTCGTATAATTCCGAGAATATGCGTAAAAAACCGCCAGAAGTGTGCATGTACAGAACACATGCCATGCCTGCACGCATACGCAGAAATTATGGTTCGAGCGATTAAATCGATTTCTCCAAACAAAACATGGGAATGAAACGCGTAAATAAACAGGAGTTAACGATCTCTGCGACCAAATATATCTCGATCAAATATTTAAAGAAAAATATATGCGATTCCTCTACATTAACTTAATTACGCTACGCCAATTTTCATTCGATGCAGTTGTTTTTAAAGCGAAATTTAATATAAAATATTTTTTACAATTATGAATCAACTTTGTATATGTACTTGGCCATATTTTCAAATAACACAGTTAAACTTGTATACTATTATCTTTATTATTATTATTATTATTATTGTTATTATTGTTATTATTATTATTATTATTATTATTATTATTATTATTATTATTATATAATTCTGTGTTTTAGAAATCGACGACCCTAATGGGGAATACCCCCTTATGAGTGATAATCGTTATCGATCGAATAGAAACCGTTTGCTGCGTGAAGTTGCAAATTTTACTACAGGCGTGCCCGAACTTACATACTAATTGGTTTCGGAGTAACTGACATAAGTCAAGGTAAACATAAGACACACAATGGGAGACCTATCTTTCAGTAAATGTGACTAGAATTAATTTTAAAATTAAGTTATTTGAAAAATAATCTATTTCAAAATAACACCATTAATTCATTAAGTATTTCATAGGGAAAATGAATTAATGTTCCCATTTACTACTTTATGTTTTGACGAAAATAACTTGTTTCTTAATAGAATTTTTCTGCGATAAATAATATTGTAGACTGTCAATATCACTGATAATATATAATGTATAGTTATTTATGCCAACAAGCAGTATTTCAATTTATTGTTAATTGCCCAACTAAAGAACTTAAGATCAATTGGAGCGCATTATTTATAAAATACCAATTAACATTATTTCAAATGATTGTTTTGAAATTACTATTTGAAATAAATTTGATCCAAGTCTACTCCGAACGGGTTGTAGAACTGCACGGGTAACAGTGAAATTATATTTACGACGCAGTATGTATTGCGAAAACTTACTTCGCTGAGACGGGCTCCGTTTCTTAAAACGATGGCGCCGTAGGGACGGCGACGTTCAAATGGCCGCCGAGGAGTTCGCTAGGAGACGCACGGGCTTTGCGTGCATGTGCACTCGCATTCGGCACTCGATGTTCGAAACCGACCAGAGAAACACAATCTATCCGGGCCTAGAGAATGTGCATGGCATGCAGTGGCGCGTACGCGCGCAATATTGACAATTTTGGCGTCGTCGTCGGACGACAACGATCTCGAGTGCACACCCGCAGTACGACGAATTCGAAGCGCGAACAGAAATCCTCTCCCACGGCCTACTCGGCGACCACTGACGAGCCGTGCGTAGAAGACGCACTCTGCCCGAGCTGGTCATGGCTCGACTCGCATAGGGGTAGTCGCAAACGTGTGTTGGTGTGGTGTTCTATCTCTGTCTCTCTTTCTCCGCCTCTATCCGCGTGATGTTCTCTCCGCGCGCATGGGTACGCGCGTTCACGCAGTTGCAGTGGCGTAACCAGAGTCGGGCAAACAAGGATGTTAAAAAATGACCAATTTTGGCATCGTCTGGAAAATGAAACATCGATACGAGAGCTTTAAGAGTGTCTTCAAAGGAATGAAATGTGTCACGAACGTCTACCATATAATTATTCAGAAAATAAATAGGGGGATGGACATCCAACAACGTGTTCGCCACTTTGCATACTGTGGTGAACACGTGTACTCGTTGTACATTCAATAACTTAATACTATTCCATTCAAAAATAGCTGAATGATATAAAATACAGAAATTTGTCTAATTTTAAAATAATGCCAAATTGTGGGAAATCAAAAAGAAGAGATATTACTGTAGTTTTACATGAAATAGAACAATCACAACTTTTTCCCCATCGTAGCAGCGAGGTCTAATGTTTGCTATATGATTATTTGAATTGTGATTCTCTGATAAGAAAGCGTAGTTTAGTATAACTTAGAAACAGGAAATCTATAACAAAAAATGAACATTTATCAAAGTAAACGCTATGGGTTGCAACTTCTCGTTTCCTAGTTGTATGTAGCATTACAGAAGCAAATGAAATCAATTAAAGAGTACGGTAATCGCCATTACGCAATAGTTATCCGAGCCAATAACGATCCTTGGTCTTGATGCAAAGTTTCGTAACCGTTATGCATTATGCCACTAGAGACTTGCTTTATGAGAAATTTGTGAATAAAATTTGCCCAACTCTAGGTTTGACAGCGAACGTGTTAAAAAAGGTAAAAAAAAAACGCGAAACTCGGGGTTACGCCACTGAATAGCAACGCACAAGAAGCTTGCACAGCCATCAGCGTCCCTGGTTGCACGATCGGCCAATCACGCTGCGTCTAGGCCAATATCCTGCGGGATACGACGCACACACGTGCAGACCGGTGCATGCGTGCACACGTATGCGTACGTGATGACGCTTGCTATCGTATGCGTACACCCACACCGTCTTTTGCCGTGTATCGGCAATAGCGATGGGCATTCGACCCTTTCTCGCTTGGAAGTTTTAAAATAATTTGCTCGAAAACGTTTCATAACGTTTACATCAATTGCACCTCGTTTCTTTTATTACAAGTAAAATTTTTCAACGGGAATGATCGAAAAAAGAATTAGAATAATACTTAGACGTTCTCGAACAGTATATTGTTTAAGTTGAACAATTTGTCAGATAGAAAACTAAAGATTGAATCAATTTTGGATGCCAGAAACATTAGACTTCCTCGAGTGTATTTGAAAGCAGCAAATATATGCAACAATGCTACTGTATAATTACACATTGACCACCAGGGTAGTTACTGATGATTGACGCTTTAAAAGAGTATTCTGAATAATTTCGATAAATATTCATCGCATTTTCATCATAATTGCTACTATAACACCTACTTACGTATTAATTTTACAGCATTGAAGAAATCAACGTTCAAAATGTAAATTTCCAAGATACTGTTTGAAACAGCATTTGACTTTCTTGTACGCTCGGGCCGACTCGATGCGTCTCGAGACCACCGCTAATACGTCTACGAGCGTCGAGGACGAAAAACTTACGTGTCTGTATGCGTTCACGAAAATTGCCACCACGCCCTGCCTTCGATGCGACCGCTGATTGCGCCTGCGTCCTCTTATAAAATCTTCAAAATTTTCCCAGGGTCCCAAAGTCCTTCACAACCACGCAAATCAAATATGTAACTTGTGGCGCTCGGTTTCCTCCCTCTGTAAAAAAATTGTAGAATTAAATAAATATTTAACCGGCTGCCTTTCTTAATATATTTTTCATACACAACGTGTAATACAAACGAAAGTTTTCCTAACTCTGATAGACTGTAAAAATCAAAGACGTCCCTTATTTTTAAGCTTTATGATATAAAGTATTTTAACTACGAATATGTGTAAATGTAGTTTCAATACGATGCCTAAACTGGCTAAAATTAACACATGTCATATTCAAATAAAATTATATACTAGTAGTTAAATCGAATTGTTCATGACTACTTAAATAATGTTCTTACGAGAAAGGAATGATCACTAATGTTTCGTTTGAATAGACGCGACAGATTAAAATCGTTGAAGAAACGTTGCAAAGTCACTGATAAACGAATCGAGCAGAGTTGGGATATGACAAAGAAATCTAGAATAAAATCAAGATAAGTGAAACGTGCTCAAAGAAGGAACTAAAAATTTCAGCAATATGAATAATCGACCCTTAAGTCATTGAGGGGCAGTTTGCGGAAAATGTACTTATACATATCCGGTTTACTTAACTTGAAAACCTGAATAATGACCATAACTTGGCTGAAATTCTAAACGTAATTAAGAGGTAATTAAGGCATTATATTTCAGATATAATTGCAAACAAATAGGTATTTGAAATGAAATGTAAAGGTTCTACCGTTTCTAAATCTACGTGGACACTCATCTGGATTTAGTTCGCGTTTTTGGAGAGCCACTGTGACGTCTGGCGGTAGTTTCCTGCTTTTCCATGCCGCTCGCGCACACGTGGACGACGCTTCCTGTTTATCAGAGGCTCGCGAAGTGGCGCGTTTAGAGACTGGGCCGAAAATATGCGTTCGGATTCCCTTATTCGCCTTATCTCGACGAGTTCGTACGGCGAAAGAAGAAACACGATAAACGGGAACGATAGCGGGTCCAATCGGAGAGAAAATTTGTCCGCGGTCGGCGTGCGTCTCTCTGCACACTCGCGAGCGCACTTGGCACGCAAAGGCGATTACGATGTGTGCGTGAGTGCCGCGCGGCCCTAGGCGAAGAAAAAGACGAAGGAAAAGGGGGAATGCGAAGCTGCTAAGGTGAATCCTTGTACCGTTGCGCCATCGAAAGAAATTCCATATCCAACGCCGCTAGCCGAATGCATCGATCTCGACCCGGCCTCTCTCCCCCTCCTTCCAACGCGGGGACTATCGGAGCCACGCTAATTTACGAAATCCAAGCTTGATGCCTTGTTATTATTTCCAGGCCTGGCTAACGTGAAACGGCGAGCGTAGAAACCTGAAATTAGACTCAGAATTATTATCGTTGTCACGTAGAATATTGTTGTGCAACGCACTTGGAGGGTCCAATCTCTTTTAGGAGAAAGAAAGCGGAATTTGCCATAACCGACATATAACATTGTACAGTTAGAATACAACGTTGAATTTCAGTAGGTGTAAAAAGTATTCGTGCAGCGATCAAGTTTAAATAAAAGATTGTACATTATATCAAATGCTTCGGTTTAACATGTATATATTTTTCATTCGTTGAATAGTTTAAATGTAAACGTTCGACTACTTTCATGTATTAGTGAGATGCAACGTCATGACGCAGTTAGAGAAGGTTCAATGGCATGGACAGGGCTGCACAAATTAGTGCGCTTTTGAAGGTGCGGGTCCGCTTAATGGAACATCCACCCTGCGCTCCGGATTTAGCAGCAAGCTGCTCCCTCTTGTCTTGAAACAGCCGGATACTCGATTAAAAAACCGTAGGACGAGCGAAAAGCTTCCAGGGATCAACTGGATTTGTTTGGGGAAAAACGATAAAACACAAGTCGATAGAAAAAAAAAAAATAGAGAAATAACTTTTTAAAAGAACCGAGAAGGCGTCTAAAGAATATATTAGTGATAAGTATAGCAACGTTGCACATTATCTATCGTGAGCAAAGCGATGATAGAGGGATACCAACTGTTTACTTATCGGGTCTACAGATAGCACGGAAGTCTTGATTCCGTATTCTCGCGTATTTTGTTGAAGTCACGACGCTCTCTGGAGTCCATGAACCTTCGCTCCAAATAATTTGATACGAAAAATGCAATACATACTGTCTAAAAGCCCTAGGATAAAACGTACGAAAAACAGTATAAAAAATAGCATTGCAAATAAATTTCCACGAATAACAATATCTAATTATTAGCGCTATCCGAGTACTTGAAATTCGAATTAAAATATAAATTACGACTTTTAGTGATTAGTAGTTACACAATCTAATAGATCCATCGCAAATAAAACATAGAAAACTTACATTTACGTGGTTTTCTGTAGAAAACTTTTTCCAAGGGTCTAAGCTGTTTTCGACTAAAAAGGTGGATGCAAACGGCTTTTGAATCCCTTGCAGGAACCTGTTTCTCTTCATATGCGTTTCTCTATCGTCCCCGTAGTTCGAGGACGATAGCCCCATGGAGGTTCTGACTTCCCACATCCAATGAAAAACAGTCCCGAAATTAAGCTCCAAACGACCCAAGTTGAAAAGAATAATTTGCTCATTTTAAATGACTCCGTTTTTCCTTCCTTAAATAAATGGAAAACAAAAATGAAACTGTTAATAAGGAACATGTTGTTTTTTCATTTATGAAAGAAAAAAATTACGCGTCGAGACGATTGCCGCAGGTGAATAGGGCGTTGCACTCGGTAGCTGCAATGAATGGCTCAGATACCGAGAGGCAGATCTTAAACGGTTGATCGAAGTGCATTCGGTTACACAGAATAATTGCACTTGACGCTCAAGGGTTCCCACCGGACCGAGAATACTTTTGCCATTGTACGACCAACAATGTATCAGCAGGTAGCTGTGATCATCGATCCGGGGTCCCTTCGGTCAATGGCCTTGCAATGTACCACCAAACGTCGAGACCTTTTCATATAAGTCGAATACAAGGTATTAATAAAAATTGAGGGCTCTTTTCTAGCTCCTCCGCATTATACAATGGACGAGATTTCTACAAGAACACTAATACTTTAGATGAAAATTGCAAAAATTTTAATAATAGTATTAAAGATTAAAAAAGTGCTAAAATACCCTACAAGTTTTCTATTTGATTCAGATTGAGGGAACGCGAGGGTTACCTTATAAATAGCAAATTGTTTTGTTTAAATCACTTGTATGCTTAGCAATAAACTTGCGGTGCACAATGACATGCATATAAGACATTAATTTGTTTAGCAATCGCCGCTTCAAAAAGTGACGATCCAAACGGAAAATTGCAGAATTAATAGCTTGGAATACCTGAAAATAATTTTGTGGTTGCATTTTGGAAATGAAAGGAAGCCGTTCCAATTGCAACGGGATACTAAAAATGCGTCGGGAGTGTTACTCGAGGGTCCAAAGGGAGTCTGAGAATCAGCGGCAACGTTTCCTAGGTTGCAATAAAAAAATAAGTAAGGTGTATTCTACGTATAGGGCCAAGGTTTATCTGTGGTGGGCGAGTGTCAGTGGGTCGACACCCGCAAACCGGTCCTGATCACGTGGAATGTGAGCCCGTAGTGCGATGTTGCCACGTATATGCATGATTTCCCAAAAGTGCATCCACCAGACCTACTACGCGCTAGCAGACACGCGTGCACACGTGTACACAAGCTGTGGCTGTATGTATATGAGCGCCACACAGGCGCTCTCCCCGCCTTTCGTACGATTTCGGGAAAACTATGACTCCCAGTTTCATCGTTCAGGCACTGAAATAATATTCAAATGTTACTTTCTAGCAACTTGCGCCCATACGCAACGCATGGCCTTCATTTCACTTCGCCAACTGTATATGTTTATATCCTAGTGTACCATAGTTTGATCTACGAGTCTCAATTAGTTCAAAAATTTGCCATAAGCCGTTCATTTCAAATCGATAGATACGTATTCGGAAACAATTGTTAGCTGGTTGATTTGAATTTATGCAAGTTAATCGCAATTTTCAATTCACATAAATTCATAATTCAGATGTAGCTTGTAATGAGATCGATGAGCTAAAACAAAATAATTTGGAAGCTTTCATTGTATAGAATTTTCGTGAAAACTAGTCTTTGCGTGAAATGTGCGGTAATGAAAGTATTTAACTATGCATACAATGCGAAGCAAAGTTTAAGTTGGTACAAATAAAACTTTAACAATACCCTATGTATATTGCCAATGGTTATACAACGTATTTAAACGGCTATCAAGTAGCGTAGAGGCAGAAATATCTACCGATTTTCGAGCCCGTCTAGAATGTAACGCATAATTTACGCATCCATGCGCACGCCATTCTCGCTCGTTGGACAACCCTACTTTCCAAGGTCATCCTTCCTCTATTCTCCCGCGCCCTTTTTTATGCCTGCCCGAACGGAATAGAAGAGTTTTTATAGCGGCATGTCCTTGGAACCCGACAATGCCAGCGTGTTTCCTGCGAGGCACCTGTTGTATTGCTGCTCCTTTCGTGCCACGCCTAATGTGCACATCCAATGCGATCGAAGCATTTTTTCTCCTATTTTATTTTAATCATCTTCTCTTTCTCCTCAGATGCATCTCCTGCAAGCAATAACCAAAAATAGTCTCTGGACCGAGTAACGGAGAAGAGAGTCCTTTGTAATGCGGAGGGAACTGTGCGAAAGTATGGAGGGTGTGGGTGATAAGAATAGTACATAGTGACAAGAGGAAAGGGGAGGGGGGGAGAGAGGAAGTTTTGTTTAAACGGTGAAACGTTAACTTGCGATAAATTGGAAAGCATTTCATACGGTTCACAGAGTTCAAAGTTACGCATTGTTTTAACATAATGTTTTCGAAGAGCGTTTAACAAGTATTTCGAGTCAGAAAAATTTGACCAAAATTTTAATGATTTAAACAATTCGAAATTAAGACATCGAATAATGATTTTCGACGCAGAATAATTTACAACCACGGCAATGTTTAAAATTAATTTGCTATATTGTACGGTGAACTGTTTGTACGTTTAGCAAGCAGATTTAGCAGAAACGCGGGTCATTTTTACCCAAGGGATCTGCTACACGTGTACGTAACACTAGACATGTGTGACGAAAATGCAGAAAATGTGGGAAAAATCTTGCCGTGTGAACGGACTGTAAAAATTCCACAAAACTCACAACTCGCGCAATTGTTAAGTCCTACGCCAATGTACAGTTTTCTTAACGTCGCATTTCTCCCGATTTGTGATCATGGTTTCTCCTTCAGCGAAAAAAAACGCCCAGTCTCGTCGAGCGATTACAGGAATGTGATGTAATCCGCGCTGGAAGGTCAAAGAAATGCTTGGGCCGCTGTGTTTTGTACACCCAAGAAAGTCGTTGAACCACATTGCCGCCGGAGCATCGACCACGGAGTCGACGGCCGGTAAGTAAAAGCCTGCGAATAAAGAGAAACCTGTTTCTTCTTTGATCGCAAGTTCCACGCCCTTTCTCTAGGTTCCTCGTTCCTTAGGGACTCCTTATGTGTGTTACAGGGTCAATCCTCGGTAAAATGTTGCGGGACAGAAGCGACGCGTGTTATAAGGGCCCCTATCCGCCACCTGAAGGGATCACGTGTGAATCGTGAGAAACGCTAAACCATTTTTATTCTTCAAACAGGCATTGTTGTAACGTTTAATTTAGAACTCTAATTTGAAACAACATACTACTATATTACCGGAAGTAATAATTATAATATTAAGTATATAATGGTTGTGGTCTTGACAGTGTCGTTACTGGTGTAACGGTAATGTAACCATTGCAGTAGTAAATACTCGTTAACATTTGACCCACACTTTCCGTAAACTGCATGCAATAACATGGCTTAATTTCTATAACTTTAATAATAATTCATATTAGATTAATGTAATTGTAAATATTACCAGCTCTAATTGAACTATGCTCGTATAATTTCAAATTTCAAACACAAATTTCTGAAATTCGAACTTACGAAGTCATCCATCTTCTATCGAACCAAATTTCAACTTTCTTTCACCTTCTAACATAATTTCCTTCTGTCATTAAATGTCAATGTATGACAACTTACTCGATAGAAATTAAATCTTTTAACGAATACATTTAAATTTTAAAGTTGGAACCTTTCGAATAAAATAATTACAAGATATTAATTCTCGTGAAATAGAAATGTGCTACCGAATTCCATAATTTTTTAAAGCACTGTTCTTCTTGGCCCTCTGGCGACAAATCCGGAAAGCTATATGCATATATATATATATATATATAAATTTGCCTAGTGAAATATCGCTAAAAACGAAAACGTCTTGTGGTTGTCAATCATTTGTACGTTGATCTTCCACAATTGCTTCGTATTTAAATTTTCAAAAGCATAGCATGTTAATAGCAATATGGATACGTTGGTACAGAAAATAATCTCTGATGCAACCGATGAATTTTCGAAAGACATTGTCACATTCCAAGAAAATGTGAGTTCTTAGATTTCAATTTAAAAAATTTTGATCATTTTCTTAGAGTTTTAAGTAACTTTTTGAACATCAAATAGTCAATAATAATTGTTAATTGATACTTATGTGTAATCGTACTGTTACAGTAATTAATCATTAATATTTTGATATTTTAGTATGGAAATAGAACTACGTTTGAAGAATTAAACAAGGACCAGTTACGTGAAAAGCTGTGGAAGACACTATTTCGTTACTTGTCCGATAATACGCAATCTTTTATTCATTGTAATTGCTTGTCAACCTTACGGATTCTTAGGTAATGTTATAATGTAGTATAATGAAAGTATACGGTGCTTTTATTAATAGTTATAATAAATTTATATTTTTCTGTATGCTTATCAGTCTATTAAAAAGATTCTTGTTGAATATATGCATTTTTGTTTCTAGCAGTGTTAAAAGCTTTTCTGATGCCACTTGTATCATTTCCTGATTAGATGTATTGCTATTTTTGCATATTCCATAAAATAATTCTGTTGTTTTTCTCCATTAACATAGCCGAGATAAAACAAATTTAAATGAATTAGTCACAGACGAACAAATAAATTTCATATTAGATAAAGCGGCTTTGAAAGACCCGGATATAAAACAACAGGTTTCCTACAACAATGGTAATCTTATTTCCAAGTAAAATGCTATATTACATATAAAGATTATTTCTTATTTAATGTTATTTACTTTGCAGTCACTACTGAGTCTCTGAAGTTGCTGTGCAATCTAATATTTAATAGTACAAAAGTACACCAAGTATTGCCAACAACACCTTGTTTGTTGTGTCTGATCAAACGCATGAAAGATTATAACGATGCCACTCCTCAAGAAATAATGTTCTTCGACACTAGAATTATATTTTTAATCACTGCTTTAAACACTTCTACCCAACAAGTTGTTAAAACAGAACTAAATGGCGACGAATGTCTAATAAAAATGTTACAAAGCATAAGTACCCAGTGTGAACAAGAGAAGATCATTATGATAAATGTACATTATTAATTATTATGGAAATTTAAATAGCTACATTGTATAAATAAATAAGCAATATTGAACTTCTACTTGTAGGAAAGTCGTGCAACGTTAGCGTGCGAAGTTTTGAAAACGTTATTCAACTTGTATATGCACTCGGATAACGCGACAGAAAAAGAGGAGAAGAACAAAAATTTAGTCTCAATTTTATACAAATTACTGCTACTGAAATGTGAGAAAGAAGATGATCTTCAGAGGTAGGTGTACATTACTATTATTGTTAAACATCTGTACCATTTTGTTATTATTCTATGGTAATTATTATTCCAGTAACATTGTAAATTTACTAATAGTGGTACCGTACGATTGTTATTCAAAGATCGTACCTCCTGCACAAGGTGAACACAAACATATGTTCCAAGGCATGGATATGAGTGCAGTTTTTGTTTTACTAAATTTCCTCGATAGAAAATTAAACTGTAAAGAAAATTTAATAGGAAATCTCAGCCCAATCGTCACTGTCTTTGTTAGATTGGTTAAATCTGAGAGATTAATACGGAAATATGCCAGACTGCAGGTAAACAAAGATTCATATCTTATTTTTTAAATATCCAACCGTTAGTGAAGTATTTAAAAATTTTTACTTTTTCTTTTTAGATTTTACCTCCGTTAAAGGATGTGATGCATCGTCCTGAGGAAGGGACGACTTTGAGAGCGAAATTGTGTAAACTATTAACTTTTCCATCGACGGAGCTACGAGATCTCGTTGCAGAGTTCCTTTTTATACTCTGTAAAGAAAATGGTGCGTTTATACATTCAAGTAATAATAGGAGGCGGCTACAGATGTAACAATCGACTTTTTAATCGATATTATTATTAATCGATTTCCACGTCCATAGCCTTTTGTAAGGTTAAAGATATATTTTTAAAAGACAATAATATTATTTTTAGTTAGTCGCATGGTTAAATATACGGGTTATGGAAATGCAGCTGGTATGTTCGCAAACAAAGGATTACTGGGTCCAAATAAAGGAAAAGCAGCTTATTCTTCAGAATCGGAAGATAGTGAAACCGAAGAGTATCTGCAACTCAAGGAACAGTGAGTATGAAGATAAAAAACATGATTTCTATGTAATTTATCACCCTTTGATATTAATGAAACGTGTACGTTATTTCATTAAAGAATTAATCCTGTAACTGGTTGTTTCGAACATCCGAAACCGAGTCCTTTGGAAGGAATGACGGAGGAGCAAAAAGAATACGAAGCCTTACAACTCGTAGGCCTTATCGATGCATTGACAAAGTTAGTAGCGTTAACCATTTACACGCGATGGTCTCCGAGTTTGTAATACTATGTTTGCATTTTGCTTAATTGTTAATGTGAACATTGTTACTTTAGGGAAGGGTTAGTGCAGCCTTGTCGAATTGGAGATGACGGAAAACCAAAGCCAATCGAACATGTTCTCGAATTACAAAAGCAATTGCCAAAACAGCAGTACGGCCGTCGAGATTACGATTCCGAATGAATGCTGAAAAAAGAAAAATAAACGCTGTACAGAAAACTGTATACAAACACAACTATTTATCAAATAAAGACATGTTCTCTGTCACTGGAAAATTCATATTATTTATTATACCTTGTAGGCGCCGTCGTTAAATAATATTATGCAAAATACATACCTAGAGCTTCTGTATTCTGGTAGAAAATAACTTGACGAGCTGCCCATAACTAGGCTGAAACACTTTTAATATTGATTAATCACATAAGATAATTAAAGGTTCGAATATGACCGAACAAAGAAAAGAACTACAATGGTCGGTTTGCTTACTTTATTGAAAAAAGAACAAAGAACAACATTACAAATTAAACAATTGGCAGGAAATAAAAAATATAACAGTTTCCAAAATCACATGAAATATTTAAACATTACAATTTTGGTAAATTATGTTATGTGCTTTCGTGAGCATCACAATATATTATTATTGCATTTTGTTGCAGCCTATGCGCAAGACAAGAACGTATGTTTCTACATGTTTCAAAGAACTGCATAGTTTGAGTAACCAGCTTGGAAACGTGTTACCGCGGGCCGTGGCGCGGGCGAATTGACAGATAAATGGCGAGAAAAATCGTTTTTAAAGTTTACAGAACAACGTCACACGTTCGCGGTCGAAAACGAAGAAGCGTTTTCGCGCACAACTCTGTACACGTATATCTCCTCCGAGGCCAAGGAGGAACCACACCGTCAACAACAACCAGACACCGTGTGTGCCATGAGCCTTTATGCCCGTCCCGCGAGAAAACTTTTCCAAACACACGCACGCGCGATACATTTGACAAATATATAAGTAGCAAATGTCTCCATATATCTTTAATTACGTAATAATATAGTATGTAGATTAAAATATTTATTCATTTATTTTTTTCTTTTTATTGTTGCTGTAAAAGTGTATATAGATGTGTATACGTATAATACCATAAATTTGAATATTCCATATAAAAATGAAACTAAAATTTAGTAGGTACGATGTAGAAGAAAAAGAAAAAAGAAAAATATAATAATAATAATAATAATAATAATAATAATAATAATAATAAGCAAAAAAAACCCGCGTTAAACGAAAGGAGAGACCTCGGGTTAAATACACATATATGTATATATCTGTACGTACATATACACACATATATACTTACATTTATGTGTATATTTGTGTGTATACATATGTAGTATATAAGACTAGGTTTAACAAACTTTGGGGAAATTCGGGGGTGAGGGCACAGGAGGGATTAAAATTATAATTGTCAAAGATATCGCTTTTCTTCTTCTAAGGACTTAATCGAGAAACGGATATACATATATGTACGTATGTACGTGTATACATATATATATATATATATATACATATTTATATAAATATTGAAATATTTTGAAAACGAAATTTGCAACTATAAATAAATAAATATATATATATATATATATATATATATATATACATATATATATATTTAGTCTAAAGGCTGAGTACTCTCAGGGAAAGGGGCCTGACAATCGATTACACGATCGATATATGTGTGTGCATTACATATAATCGGTACGTGTAATGCTAAATAATACAATATTTACGTTTACAACGCGACCATGCTCCTTGGCATCCCATTAGCATATATAAAAAATATATTTGGAATACACGCTTTCTCCATATTGCATTTACGATTTACCATTTCTCTTGTCTTGTACTATCCTTTATACAGTTTTCACATTTTGAAGTATAAGCAACTTGTCGGAACATTTAAAATCCATCCCATTTCGCGAACAGTCCCTTCAATAAAAAATACCAATAGAGGTTTCAGGAAAACATGGTTTACGCACAGCGAACCGTGGTTTTTTTTTTCTTTCCATTTGGTTGTCCCTCCCTTTCGTCTCGTTATTCTTTTTTTTCTTTGCTTTAGTTCCTGTTTAAAATGTACGCGCAATACCTAACGGATATATCGTATTATTTTAAATTCTATATCGTTAAGACGTCGTTTTTTTTTTTATTTAATTCCGGTATACAAGGAGTTCTCCTTAACATATGGCTCGGCGTTCTTTCGTAGTAAATTTAACGGGCAATATTGACGGGTACCGCCCTATGTATGACACTCTGGACTATCTCCATTTAAGAGAAGTTTTGATTTTTCCCCAAAGGATAATTAGAAGACATCTTATCGTTACATTGTCTAGAGAAGCTCGTAAATGATTCACATCGGTATCAGACTTGAATCTCAAGGTTTGATCATTGCTTTTGGAATAAGTGAACTCTTCCGACTAATCCTGACAACTTATCATAATTTCAATACACGGTTCAAGATTCGATTCTTTCGAACGCTTTATGACTAGATTGTTTCAACAGCTACCAGGCATAAAACTTGGCGATTATTAAAGAGACATGACCTACGCAAGATTCGATGATTACTGAAGAAGCCTGTAGAAAAACAAATTACAAAATTCGATCAACCGGAAAAGAATCTACGAAGAGATTACAATTTACACGAACGATAACAGGACAAGATGTTTCCGCTTAGAACCTAGAACAACGAACCGAGGATATTAGAAATACTATTTAAAGTCTTATACACTTCCCGCCGGAATAGAATAGTTTTTAAAGGATAAATTACGAACTATAAAAACAATACATTATTGCAACGTTGCACGTTCGACAAAATATATTTTCTTATCCATTCCCTGTTCCCCAGTCCGAGATACCGTTTCACCTAAACTTTTTACCCTGTCTATTCGTAAAAAATTAAAGATGACTATCGAAATCGAGCTTCGTTCTTCCTTCGAGCTATTCGCAGCCGGAGGCTCAAGGGGGCATCGAAACAGGGAACGAAGAAAGACTATTTCGAAAATGGAACGCCGAGCCAAACACTAAGTAAAGGAACATCCTAATCCAGTCAGATCTTTCGCTCGTAACGGATGTACCGGATTCCACCTTGGGGAAATCGTTTTTAATTTGCATCGAGGACGTTCAAATTGTCTCTAGTATTGATGGGGTGTCGCCTCGGACGAGGGGGGCTCTTCGTCGAAACGAGGTTCGACAAGTTAGTCGTTGGAAAAGCGAGAAAACAGAGAGAGATCACGGGAAACATTGATGGGCGTGCACCGACGACGCCGATGGAATGCAACGGTTTCTTAGTGTGTCCATTTGTGGTCAATTTGATATGTCAAAGAAAACATCTCCGAAAAACAAAGGAACGTGTCTCGTTATATAATATCAAAGTAAACGCGGTTTTGTATACATATATGTGTGTGTATATATATTATATATATATATCGTATCTAATGAGAGAAAAAACAAAAATCGTTCTTCCTTCCTTTCTGTCGCCCACTCTCAGCCCAGTTTCTTGTTAAGTATTATTAAACGTCAAGTAACTAATGCAAATATAAATAAAGCTATCAGAGGCTTATTAAGGAATGAAACCAAGTTTATACGCGGCTACGCGTCTTCTCGTTCTCTCCCTTTCACTCCTACACTCTCGTTTCACTTATTACCTATATAATCATAGAATACATTTAAACATTTGTACTTTAACTGACTACGCAAGGATTTTAATAATCGTTTAATATTCTTTCTTATCTTTTTTTCTTTTTTTTTTTCATTTTATAATGTATGTGTTGTATATATATAGATATAGATATATATATATTTTTTTTTTTCCCCCGGTTTCTTACTTATTTTTTTTTTTTTTCTGCTCTTCGTGTCTTAAACTCTAGAACCACTGATACACCGTCGTCACGTGTAAACGGAACTCAACGAACGAATTTACTATAAATTAATAATTAACGAGGAATAAAACATAAAAATGTTATCGCGAGCGAGCGAAGCGTTTTCTCTCCCTCTTCGTTCCGTTCGTTGAATAGAGAACAGTCTGTCATTCGTTTTCTTTTCATTTTTCTTTTTTGTGTTTGGCACTAAAGAATTTAAACTACGATGCAGCAGCGATCGACAATAAGTGGAAAAAAAAGAAACTCAAAAAAAAGGCGGAGGTTGATGGAATCGTGTCGCACTGTCTAATAATAATAAGCTCAACGAGTTTCGACACGGTTCCGCTCCTTTTTTTTCACGCTCGCACGTAAAATCAATAAACTACTATAAATCGCTCGTTTCCTCTCGATCGATCCCAATTGTGGGGCAAAAGACCGTTGAAACACGAACCCTTCGTTCCGAGGAAATGTTGTTTCAACGAAAATGGTGTTAAGGGACAAAAAGCAAGGGGGTAGGGGGGAGAGAACACACACATATCCGAAGAACTGGCCGGTTTGGCACATCTATCAAAACAACCTATTATCGATTCCAATTTTCAAATAATCAGGCTTCGATGGGAATATATTGTCTTGAGATCTGCCTTACTCTGTCTTTTCCAACAAAAAACAAAAACAAAAAAAAACGAAAAAAAGACGCAAAAAGTATAAGGTCTTAACTATTCCTACATTAATCTATCCTTTTATTAAAGGAATCTACTATTAAAAACGTACGAAATAATAATATAATATAATAATTCTTAAAAACATAGTTCGAGTTAATCAACGAAAATAAAATTCAAAAGTTCGATCGAAGGGGGAGGGGGGGTCGAGAGGCAACGAGACAAAAAATCATGCCTTTCATCGTCGCTTCGGACTGAGTATTTGAGAAACAAGAACGAGAAAAAGAAGTGTCGAACACGCGAAAGGAACACAAGTAAAAAAAAAAACGAACAATAATATTAATGAACGATAAAATTCGTGCGGGACGAAGAGAAACAATGATCGGAATCAATTAGCTTGCGAGATGAGGAAAAAGGGGACGGGGGTATTAAAAAGAAAGTTAAAAAACGTCGAAATCACGCGGAGAAAGGAGAAAAAGAATCACTATGAGATACATAAATAATACACAATGAACTGTTCGTCGAACAATAATCATCAAGATTGGTAGAAAACATAAATACGCCCAAAGTGAACAGGATACAAACGACACTCAATGTACGCTCGACGCATGAACACACGCACTGTAATGCCTCGAGATGAAGATAAAACGAATGTTTATTCAAAAAAAAAAACGATCTATGAGAAAAGAGAGTAAATGAAAATGAAAAAAAAAAACAAAACAAAAAATGCTGCTTAGAAAGTTGAGACAAAAAAAAAAAAGCAACGAGGAAACACACTTGTTTACGCAGTGAACTTGTAAAATTTGGGTCCTCCTTGAACCCTTTCGTCCTTCTTTTTTTGTCGTTTTATTTAGATAAATTTTTCAACACGTAAAAGTCATGTTCGATAAAAGATCGCCGATTCCTGATAGCGTAACACCACCGTCGGGGATCAAACTTTCATTTTATTACGCTCCTTTTTAGCTATAATATAATAATCGGCCGCGACACGGCTTCCGGCGGATGGCCGTGATCCGAAAAAAACCATTAATTGGAAAGAGGCGTACTTTATATTTCATTCGTTTTTATCTTTTTTTTTTATCCAGGACTCTAGGAAGACTATGATTAACCGTAGGCTAGAATTCAGTTAATGTTGCGTCGTATATTTGTGTATATGGTGTGTGTGTGTGTGTTTTGTTTTCTTTTTTTTTTTTAAATTCTATCGTTAATATGTTGTATATTGTATGCGTGTATGTGTATGTATATATATGATATCATATATATATAATTGTAATGCATAGATGCCCCCGTTAATATCCGCAAAAAAACACGCGAGTTGTCTTATTTTATTGTATCATCTAACGTGATGCGATCTTCGAAATCAGGAACATTCTGTAATATTTTTCTTGTTTTTTTTTTATTTTTTTATTTTTTTTTTTGTTGTTAATTTTCGTCGATTACTATGTTCGCGTCCGTTGTTATTATTTTTTTTTCGACAGCACGCGATACAATTTTTCTGTTCTTCGTCGTCTTTTACGGATGGCAGACAACGGTTTTCGTCGCTTGTACAATTTAGCGACACGGTCCTGTGGCTGCAGCTACTCATTCAGTAACATTCATAAACGTTTATCAGTTTCCCGTTCACTTACTCCCGAGATCCATTTCCTTCGATCCACAATATTTGAGTAACTAGATCATCGTTTCTCTTTCGTTTTCACAACGTTGGATTGTTTTACGCGTCTACGATTTTTCATAAATTGAACACGCCTGGTCTATTGACGAATAAGTAACATTACCCAATTGCACGAATAATTGGATCGAACTTGAAAAGGATTCTCTGTAGTGTCGTAGATCGGAGAAACGTTTGAACGACCGAACAAGCCGCTGGCTCGCCACTGCCACAGAAGGATCTTGGATTCGAATCACGAAAATAATGGACATTTGCTTATGAATCCTGTTCTTTTTTTATGTTTTTTTCATATTTTTTTTTTTTAAGTTTTTTTGTTTTTTTTTCCCCTCGTTTTTTTTCTGAAGCTGCACACAGATAGCACGTCATCGTAAACGAACACAAAGAACGATCAGAAAAACTGAAATCGTGTCGAAGAAGTTTCTAGGTGGCACCTAAAAAAGGCCTTGGAAACTGTGTTTCAGCGATAAAAACATTGTATCAGTTAAAAGTAATACGTAGAACATATTCGAAATACGTTATACAATAGACTGAGTTTTTTTTTTTTTTTTTGTCTCGTAAACCGCTTACAGTAGGGTGATATATCCATTATCTTTCTTTGTCATTTAATAATTAGTTTCAACAATGTAAGCAGAGTTTTATGTAGTTATGTAGAGAGTGACTATTATAATTCTATACATATTAGGATAATAAGACTTTTGAGATTGTAAAAATCATCAAAAAATCTATCACAATTACCATTTACGTAACAAGTAATTCTCGTTTCTTTTTTTATATTATTATTGTAATTTAAACATCAAGGCAAATAAGGGGTGAATTTCAACAGTGGCCTAAATTAGCCAAGTAGTCTTCCACAGATAAAAATATGTAAATAGAGTAAATCTATACTAAAATATTCAAGTATATATAAGGTGAGCGTAATATAATAATTTTGTGAGGTAAAAGACCCTCTCATTAATGGTCATCCATTCGTTACACTATGAGTTTAGGTTTTATTTTCTTTAAATACGACTGGCAAAATTTTTGCAACATATTCTCTTTACTTATCTTTTTTGTCAATATCTTTTCTTATATTCAACGTACCATTAGAGACCATTGATGGCGTTGTGTCGGGTGTTATTGTGCATGAAACATAAATACACCTTCCACAAGGCGTCGCTAACAGTATCTCATTGGTACTTCTAATTATATTTACCTAGCAACAACATCAGAGACTCTGTAAGGACACAACTTATCCTGACGATACTATTATCACAGGCATTATTTATATAACTCTGCTAACCATGACTATTAAATACTTCAGAATTACTCCTTTTCATTTTTTTTTTTTTTAATATATATAAAATTAAAACTTCTAATAATAAAAGATGATTACGACTGATCAGCTTAGGTGTACGTACGTAGGCTTCGTGCAATTTTCTACAAATGTTATGCGCAAACTTCTGAATAGTCCCCACCCGATTATCGTTCCTGCATTTCGCCCTTCTCCTATGCTCACTTCCCCTTTTTCTCCCTCTAACGCTCATTTGTTCATCTAACCAGATTCACACACCGCATAGCCAATTTTTTTCGTATGCAAAACAAATTTGTCGAAGCTATCCAAGTAGAAATATATATATGGATGTGCTTTCTAACATTTGGTATGGCAAGATAGTTATTCACATTCAATTGTTATTGTAGGTAATGTAACACAGTATATAGCAATCTGCCCAATATATCCGTATATGTTGTATACACATTGCATTTTAGTTTCAATCAAATCTTAAGGCTGATCATGTAAACAACCCTAAAAAATATGTGTATTTCTATATATGTATGTGTTTTACGTGGATTTTCTCCTTCATGGATCATGTTTAATATATACATAAATAGAAGTTGTTTAGCAAACTGTACGTTATTTGTTTTTTTTTTTCCTTTTTACATAGATAAAGTATTGTTCCTATGATACCGGTGGTATAATTTGCTTATGAACCTTGTATAATATATTACATGATCGTTCCGCAGCATTAAAAAATGTTGGAACGATTCTGTAATTTTTATAACAAATACATTTACATGGTATGGATATATTATTATTCTCTAGCACCACGAACCAATAATTCACACACGCATATATATATGTATATATAATATATCGTATTTATATGGTGGACCATAATAAAGCATCCTGAGTAAATATTGTAACCATTATGTGTCTCGCCTATTATTTTTTTTTTTTTGTTTCTTTTAACAATGCACAAACGGGATCTATCATCGGTGGCAAGTCTAGATAATTGTTTCGATTTGTCCTCGAAATATATGTTGTGTACGATTCCTCGTCTCGCAAGACATTAAATGTTTGATTTTCAACGTATCGTAATCTATTCCTTTCTCATTAACGTTGTCTCATATAATTCCTCTCGCTCTACCTTTGTTTCCGAACTACTAATTCTCAAACGCACGGAGAAAAATCACCAGGAACATAGTTCGTATATTTTCTTTCATTAGTTTTGTTATGTTCATTTTCTTTTTTTTATTTCATCTTCCGTTTAGTTCACTAAGTTTTTTTTTATGCCTGCCATAACGAGGATTTACTGTATCTGTCTTTCCTTTTTCGTTTTTGTTTCATTAGAGATATGATATGATATACGAGCAGGAAGTACTACCGTGTGACGTAGCATGCAACGCTTTTCGCCTTGCATTAAGCACAGGAATTTGCTTCTTTATTTTTTTTTTCCCCCTTTCCTTATTCATACACACTCGTTTCTTGACATGCCTATCGAATTATCTAACGATTCTCTTAACGAAACCTTAGAAACTTAGCGAGTCTACAAAATAGGTCTCGAAGTAACGTTTAGAAGAAAGAACCGTGTATATCGTTATCTTTCTTTCTTCGTGTATGCGTATACGTGTACGTAATTCGATTCCACGCGAGAACCGAGATAAAAATACACGAGTTGTTGCTTCGAGAGCACGGATCGAAACCAGCGTGTAAACAGTGCTCATTGAAGACTAGAATAATTTGATTTGTAAACATACCTAAAATACTGACGAGTCGAAGATGACGATGCGACCGCTTTTGACGGAAAGCTATTGTGTTTTCAGAAGTATCTTTCCCTCTCTTCACTTTCTGCCCCCACTCGTCGAAGCGATCCGATTGCTTTTTCAGTTGAGACGATCCACTTAATTCGCTGCTCCTTTCCCTTCTTCATTTTGTTGTAGTTGTTTTTTTTAAATCGTTTTAAATTTATCTTGGCAGTTTACCAAATGCAACTTGCTAAATTACTATTTATACTGTTTTTTTTTGTGATTTTTTTTTGTTTTTTTTTTTTTTTAGTTTTTTGGTCGGAGATGTACGTTTACCATTTCATCGTTTCAACGTTATTACTTTCATAAAACAGGGACGCATTATACTTTTTTTTTTTTTTAAAAGGTTTTTGTTCCTTTTTACACTTTTTTTTACTATTAAAGCTGCATGCTGCACTTGTTTTCTATTTCTTCGGTAGGCAAATTTCAAATAAATTCGATACCACTGGGCATATTTGTCGATTCGTCCTTCGTTAGGAGTAGGGCAATTCACAAGGAAATTCCACTCGCTGAAGATTATTGTGACATACTTATTTGGTCTGCCTCCTCGCTTCATGATATGTAAAGAGTGTTCAGTACGAGGACGTGATGATTATTTTTAGCCAAAGTTACGATATATCCCTCGGAAGTTATTTTCAAGCCGCAACATCGAGAGACCTGCAAAAATTCCATCGACTAATTGATTGTACGTACGAGGAAAATATAATCGTACTTATTATCAAAAAACAAATTGTAGGAAAATTGAAAAATGTTTGCAACTAATTCGGGTATGTTCTATCGAATGGTGGTGGTTGCAACATTCGGAAAAAACGGTATAAATTTTTCTTTAGAAACGTGAGCGTACCTTGACATATGGGCATTCGAACTCTGAAATCAAGGAACCGTCTCTAGAAAAAACTGCCACATGGAAACGATTACCATGTGAATCTCCTATTAATATATCCCCTGCATCGCTAATATCAATCCCGTTTGGGAAGTTTGTTACATTGTCACAGCCAATGCGACGCAAAAACTTGCCTTCCTCGTTGAATACCACAACACAATGTCCCTTGAAGTCACAAACAAAATATTCTTTACCTGAAAATAAAAAAATTGCGTATATAGAAAACGCATTTCGACGCGTATACAAAATTTTGTCGAAAAATTATATTTGAAAATAATTAAAAACGTCTATAAATGAAATTAATTGAAATAATTTACTTCCTTACCACTAATTGCAATATCACTTGGTTCTCTCATATATTCACTGCAGTCAAACCACCTTAAAAGGTCTCCTGTATCGCTGATCACAAACACTGTTGGCGATACACTATCAACAGCCAAAATGTGACCCTCGCTAGTGACAGCTAGGCCAGCTACAATATCGATGTAACGAATTGCTATTTTCTTGATGAAGTGCCCGTTTTTTGTAAATATTTGCATTCTGGATCGTTCGTTTCCACGATCGCAAACAACAAATTTACCACTGTTTCTCATAACAGCAACTTTCCTAGGGTACCACAACTGTCCCTCCTCCTTGCCAGGGACACCAAATTGGAATTTGAAAATACCAGTCTTATCAAATATCTAAAATGAATAGGACACGCGTCAAAGACAAATCAATACGTCAATCGAAGGGTTTACTGCAATAAGGAGGCAGCTCTACTTTTTACACATTTTTACAAATTTACAATTTCGATCGATACATACTTGAATTCTGTGATTATTCGTGTCTGCAACAATAATGTCCTCGTCGGCGCTTAAGCAAAATCCATGGGGTGAGCTGAATTGACCTTTACTGGGACCTAACTGCCCAAATTTACAACGGATACGCATGGGCGGTAATTTAGCATTGGTTGAACGTGGATGAGCATAGTTTCCAGAACCGGTCACGTTGCCGACAGTATTTCCCACTACTACAGGCATGTTATGTATGGAATCTCCAATTAAATCATCTACAAAGGACGTTGATAAACAGCTAAGGCGTTTACATTTATTTGAATGTGCATTGTTGGAAACTTTAAAAATGTTTCTCACCAGCACCCTGTGAAAGTATCGGCGAAGTGGAGGAGGATAACGACTGAAACCCTCCGTTCAAAAGACTGTTAGCAGCTAGACCTAAATTTGGCGTATCTACAATCGCTGGTGAAGGGCCTCTGCCTAATACCAAGCCGCTACCTCCGTTAATTGTTGTGCTTCCAAGATCTACGATAATAGCGACAAGTTTAGTCCGTTCATACAGAAAAAATAATAACGAAATAAATATTATGGTTTTCTTACCTTGATTGCCAAGTGTATTTCCTAACTTTGCAAGAGCTTGCAAATTATTGATCGCATGACTTGTAGAACTCAGATCGCCGGCAAATAAGTCTGCCAATGTGAATGGCGGAGTCGGGCTAGGATTCGAACTAGGTCCAACTACGTTTGTGTCTCCAACCATTTCAGCCTTTTCTGCTAAACTGGCTAGTTGTTGCAGATTGTATTCTTGAATGCTGGTGAGACCATGGATAGGACCTGGGGGAAGGGATACAGGAGGTGGCGGTGGTGGAATAGTCGGGGGACTGGATGTTGGAGGTATAACGTACGAAGGTTCACCTTCGAACGAAGATTGCATCGACGCAGGAAGAGAAATGGGAGACCTTGTGCTAATGGAACGTGGACAGCCCATTGAAGTATGAACAATTTGCTGGTTTGTGGAGACTCCTGACATGGTTGAAACTGTTTCAGGAGCGGACTTTGTCATCGGTGTACTCTCGGTGTGAAATTTACCAAATACTTCCTACAATCATTATTTTCATTAATGTTCCCATCAATTGAAGTATTCTTTTACTTTTTTTTTTTTCAAGTACATATAGTTTCAAGAATCGTGTATCTACCTTTAATGTTTTTTCGAACTGATTATAATCAGTCTGAAATTCAATTGAAAAAGAAACATTTGGCTTTGGTGTGTTTTTAATTAAATTCATTAATTGCGCTCCTACGATGCGACGAAGTGCGAGAATCTCCACTGCATCGCCATGCTCCAAGAGTCTAGAGGTAAAACGGCAAGCATCCTCTATTTTCTCCACAGTTTTCTCAACACTACATAAGAAATTGTTGTTTTAATAAATAAGCTTTTTAAAAATATTTAATATATCGAGTGTGAAAGATTAGTTTGCTGACCTATGAAATGTATCCATTATTTCCAATTCTCTGTCAGAATGTAACTTTTCAAGTTCAACCAAGGCATTGTCTCTACATTTTTCTAAGACAGCTTTGTAACTTTGAAATGTCTCTATGATCAGGTCCTTAGCTTGATCATGTTGTGCTTGAAGCTCACTAAGCGCATTTTCTAACTGAGCAGACACCTGATCGCAATCTGCAATTCTTGCTTTACTTTCATTCACTAATTTTATTAATTCTTCTTTCTGACGTGGTTCTGCATCTACTAATCGTTCATATTGATGATCTGGAGCTTTGTGTTCAACAAGTAGACACTCATTGCATATAGGTTCCTAATTAAACAGTTAAAAAAAAGGTGCACTTTGTAATATTTTATGTTCTAAAAATGATTCCTTAGATAATGAAATCTATATATTTTATTTTAAATTTAATTGTAATCCATACTTTGTATGGTCTCAGATACAAACCAATTTTTAACAAATTAAAAGGTTATAAATTGTTTCAGTAGATTAGATTATATTTTTAAGATTCCCTAATCTTTCTGTCTGAAATTTAATAGCAAAGAAATGTTCCAATTACCTGGCATGTGTAACAGTAAAACTTCATATTCTCAGCAGGATGAAACTCACAAAAAATAGGTTTGTGTATTGGTATAGCTTCGTTGGATTTCTTTATATCTTCAAAGGCCACCACCTTGTGACTTTCAAAACAACGCATGAACTGGTGCGCGCAATTACAACTTGGACACAAGAAATTGGCACAGTCCGAACAACGCGCAACTGCGCTCTCTTTGGCTTTACACGAGGTACAGAGTACAGCCATGTTCTCGATCGCGGACATGTCAAGTATATTAGTTAGAACATAGTCGCACGTGAGCGACGCGGCACCCTTAGAACTAATGGAAGTTTCTTGGTCACATAGAGGACAGATCAGAATCGAACTGACCTTGGGATCACCCGCTTCATCTATAAGAAGCTTATCTAAACAAGCTTCACAAAATACGTGAAGACAGGAGAGCACTCGCGGGGAGCACAGTTTGCCAATGCAAATAGTGCATTTTTGGACTCCAGTCTCGCTGTTGCTGCAATTTATCTCTTCCAGAGCATCTCCGGGATTAGAGGTTTCGTTGCAGCTGGTGACTGTATTAATATTTCGTTCGCTAAAAACATCTCCATTTTCGACTTCTTCGCTTTGCGCAATACCAGTTCCAGCTGGGACAGATGCTGTTCCTGAAGGAACAGCCACCATAGATGATGCCATCCCGAGATTATCCTCTTATGTTTTTAATAGTGATCCTCTTCCCGTGACGAAAACAGCTCTTGTTAAGCAATACGCCGAAATAATCGTAAAACTTAAACCTTGTTGTTTATCGTTATGCTCTAACAAACGAGAAGGCGAATACCTATAAAAGAACAAAAACAGAAGAAAAAAAAGAAAACCCTCGAAACCCTTTCTCAGATTACAAAATATAGAGGGGCCAAGACATCGTCGCATCGATCGCAACGACGAAAACAAAACACTGTGTCACGGTTCGCTTCCGAGAGGAAATTGTATCTGCGTATAGGGCAAATAACGGACGTTTCAAAAGTTGAGGCGCGCTTTGGAAAAATTTAATTAAAACACGATAGTCGCAATGAATTTCCGACGTCGTACACTATCTTTTGAGTTCTTTTTTTTTCTTTCTTTCTATCTTCCTTTTTCGTTTCACGAAACAAAATTCTACCTCGTGTCACAGCACGTTCGTCGAGTCCTGTCCCACGTAAGCGTTTTATTTACATTATGCGATAGTTTTCCACTGACCTCGAAGTAATGCTTACCACTCGAACTCGTATTAAATTTTCGTTTTGAACACTATCAACGTTTCGGTTCGCGTATCTGTAGTACTAGCAAACATTATTATCGATTGCACGAGTATCACCGACCCGTTTCTGATTGTATACGGCGATTGTTTCAATTTCAATTGTTATCGACGCCTCGACCGCGAATATTTCAAGCTTTTTCATATGTAGAGTGGAGGAATAAATCATTCGAATCGAGAAAAGTTGACCCCAATGCAGGAGCCCTGCACAAACAATTAATGCGATGATGGTACACTTATAGACCGTGGACAGGGCTCGAGAACTCCCCAAAATTTGGTCAATGCAGCGATTCAAGCGACGACTGGCGACGATACGATGAAGTATCGATTCTATCGACGCAGAGTGTTGTGCATAGATAAAGGATAACTACTTTTTTGTGGCAACGAATTATTAATGTTTATTGTAGTGTCGTACATACCTGGATAAATTGGATCCAAAAATACTGAGATATCTGGTTCAAAATAATACAATTTGTTTGAAGCAGGAAAGAAAGAAAGTAAAGAAATTAGCATTTCGTTCAGAATTTGCTAGATGAGCTGAACGGCCCTCGCTTTCCGAAGAGAGCGAGCTTTCTGCTTAAGGCGCATTTCGAGTTGACAATATGGCCGCCATCAGCGTGTGCCCTCTATTATAAGCATAAAGAATGAAAAGAAATTACAACTCATCCTAGGTCTGCCAATAGACTGTTGTAGTTACTATTCTTAGTGTATGAATAGTAATATTATAGTTTCTTTTAAAGACCTTAACTTTTGCAACAATCTTTCGAAAACTCAATATTTTTCGAATTATTCCCATTTAAAACTTTCGAGGGTTTATACAGTCGATCACACTCAAAACCATCCACTTGCTTTGCTAATTTATTTTTGTTCATAAATAATATATAGACGTAATACTTCTGTAAATAGTGCAATGATATCTTATCTATAGTAGAATTTGTTTTAATATGAAAATTGATATAAAACTTTATTTAAAACACTAGCAACTTTAAAGCACTATTTAAAAACTAAAATGCATGAAAATTATGTCACATCTGGGAACACTATATATATATATATATACATATATTCAGTCACTAGCAGTTATTGCATTTAACCATCCATAAATTGAACAGACTACCGACACATGATTAAACAAAACAACAAAAGACTATTACTTCGTAATACATTTGCAAACTGTTGGAACTGATAAAAAGAATATTTAATTACAATTTGTGAAGTTTATAAACAGTTTTAGTAGAATCAGCATGTAATTAAAACGGATAAAGGTGTCGCCACACTATTCCGAACAGTGTTTCTCAATCGTAGTTTTCACTTTCGTGTAAACGTAGCCAAAAGAATTTAACTACACTTTTTAGTTTCTTTTTTTTTTACATAAACATACGATCATGAAACGGAACAAAATTCAAGAATCATGTTCGAAAGGTTTTATGCGACAAGTTGTTACAAGATGTTCGATTTTTCCTATCTTCGTGGAACCATTTTAGAGAACAGTTTACCGGTTAGTATGTATGCGTACTTTTTTCTACCATTTTGGATATATTCTCGTCCTGCAACGATTGGGAAACACTGTGATTGAATTTTACTGGGAGCGATGTTCAAGGGAAACGATATGTCACATGTATACAGTGTTACCAGCAGCAGACTGGTGCCCAAAGGAAATTGCCTCTCCACTTACGCAACTAATCATAGCCACGTGTACGTGAGCTCCTGCACTTCGGACAACTTCGGGAATTCGAGAAAAAAGGCGCATATGAGCCTTTCTTTTTCGCTCTCGAAACAGCTGAAATTTGACTTGCGTCAATCGCTATACGATTTCAACGACCATTGATAACAAATGGCAAACCGCTACTGTGAAGAAACTACCCCTGCATTTACGTATGATCTGGTAAAAAAAGCAATGGTCGATTGAACTACTGAAGTCGATAAAGGCAACAAACGTATAAAAGTCTTTCTTCCTTTATCCGATGTACAGGAATAGTACATACTTAAAGTCATATGGTGGTTGACGCAAGTCGAAGTTCAGTTGCTTCAAGAACGAGAGGGAAGAGCTCACATTCGCCTTCTTTCTCAAATTCCCGAAGTCGTCCGTACGTAAATGGAGGGGCCGTTTCCTCTGGGCACCGGTCTGCCGTCTGCCAGTGATGGACTTTCGTAGGAATTTTTAATCATGCGCACTGGAGCGCATGATCACTGCCGTATGCACTCAACTAGAATTTAGGGTACCGTTGGATCCCAGTAAGGAACAAAATTTAAGAAAGTTCAATTTTGTACAAAACATGGAGTAATCATTTGTCAATAAATAATATTAAAATTACCCCTTAAGCTAATATTAAACTAAATGAGGTGTCCGCTAATAAAATGTTGGAATTCCTAACAAGCCCCTTACATGCACCTCTTTTTGCGCTAAAGAGACATCTATGGTAGCGGACGACAGGTAGCTGTGACGTTAGCTTACGCATGCGCAGAAAGGGATTCCACGAGAGAAAATTCCCATGAAAGTCCATCACTGCCGTCTGGTAACATTGCATGCATATCACACGTCAGAGAACGGACGAAGGGAAAAATTCGTTGAGTTTGATCCATTTTTGTTCATGTGAGGATCGTCGATAGGTTAATCGACGGGGGAAAAAAAACGATTTCGGTGAATTTCTCCTCTCGCCCTTCGCGTCTTAATACTCCGATTGACCATAGCCCACGGGATTTTCTTGATAATTCAATTAATTTCATTAAGCGGATCACTCTTATTTTTTTCATCGCTTACCCCGTTTCCGGCATTGTCGCTACTTTTTGGAACACGCGTCCGCGGAGATTTCACTTACGTATAATTAAATTACTGTTATTACTTAATCAAATAAATAACTCGCTGCTCAGTCGAGTTTAAGGCGTAACTTTTCTGTCGCCGCTATTCGTACAAGAATCGATGCTCCGCGACTGAACTCCCACGAATTCGGTAAGAATTGTTTTCGCTTTCGTTCGACGCGCCGCGTACGATTAATTCTGATTTAATATTGGTAAACCAGAAGAGAATAATTTAGTTTCTTCCTCCTTAATACGCCTTCAAACAAACATTTTCTTTTATAGAATAACGTGATAATCGGATCGCGACATTAGCGCTAGTTTTACAGTCAATGTTTTAATAATTTCTCGTTGAATATGATTGTTAACATGAAATTTTGTACACTTTTTGATTCCAGGAATATGAGATGGCCAGAATTGTAGCAAATGCAATTATATATTTATGCTTACTCTGTAGTATTATTAATGCCAATGAAAACGATGATAATGACATCCAAGATGTAGCGCCTAAGACAGTGTACAAAACTCCAGAGGTATCAGAGTTTGCGTATTTAGTAGAGACCTTTGACGACGAAGAAAAATTCAAAGATACATGGATTTTATCGGAGGCCAAGAAAGATTCTATAGATGAGGATATAGCTAAATACGATGGTCAGCTTTTGGTTATAAGCTTTTCTTAATAAGTTTAAAATATAATAATACAGAATTGCAATGCTATTTTTATAGGAATCTGGTCTGTAGAGGAAACAAAAAAGCATGCACAAGATGGTGATCTAGGATTAGTGCTGAAGAGCAAAGCTAGACATGCTGCTGTGTCTGCCTTATTAGCCAAACCATTTTACTTCAGAGATAATCCATTAATTGTACAGTATGAAGTAAATTTTCAAGAAGGTCAAGAATGTGGAGGAGCATATTTAAAGCTGCTTACCTTGGATCCAGAACATGGAGATCTAAAGAAGTTCCATGACAAAACTCCATACACTATAATGTTTGGACCCGATAAGTGTGGAAATAATCATCAGGTATATGCAAATGCCACATAAATATCCAATTCTTGCAAAATTATTCCATAAACTAATTTTTACTTATTTTTCATCTAGCTGCATTTTATATTTCGGCATAAAAATCCTCTGAATGGTTCTATAGAGGAGAAACATTGTAAAAAACCAAGAGAACGTTTAGAAGACTATTTCAAAGATAAACAGCCTCACCTCTATACTTTAATCATTCGTCCGGACAATAGTTTTGAGATAAAAGTGGACAATAAAGTTGTGAACTCTGGATCGTTACTGGACGACTTTACTCCGCCCGTTAATCCACCTTTAGAGATAGAGGACCCGTCTGACGTTCAACCTGAAGACTGGGATGATAGAGAAAAGATTCCCGATTTGTCGGCTGTAAAACCAGACGACTGGGACGAAGACGCACCGGCGCAAATCGTCGACGAGGATGACATTATGCCCGAGGGATGGCTCGAAGACGAGCCACCTATGATACCTAACCCAGACTCGATCAAACCCGAGGATTGGGAGGTTGAAATGGATGGAGAATGGGAACCACCTGATATACCAAATCCAAAATGCGCGGACGTGCCAGGATGTGGGCCGTACAAACAGAAAATGAAAAAGAATCCAAGATACAAGGGTAAATGGTCACCGCCCTTGATCAACAACCCCAATTACGAAGGAAAATGGAAGCCTAAGCTCATACATAATCCTAACTATTTCAACGACGAGCATCCATTCCGAATGATGCCTATTGTATGTTCCTTATCGATTTTTTGAAACGGTAAAGACGGTGTTTCTCTTTGATACAAGCATAGAATCTTTTCTATACTTCACAGTTTGCTGTTGGCTTTGAACTTTGGTCTATGTCCACGGATATATTCTTTGACAATATTCTTATTACCGACGATGAAGAGATAGCAAAAAAATGGGCCAACGATACGTTCGAAGTACGTCGTGTTAGAATTGCGGAAGAAAGCGTGAGTAATAATTCTCAATTTTGATTAAATAATACTACAATTCTACAATGTTCAAAGCCGATACGACGAGAATCGTGATAAGGATGATAAAAGACGCAAATTCATTTACAAAATGTGATACATGTACACTGTGACACGCAGGTAACTTTATGGGGTCGTATATTGAAAGCTACGAATTATAAACCAGGCTGGTGGGCGCTGTATTTCTTGTACTGCGCAATACCGATTGTAATATATATTTGGTACCTACAGAAACGATTTCGTGAGGTATATTTGGTAGTCATTCAAACGTACAGTTTACTTGCTATTTATAATACTGGTACATAAGCATAACAATAGGTATCATAGCTGAGTATGTAATAATAACGTATTATCAAAATCATCTGTATATAAATAACGTTTGAAAATTTGTCAATCGTTGAACTGCTGCAACTTCGTCAAGAAACATCGTACTGCAGTCAGCTTGAGATTAGTTCAAAGACTGACAATTTTATTTGTACAATCCCTTAATTTTGCTCATGAGTGTATAAAGTAGTAATAATTCTCGCTGTTGTAAAAAATTCGATACAATCGGAAATCGCATTACGTAAACAGCGCAAGTGGCAGAATTCCTACGTATGTCGTGTAATTATTACTTGTATTTTCATGATTATTTTACATAGTGGAGCATATGGCGTCAGATTGGCACATTTACTGCGGAACATCCTTGGATGTGGGCTGTATATATAATAGCTGCCGGTTTCCCCATACTGCTAGTAATATATTGTTGCTGCTTTGCTTCTCAGGTATAAAAAAAATCATATACCTACACTGACTATGAAACTATTCTTTTGTACTGTAAATAATAATTATATTTCAAGTTGCTTAACCTTTAGAGTACAAGCCGCTTACGAAAAAGTGGACGCGTTGGACTGGACTCCATTTCACATACAAATGTTTCGTGTTTCTTGAATTACTTGAGATATAATGTTCTAACAAAATCATTATTTAGTTAACAGTCTATCCTTCGTGGGTGATATTCTATTTATACCAAACAAGTAAAAGAGAAAACACTAATTTTAAATCAGCGTCTATCGAAGTAAGCGTTCTCATATAGAAGAATTTGTCTTCTAAGGGTTAATTATAGAATTATGCTTATACGAGAGATACGTTTATATTATGTTTATATTCCTTGTACATCGACCTATTCGTTTAAAAGTATTTAGGTGTAAACAAGAATTCTGTATCCTTGTACAGAATACGAACAGTGAAAATGTGAAACCAATTGATTAACGTTATAGGAAAAATACGATTTGAAGGATGAAGATAAGCAGCCTTTAGAAGTAAACGAAGAGACAACGTCTCAACAGGAAGAAAATGAAAACGAGAATCAATCAATTAATGCCGAAACGGACAACGCGAACGAGACAACGTCTCAGCAGGAAGAAAATGAAAATGAGAATCAATCAGTTAACGTGAACGAACCTGAGACAGTGAATGAAACTGAGGCAGTAGACGAAACTGAAGAGTTAATAGAAAGTGAAGATAATGTTAGTAAACGCATTATTGCGAGCTAATTAAAATAATTTAATTTGTTCGTCTACTTTAACGGTTGATTTTTTTTAGGACAAGCCGGCGATAGGTGGTGATGGACCACGACGAAGAAAACCAAATAAAGAATAGAGTTTATTGAAATTTAAACGAAATGAATTCGTATTACTAAGATATTTATGTAAAACTTTCACATTCCACGTAACACTTGTCATTGTGTACGTTAGGGTTTTCAGTGTCCAATACATGCAATATGATCACTAGGAACCAGTTCTTTACCTAAAACTTATATATATACTCGGTTCGAACATTAAAGTTTCATTATATCATATTTTGAGACGAATGATTTTCACATTACGCATGTTTCACGTATGAATGATAATACTTAAAAACAACAATTTGTAACGAATGATGTTCGATGTACTATTTATGCCTTAATAATATGTAATGTAGCAGCGTAACTTTTGTTATTGTATATTGAAAGTGAATAATAGAACGAATTTATTCACGATTTATGTATAAGATTAAAAAGAATCATTCGTTTAGATGTTCGTGGATTGTGTTTGCGTGGTATTTTAACACAGATTATGTATGAAAATTATAATAATTAATTTTTGTTTACACAGGACGTTTATATTATTCAATGTAACGATCTTTCTTAAATAATTCATTCCTTTGCCATTACGTTAATAAAGTGTACAATGTGAATGAAATACTATTATGTATCACATGAAGTTGTATTATTTATAAATGTTAAGTTTGAAATTGTTTGAGTGTAATTAAACAGATACATTATAAAAAATTCCAATTATTTTCTACGATAAATCAAATATTTTGATTTCAACTATAAAGAAGAGTTCTAATTTAAAAATCTGCAAAATTTATTTTGATAAAAGAATTTAATCGAATTTTGTAGCTTCAAAGTTAGGATTGCACCAAAAGTAAATCATAAAACAGACATGTAATATATCAAGACAAGTTTTATTTTGAGACTCGAGTTTGTTCATTCTTTAGTACTAACGAAGTGTTAAACTTCACATTATTTGTATATCTTATAATACAGTATAAAATAAAAACAGTCTTATTTAAAAGGTATAGTTGTGCATTTTTTATAAGAATAACTATTATAATACAATTTGCACTGGCAATTAAAATAAAATTGTATTCTGTTAATACTCTTTCGTATCCTTCTTCGTTCTAAGATTCGTCATGCTTTGGTTCCAATATATTAAAAAGGAAAGTAAAAATGTAAAATATATGTATAATTTCCTATTGTAAATTTCCATTGCAGCAAATATCTGTTTAAAAATCGATATATCTATCCTCCTTTCTTCTGCATTGCAATTAATCTTAATAATAACACGTTATCTAATCATTATATGCAATATACATCTTAGGTACAGGTCTCAAATTCAAATGTGTAAAGGAAGTAACTTAGGGACTAGTAGATGGAATACTGGAATTTTGAGTACATGACTCACAAGTAGGCACTGCACGTTGTGAAAGGTGACCACTAAGAACTGCGTGTGCACCCATGCACCATATACACAGTACATCGCCGCATGACCAACAATGATGCTGAAAAATTTATCCAATTAATTTTCCCTCGATTCAATTACATGTCGGTTTGTTTACCTGTCGGTTAAATGCGTCGAATGTAGTAGAACATGCACACTCTTCCATATTGCGTGTCGATTTCCAATCTAAAGCAACCGTCTTTAATTCGTTCTCTAGCTGATTAATTTTTATTTTATTCTTAATTTTTTCTTCGTGATTCGTCGTATTTTCTATTATCGTTTCAGACAACGGATCCTTGGCGAACTTGTTATCAAATTTTAGCTTCCCTTGTAGTCCCTTTTTTTGTACATTATTCAAATTCATTACCGAATTCAAGGAGCCCACTCTCTATGGAGGTACGAATAACGTCATAAATTCAATGATAATTAAATAATAAAAATGATCATAGAATATTCGAACCTTCACAAGGAGCTTAACGTGGTCTTCTAAGCAACTGGTATGATCGTGCATTACTAAAAGGAAATCTTCATACGTTTCTCTGGGATGAATACCGTTTTCAAATCGGAAGTACATCCCCCGCCACAAACTAGAAAATTACTTTCCTTAGTCTTTGCTTCTTTCTTTTCGAAAGTAAAAGTATGAACAATAAGTTTATGCATTACATAATGTTCTGTGGTGCCAATTTCGGTTGGAGAACGCTACTGGACTCGTCATTAAAACGATTACACTTGTAGAGTGGATTTATGTATTCGTGCATATTAATCGCCATTTCCCCCCATAGAGAATATGTTCTCTCCGATACTCTGAAAGTAATCGGGAACGGATGAAGTAATAATCTCTCGCGAAATAAATACAGTAGCGGGGAATAGTTTAAGACGATTATCTTTTCTGTTCTAATTCATGTAAGCTATTAAAAATGTAGTAGTCTTAAAGTTTTGTCCGCTACTGTATACGTTAAAATTAATACCTAAGGGCGTTTCTCTCTTTTTCAGAGTTCCCTATGAAAGTGCCATGCTGGCAACTATGTACGTGATCATGAAGAGTTAATAAAAAAAATTCATTAAATTGAAATTTATGCGGATACTGCTGCAACACCTGATACGTTGCGTCAATGAATTGTGTAAAAATTGGCGCTAATTCTTTACTATCACAGCTAATGTGACCGCATCGATCGTTAAATTTATGCCCAAATGATAACCAGTCTTTCTCTATTAACGCCTATAAGAATTATTATTTATAAGAAATAGAAATAAAATTTAAAAGTTTACATAAAAAATTCATTGCAGTAATTAAAATTCTTACTTGAAAACCTTGAATCGTCCTATAAAATGGATCTAATAATAGTGCACTTAATGAACATACTTGAGCAGTGCGGTCCCAACCATCGCTACAGTGTACTACTACACTAACACCGTTCGAAACTGCTCGAGTAATAAACCAAGCAGTTTCTAATATAGATCGTATATGTTTAAGCCATCCACTGTTTTCCAAACCAGTTAAAAACGTGCTCATCGAAGTTGTTCTCTGTACTAGATAGTAATTAATATATTTAAAACAACGAAAAATTACTGTTTAAATGCTGAATTGAAAATAGTACGATACTCACGTTCTATTAATTTATTTAAGCTGGTTCTCATTACGTGTATGTTCTCGATACCAAAGAAATGAAACTTTATATTGTCATAAAAGTTCTCGTTTTCATACCCTTTCCCCGCAGCTTTGTTAGCAAAAGCATTGATCTAAACCGACAACGTTAAAAATTGATTTCTAACACTTTCATAAAATATAGATGGAAAATTTCATCGAACCGATCTATGTAATGGATTGCCGACATATTTTCAATTACAAAAATACCTTAATTCATGTTTATAGACTTACGCGCGGTCGTGTATCTACAACGTACATATATTTAGAATTAAGATTTGTACACAGAATATTATACATCATTTGTTCATCCTCGGGACACCGTGCACTGAATCCTGATAAAGGTTGACTACAACGGCAAATGGCAGCCTACATGTTATATATGAAACGTGAATTTCTATGCATTTTTTTTATTTAGCTTCTTCATTTGAGACATTTACAAGCCAAAGTAATTAACTTCACTTTTTGAACTTTTTAAAATTTTCGTGTCAAAACTTGATCGATACATGACTTTTCATTAATTATGCTTAACAGTATAAATTGACAAAAAGAAATTTAAATTTTAATGAAAACTTTAAGAAAGAATGTATATTATTTTGTCAATTTCTTTATTTTTCTTTTTGTGAAGTTAATTGGTTTGGCAAATGAGTGGCTCATTTATTACTCGAACCTTGTTAGAATGTAAATATGTTAAAACTGGTAACCTTCCTCTGCTTCTGAACTTTGCACTGCCCACTAAGGTGCTATTGGCACACGTACTAGGTACGTACAAATACTTCGGGTACGTGTCGCAAAGCTGGAAACAATACATAGTTCTAGAAGAAATTGATGCGCATTTACAAATTGCAAATTCTATAAAATTACATACTTCATAAGTTGTATTTAAATATGTAAGGGACCATTCTTCATTTGGAACACCTTGCCTTTGAAACTCGCTTTGAACATTAAAAAAATTCCATCCTGCATGCTGTGGTAAGGTGTCCCTGTTTGCTTGATAACGGAAACAATAGAGATCATCTAAATTTACTAAAAGAAAGGTACATAATGTTAAACATCAGGGTTTTTTAACAAACAATATCTTTTCATTTAGAAACATACAATCATTGTACTTTTTTTCTTTCAATTTTGTTTACCTGGACAAGATAATTTCAATAGGGTTTGATATGTGTCATGGCAATCACGTTCCTTTGGAATGATAAATGTTACAATAAAAAAGTGTTTACATTTAATACATAATGGCGAACCTGTTGTTGTTAATGCTTGTTTCTCAATATTTGAAATGTGAGTATGTAAAACCTACAATATAAAATGGTAAAAACATTATTTTTAGTACTTGTATTGCCATTGAATAAAAGTTGAACATCCACGATGAGAGAAACTATTATATTAGGTTGTCCAATAATTTGTGAAATACCTTTATGAGACTTACTAAAAGGCAGTTGTATAAGACAGTACTAAAAGTCAATTGTAATTGGAAGAAATTTACTATTAAGTGAAAGATACATGAACTTATTGGACAATCTAATAAATTACTTTTTAGAGAGAGACTGTTATAGCAACAAGATTGAACCTAACACATTTTATGCTCTTACCCAAATTTGTTTCTTTCCATTCCGTTCTTTGAATACAAAATGAGTGACAGTTAAGTAAAGGGTTCCGATAGAGTGGTTGTTACTATATTTGTCAAGAATCCTCACATTTTCCACCTTAAACCACAACAATGACAACTGTTAATAATCCAACGAAACAACATTCCAGCATTGTTTTCAATTTTAGATCTACACATTTTTGTTAAATAAATACCTAAAACACTACGTCTATTTAGAAGTAAATACTGTCAGGAAACGTATATTTAGTCTTTTTTTTTTACAGACATTAGAAAGTAATGTGTAACAAGAAAGAGTAACATATTGACAGATATTGGGAATCATATTAGGAAGCTTGTTTACAACGATTCTGTAATAAAATTGAGCAAATGTTTATCCGGATACCTTTGAAATCTTTATTTGATCCATTTTAAACTTTTCGTTCGCCATTATTTACACCTGGCGAATCATCTGACGGATAATAAAATTGGTTACCACTATCCACTACTATCAGCAGTGCAGTGATGGTCAACTATGCTATTATTGTATAGCAGCAGTGTGGCCAGATCTGGCATAATTGAGTGCATCGACGACGACACTAGTAACGACGAACTTCCTTAGCGCTTAACGGAGTGGTGGGGAAAGCTGACATATCCTACCACACGAGCCATATGTTACATGTGGTCAGCACTTCACGCAACTTCGGGAAATCGGAAAAGAAGGTGAGCGTAAGCCTTTCCTTCTTGCTCTTGAACAGCTGAAGTCTTTTTAATAGTCACAATATGATCGGGGGGGTCTCAAAACGTGTATGTCCGCCAAAAAAATTTACTTATACCTTACATAGGTTAGAAAGTAAAAATGCTGGGGCAGTCGAGATTTGGGAATCGTATGCCGATTATCGCGAGGTCGTATTTCAGCTGTTACAAGAGCAAGAAAGAAAGGCTCACACTAACGTTCTTTATTGACTTCCCGAAGTTGTGTGAAGTGCCGAGCTCACGTACGCGTGGCTCGTGCGATAGTATATGCCTGCTATCACCACCACTCCGTTAGACGCTAAGTTCGTCGTTACTAATGTCAACGTTGATGCGCTCAATCATGCCAGATCTGGCCACACTGCTCCAGATCCATTCGGATAAAAAATTATTGTCGAACGATTGCACGAACATTGTTCTTTTTATAGAAAGAATTGAATCGAATGTTAATTATAATTATTGATAACTTTTTAAATATTAGAACCTTCAACAATATCGTACATTTGACATACGTTGTAACATAGAGATAACAACTTTTTTGACAGATCTTATTACGAAATAATAAATCTGTATGGCATCAAAACGCGCGCGACTAGGTGTGTATGAGTGTGTGTATGTTTGCGCGAATCGAAATGTGTGAAAGATGGAATGTTGTAAACAATTGTATGATTGGTAGGGATGAGGACAGAGAGCATGGCAGAACGAGTGTGAGAGAGATCGAGGATGAGAGGAACGGTGAGGCGATTGGAAGAAGTGTGCCAGAGTTTGAACGACAGCGAGAGTAAATGGTATTGTAGAGAAAATTATTAATAAAGAGATTAAGAGATTTAATTCCTTATCTATTTCATCCAAAAGTAACTTAATTGTTAAAGATCTGTATTTTTACTGTTTTAATAAGTGATAAGAATGTTTGGGGAATTTCACGTATCTTTCTAAATTATTCGGAGTTTAATCGTTATTATTAAATGTTTTTATTGTGGGAGGAAATAAATACACGTATATATATATATATAAATAAAATACACTAGAAATGTGTAAATGTATAAATGCGCGGTTTAAAAGCTATTATAAAATTTAACCTCGTTTGCCGTTAGTAATTAATTATGAGCAATAAGGCTGGAAATGGAGGTAAATTTTTGTTATTGTAAAATTATATTTTGCTTTTACTATAAAGGGTCCGTGGGTTTAGTAACAAGCGTTTTGTCATTCTATTAATGTAGGAGAGATAGATCCTGTTCAGGAGGAATTGGCTGGTCGTGTACGGGAAGTAGGAAATCATGCAATTTGGAGTCTATCCAGTTGCAAACCTGGTTTTGGTGTAGATCAATTACGCGATGATGTTACAGAAACATATTGGCAATCTGATGGACAACTTCCACATTTAGTGAACATACAATTTAAGAGGAAAACAACAATATGTGATATATGTATTTATACAGATTATAAATTAGATGAAAGTTATACTCCTAGCAGGTAAAACATTTATATTTATTGTAGAACGTAGATTATCTGAATGACCAATTATTGGAACAAATTAGTTTCACTATTAGTTTGAATAATTGACGTTCTACTGTCTCTTCAAATTAAAGCAATTCACTAAATGTTTTAAATATGATTTTGGATTGTTTGTAGAATAAGTATCAGGGCAGGCACAAATTTCAATGATCTTCAAGAGGTAGAAGTTATGGATCTGAACGAGCCAAGTGGCTGGGTTGTGATTCCAATAAATGATATAAGCGACAGACCTATTAGGACATTTATGATACAAATAGCTGTAATAAGTAATCATCAAAATGGACGAGACACGCATATGAGACAAGTTAAAGTTCACAGTCCAACACAGGACATTCTTGGACCACCAGCTCCTTACATCCCAGGCCAATTTCTCACCAATGAATTTCTGCGTTATGCTACAATTAGATAAAACTAAAAGCAATGAATTGCTTTCGTTATCATGGTTTTGTTAATATTGAATAAAAATTGAAAATCATAAATTCATTTTGTATATTATTACTATCTAAATTTAAATAAAATATGCAATGAAAACCGAACCTAAGTTCCGCTTAAAATCGTAAATTGCGTGTATACATAAATGCGATACATTCGAATTTAGAGGATTTCTGTTGGGACAATAAGGAGAAAAAAAATATAAACATACAATTCGACGACTTTCCTTTCACCTGTGAGATGTTCTTAGATACAAATTGGTAATCCAAGTGGCAATCTAACTGTGTTTGTGCAAAAATGGTGATAAATCTATTATTAATTTTTGTATTAGTTAATATAACACATTGTCAAGCACATTTGCAAAACAATTATGCACTAAATACCATACTAGAAGAAACAACCAATTTTTTTGAGAAATTAAAATCAGATTATGGTATGAAATTTCAAGTAAAATAGAAAATTCAATATATTTATTCATATATTACAATTTAGAATATTATTTTTAGCGTTTAAAAGTTTGAACAAAGATATATTGGCTGAAATCAATGGAAATATTACGAAGCACATGCAAAATTCATTTAAACAACCATTTAACCGTTATAAAAGAGAAATACGAGAAGTTTCCAACAAAGGTATGTACTCATTAAAAATAACAAGAAAATTATCATAATTTGTTAACAACTGAGATAACTATGATTATGATAATTTTACTATAAATCATTAACCTGGCAATTCAATGGATTTACCTTCGATTCCAAACAGTTCCTTAAATGCATACTGTAGTTTATGTTCTGTTAAATATTTAAATAATTGACCCATATTGTTATGACGTTCAGAAGAAGGAAAAGATATTTCTTGAAAATCATTAAATTTACGCATATTATCAATATTACAATTTTCCTCTTTTTCTAATAATTTTATCAATATTTTGTGCCAATTCATAGATTTGATCTGAAAATTGAAGAACAACAGTTGGTTTCCTAAACTTGAAATTTAAATGTAACGTATATAATAGAAGCTTATACCTTTTGCCAGCAGTAGTCACAATCTTCTAAAATGCCTTCCATGCAAATAATACCTGGCTTCCCTGCTAAACAAAAACCAGTAACAGAATTTTCTATTGCCATAGCGATTATGTCTCTTCTCTTAAATTTGCTATATATATGATGGCTATAAATCCAATATCTAGCAAAAATCGTAGATCCTGCTTTCTTGTTTCTTTTATCTTCAATGTCATAATCTTTTCTCTGATTCACATTAGAAGCCACAATGTAATCATCACCATTGTCTTGCAGCCATGATATCAACATGTAGATACATGGCTCATGTTCCTCTTGATGGTTAACAACATTATTTAGTGCTTGGTTCAACAACAGCTGTTGCGTTCGATTTAACGATGAACCTCTTGCATAAATCTCTGGTTTTTCTTCAGGATAGTTAGCTGGCAAACTAACCAACAGTTCGATCGTCCCCTGTATAGAAGATACAGCTTCGTTTTATAAGCATTGCATTAACTACCTTATTTTATAACATTTTTTAACCTTACACCGTTCATTGGAAGTTCGATCGAATATTCCAATCTCTGAGGATGTTCTTGAGCAGGGTTTTTAATGAAATCATTAATATCAGCCAACGTTCCATGATCGGCAATAACCAATTCTTTTGGATAAACAGATTCTAATGCTTCGAGTTCGTAAATTTGCACCATCAAATTTTCTCTCGTCTTTTCGTTCGTGGACATACCGTATATCGATATTACACATATGGATTCACAGTCGAGATATTTGCAATATTAATAATGAAAAAAGCGGTTAACGACACTCGATAGGAACATTAAACACAGCGTACTACAGTACTATGTACATATTGCGCGAAGTCGAAGTGTCCACCACGTGCGTTCTGACAGATCGCAACGATCGATTAATCGAGCTATCGAATCAGTGAACATTTAAATTTAAATATTCTTTCACGCGCTTCGTGTTACACTAGAAATTCTTATTTAAAATGTATTTAAATGACCTAATATCAGTTGAAACACATTCTTTATGAAATATCAATTAATATTATTTAAAATAAATTTCGCTCAGTTTTGATTTACTCTTTTATTTTCATTTTATACAATATCAATTTTAAAGTACGTTTTCATGTTTTTTAGGTATTGACGTATTAAACGAATTTGAAGATTTTGAGCAGTTGAATTTCAATGTCGTTCGAAATATAAATTTTTTCTCTTTGCAAAACGAGCTTCAGACAACTTGGTTCATTGCAATTTTGGTCAATTTAAAAATATCTGTTTATCGGATAGAAGTACGTCCTGTCGATCGAATATATAATAATAGTAAATACTAAAAGTAAGTTTTGTTGTTTCTTTTTACGTTAATAGTATTTATTTCAGAATCATATTTTTCATTCCGTTGCTGATTATACTCTGATCAATGGCAAGGAAATGTTTGTACATAGCTGCGCTTATGGATCAGCTCTTTTGATAGTTCAAAATGAAGATGGCTCGATCCTTATCTTGCGCTTCTCAGAAGCGGAAAATAAGTATGATTTGTCCCCTATTCAAGATTTTGAACCCAACGACATAACGCATATAGCGATCTGGCAAGGAATGAACCAACTATACTTAGGCATTGCGTCGCGCTCGAACATTTCAATTTACGTTTGGTTTCGTGATTATTTTGATTTGGTGCATACCATAAACCATGATACCAAGAAATTAATCCCTTTCTACAGCAAAGGGTTTATGTATCTCGCTGTAACTGGACCTACCACATTAATTTTCAAGTATTTTATAAAATCTAACGAGTTTGCGATAACGCAAAGATTACCATCCAGTCAAGATGTCTCGTCTTTTCAATTAATAGAAGGTCACTTTATGGAACATTTTCTAAGCCTTTCCATAGACTCGTCTATAGTTATCTACAAAGAAATTCACGACCGTTTTGTTCCGTTCCAACAAATTTCTCCCGGATCATTTACTGTACCAATAGTTTCGAACAAAGCAATCGTGATTTTATCTCTACACGAAGATACGATACTAATTTACCAGTACGATGGCTGGAGATTTGTAAAATTAAATATAGAATTGTCCGGAGTCCGTCAATTTCGTAAAATTACTTTGTACGGAAAAGACTTGTTGTTAATAAAATACACAAACGATACATGGGCGTTAAAACAACCAGTATGGACCAAAAAGAATTCTAATAAAGACTTGCAAGACGAAATCAGAATATGGAATATTAATGCTATGAACATGGCGCAGAGAATACCGAAAGAAATACCAGATTCGGAGAATCCTGTTAAAATTTTAAAAGGCCACATCAATAAACTTCTTGTTCGCAATGTAAGATTTTATGTGTTCAACAAAATAAAATAAATCTAATAATTAAATACTCTGAAATTTTCACAGATAAACGAGCACAACTCGCAAGCGTTAAAGGATGTATCGAAACAGTATAAAAGAGTAATCTCAAAGCTTCGAGAACAAAAAGGCATTATAAATAGTAAATTCCACTCTAATAATTTAACTCTTGTTTCTTTACACGCGAAGAATATACGTGTTAAATGCAAAACAAAATGCAAAGTAAATCGTCTGAATATTAAAGGAAATTCTAATCCTCTGTCCAAGTTACAAGCTACAAGAAACAATAATCGAATACTGAATTTTGAGGCCATAAATGTTACAGAATTAAAAAATTGGAAATGCCCGCTGTTTAGTCTTCCAATAGAAAGCATTGTTGTTGGCAAATCAATTAACGAGATGTCATTAAACGATTTACAGGAAAACGTTCTCAAAGTGATTGGTAATCAAGAGGTCATTGGTAAAATTTATTGACGTTTATTTTCTATGCAAAATAAAATTAATCGTTGCTTATCAATTTGTCAGAAGAATGACCTGTACAAAATATATTCTATTATAGGAGAACACATTTTCTACAGTATGAATGTGATAGATGCTTCCATGCGATTGAATATTGCCACAAATTTGACGAAAACAGAAATACATACGCGAGAGATAAAAGTAAAAGAATTAAATTTAGCAACAGGCGGAATTCTATTACCGTTAAACGGTCCCCCCACAACGATGAATGGCTCGATCAAAGCATCCAAAGTAAAAGTGAAGAACGATATTCGTTTAAGAGGGAAATTATTTGGTGATTCGAGAAAATCCTTATTGCCTGTGACGATAATTCCTGAGCACATTACCATAAAAGGTGGTTCAATCTTAAGCAATACTAGAATTGAAAATTTGAGATCAGGAGATTTAATTACCAATAAGGCGAGCTCAGTCAAAGATATATTGTCGAACGTAGTATCTTTACGCGATAATGTATCGGTATCCCTAATATTTTCAAGCGAGAAAACGGTGAGGGACTAATAATTTTAAATAAAAAATTAACTACCAAGGTATCTCATTGTCTTAACGAGTAAATAACGCGAATACATTTTAATTCAGAAATGGAACAATGTTATTTTACATGGTTTTCAAGATTGGGTAACTGCTGATTCCCTGAATAGTGTTACCATATCAGGAAGAAAACATATTTTGCAGAATGTGGGGATAGAAAAATCTACATACGAAACTGTTAAATTTCCAGAGTACGGTCACTCGTAATTTATTACATTAAGAACACAATGCTCTTATCTCGTATATTTAAAAAGTGTTCTTTTTTTCGTTCAAAGGATTGAAACACCAGTATGTGGTGTTGCTATAATTGTACCTGAAATAAAGACCACCACACTAGTAGTGGACAATATTAGGATAAAACGATTGAAGAGTTCGCGTGTTTTTGGGAGTCTAGGTGAAATATATTCTACACAGAATACAATCTCTTTGTTCAAGCCCTTCGATCTGATCGTTGAACGGTTTTATCATAATGTTACTGTAAAAAATGTATCTGCAATACGCATAAATAACGTAAACTTAACAGGTGATATTAAGCTATTCTTTAAATCTTGTATCTTCATTTAATATTATAATTAATAGTTTTGCCATTTCTTCTTAATTTGCGCAGAAATGGAAAGACTTGTGAATTTATGGACTGAATCTAACAATTTGAAGTCTAAAATCGAGACGATGAATTTGGTAGTTGGAGTACTTCGATCGCCTGTTCAATTTCGTATAGAAGTGCCCAAAGTAATAAGAAATATGGTATCAGAACAGAATGTTCATGTGGGTAGCGTTAATAATGTAAATATCATTGATTTTTTGGCCAATGCTGTAAAACTTGATGATGTAATATCCTTAGGAAACATAACGTTCGGTGAGTCACGATTTTTAATCGTTATTATTAAAATCATTAATTAGTAAAATATTTATACATATACACTTCTTTTAATATTCCTCGCAGACAATGGTTTCACAACAAATCGTATGTACACCTCTTACCGGTCGTTCAATTTGACACAATTAAAGGAAAACCCTAATCTACATAAAAAACGGATTTCCGGAAATATAGAAACGAACGCGATAAATTTGCCATATTCTACCGCATTCGTGGAAAGTGAAATTCCATCCAACATTGCCATTATAGGTACTGCAACATTTCCGATAGAACCAACGATCCGAAATATAAACAAAATCAATTTAAAAGAATTGTTTACAAGAATCTGGATGGCAACAGATTTTACAGTTTTTCGAGGGAAAAATTTGCGCATCATAAATGCACAATTGAAAAGAAATATTCTCCTAAATGTGAGCAAATTCAGTTCTTTTATACATTTTTCAACAGTATTCAATAATAATCTGTTTCAGAACTCTTTGAACACGTTAAATCTTGAAACATGGAAGAACATATCAGAACGTATTTTAAGCAAAACAAAATCACAGGAAATAACGGTTCCTGCTTCTTTGAAGAATATTGAAACACCCGTTATCATAGGTTCAAGCACTCCATCCATAAAGTGTTTAGATTCAAATTTCAACGACGCGTTTGATAATGCCTTAATAAGACATAAACCGCAAGAAGTTACGGCAAAATGGACATTCGATAAATTGAAGGTTTTAGGTAATAGATGATGTAGTAACCATTTTCATTATTTATTAATTCCTTTCTTTTATCAATTCAGACAAATTGCACGCAATGAAGAAAATTAACGACTTGAATTTTAAAACGGATATCATGAGACACAACTCAACGGGGAATATTGTAACTGGGAAGAAAACGGTGGTAGTTTTAACAGCAGAAAATTTGAATGGTTTAAATTTCGATGAATGGGCTGATAATGCTTTAATGAAAGAGAAGAAGTCTGTAACCATTAAAGGGCGAAAGTATTTTAACACTGTCACGATCAACAATATAAAGTAATTGATCGAGTAAAATACATTATTAATTTGCGATTAGTGTGTCGTTTTGAATTTATTCGGACAGTAATTGATATTTACAGTGTATCTGGCACTATAATGGGGCACAACATAGAGGAAGCATTATCAAAATCTGCAGATCAAACGCTCCATGGTGAAAAAACAATTCAAGGATTTTTCAATACACCGATGCTCGTTATTGATAGTTTGGTGAACGACGTAAACTTAACCGATTTAATGAGCCGCCAATTGAAGAAAAAGGAACAGCCTTTGCAAATAATAAAAACGAAAATAAAGTTACAAAACGTCTTGAAAATTGTTGGAAATCTTACAGTGAATGATACTTATGGAAAAGCAGAGTTCAAGAACTCTTATAAGGCTTATTCGAATTTAGAGGCCGTCGAAGAAAAAATGAGAAAATATTCAAAAATATCTGAGACAATTAATGTAGCATTACGAAGTGAGTTATTATTCCCTTTATTTTTATCTTTTCATTCTATTTTTATTAGTCTGTATTTATATATTTTATTAATATTGTAGATCGGGCAGTTTATGTAAACAAATTGGAAGTTGTAAAAGAAACGAATGCTATCAATGCTTCCAATGAAAATATATCGTTTCAGAAAGAACAGTGCGGACCTAAAAATTTTTCCCGGCTTTGTGCTAACGAGCGCGTAGTGAATATCATTTCTAAATTAAATTCGAGTGATTTTGTAATGATAAAATCGGTTTCGTTGGATAAGGAGGAGTTTGTTATATGGATAAAATTCGATTCAGTTTCCATATATTTATACAACAATATTGATGATAGCCTTTCTCATTTAAAAGGTTTGTTTTAATGTTTATTAATAAGACAGATAAAAGTTTTGAAATATTAATAATTTGCAGACTTACATATTCCGAACATAATCGACGCGTTCGTGGAGTCGATGTCACACTCATTATGGATCATTCTACGATTAATATCGCAAACGCTGGCGTTACGTTATCAACCCTGGAACGACGTACAAGAATATGTTTTACCAGCCACGGATGTATTTAAAATGAGCTGGTTTTCAAATGGGCAGCTGTTATTATTATTATCGGACGGTGTCTGGAACCTCGAAGGTCTTGCAAGCCCCCAAAATGTTATTAATATTCCTCTTAAAGGAAAAGTGGTGGCCCTTATAGACGGGCCTAACTACTATGTGAAGTGCTCATCGATGAACAATGTAACTTTAATGAAGGCTCGATACGTAGGAAATTGAACACTGCATTGATCAGTTATAGTAATTTTAATGTATTACTAATCTAAATTCATTGCACCATATATATCATTATTACGATAATGTTAAAATTTTCTTGCCTTAAGTAATATGCAATAATTAATGTATGATTACCATAGTTTAGTCGCGTGCAGTATAATAAATTGGAGTTTCCTATAAATATAAAAGTGTAAATGTTCTTACAAAGATAACTTGGTACCTTGCGATGATAGGAGTTGCAAAATTAATATTCACACATTTTACACCGCGAAGAGTCCACTTTGAGGGCTACAAAGGTTTCCCTCGAACGTTGAATACGTTTTTAGAAAAAAGATTCATTGGCCATGGAGGACAATGCTACCTGAAAACCAAAGGTAATTAGAACGCAATCCGAGCCGTGAACAATTTAAATATATCGAAAGACAAACTTTTGCGGCATTCTTAATGACGGTGACTTCTTCCGGTCTTGTTACTTTTCTAATCGGTTCTATCTTCTTCTTCTCTTCTACTTTGAACAACTTCTATAAAACAAACATTTGAACACCGCGGATATTAGAATCTACTTTACGTTCCTTTAATTAAATGGCATTATGTTCTTACAGGATCTTTCTTAGAAAACTTCTCCACCATTCGCCTTCTTTCTTCCACTGCGTTGTCGAGGGCAGTTTGCTCGGCAGGCGTGAGCACCAGAAGCCGGGGATCCATAGCGATCCAATCGCTGGTGATGATCTGATTCAACGTCCAACGTTTCGTCGGGATTGGTTCAAGAAGACACGACACCAACTTCTTCACGTGCTCGGTCAGAGTGATTTTGCTACGGAATTTCCATTTGCGATTCCTTTGTTGCTCGTATAGACGTTTGATGTCGGTGTCGTCGAACGGCATTGCTTTATTTAGCACGATATACAATACGACGCCCAGCGACCAGATGTCAGCGATCTTTGGATTATACGGTGAACCGCGTAGAATTTCGGGGGCGGCGTACGACAGCGAACCGCAGTAAGTGTCGCTTAGGACGCGTTTGCCACGGTTGTCGATCATGTAACGGGCAAATCCAAAGTCAGCAAGCTTTACGTTGTAATTCGACGTGAGGAGAACGTTCTCGCACTTCATGTCGCGGTGAGCAATCTCCAACTCGTGTAGATATTGAAGACCTGGAAAGGAAACAGCTTTAACGAATTCTCTTGTACCCCGAAACATTACCCCTCTGTTTTTCCGGATTTTAGAATGGACTCCCTTTAATTCGTTATTGAAATTACCAAGTACAAGCTGTCGGAGCCATACGCGTGCCTGGCCCTCCGCGACTGGGCCATTCTTCAAGATGAACTCAAGAAGATCACCGTTCTCGGCGAATCGCATGAATATGAAGTATTTCGTTCGCCTTTGGAATATACTGTGCACGTGCACAACGTGGGGGTGGCTCAGTTTCGCCAAGATCTCGAGTTCACGGGGCAAAAACTTTCGAACGAAGTCCTTCGGCGCTTTCTCGGTGTCTATCACTTTGCAGGCCAATTTGTTGTTCCTGTCCCGGTCGGCTTCTGTTTTGTATTCCGCGAGGTAGACCTAAATTATCATTTTCATCTCTCTAATATTTTCTTTATTCTTTAAACGTATCTTTCTATCGAGTTATTGGGAATGAAAAAAATAGGAGGCATTTTGTATAAAAGCTTTTTAATGTATTTTATTTTTCTAATAATTCCTATTCTCCTTTAGGATTTCTCTAATACTCGGATCTCGATGTTAATAACAATTAAAATCCACCTTGGCGTAAGAACCTTCGCCCAGTCTCTTCAGGAACCTGTAACCGCGTGCAAATAAAACGGCTTGTTCTGATGGCGACTGATTCAAATCCGACATGAGATTTCACGATCCTCTGGCGACATCCTACCTCCTTTGTTACCATAATTCACGATTAATTACGGTTGTTGTTTTCCGCTGCGTTCTCTCTTTAAAAACGAAATCAATTGGAAATGGTTCTACTTTCTCTCTGAAATTGTTTGCCAATATTTAAACAAAAAATACAAAAAGAGGTTATTTCATTTCATATTTTTAAATAAATTTTTCTTTCTCGTTTACGCTCGTACTTGTAGATGCATTTTTTTTATTTCACATTAGACGTCACTCTTACGAAGGATTATAATATATCGATAGCGTGGTTGATTAACGAAAATTTTTGTTAAACAGCGAGAGAGCTTCACTGTGTCATTTCTGCGATATTTTATGTTAGTCGTTGTTCCTCACTTTTTTTTTATAAATTAGAACTGCAGTGGTGTAAACTAGAGTAGAGGTTTGGAAATGGAGATATCTGTTTTTACTTAGCCATTTTGTCTAATTGATATCACACACGAAATAGCATGACAGAGAAACTCATGGCCTGCTTTGTACGATAGTATCTATAAGATAATAGTAGAGCCTTTATTTACTGTATATCAGGACATAGTAAATCGTTATAAATCATATATAATACGTATTTTTCGAACGAATATATTCTAACGCCGCTAATTATGCAATATTTTGTTTAAACGATAAATGAAAAATGTATTTTAGTATTCGCGGCTAGAATTCAAAATTTAAACGCCGGATCTAACGACTGTGTCGAGATGTATCGATTTATCTTCGACTCTGCGACTTCTCGAAAACTGTTTGGTCTTTCTTCCGTAACCATACCTAGAAGGAAGAATTAACGTGAGTAATCTACAGTTGTTTTTTAATTTCATCGTTAAAATTTTTGCTACGTATATTTTTTATACTATCCTTTCTCACGTAAATGATACCGCAACTCTAGAAACACTATAAAAGAATGATTTATTGTCATATGATTGAAAGAAATATTGTAATTAACAGCCACGTGTTTTAAGGTTAAACTAGCAACAATGCTTGATGACAAATCTGACCTTTCATAAATAATAATTTATTATTCAAACATTGGATCGCGAATACCAGCGTAGCAACGGAGTTCTTAATTGCTAGTAATCCTAAAAATGTTTGAAAATAGATTTTTTATTTTTGTATAGTAAAAAACTGTTCTAGTCTAGATGTGAATTCTTTGTGTATCTAATTTTGTTGCATGATTTTGGCCTATATTTAAAAAGTAAACAATTTTTTCATATAAAAATATTGAAAATATAGTTTCAGTGGAATCCCTTTTGTCGAATGAATTTTCTTAACATGCAAATATGTAATGATTATCTAAAATGAACAAATCCATAACTTTCGATAGCACTTTTGATAACTTTTTCAGTATGGTGTTCATACTATGTACCAATCCAGAAATCTTAATGTTCCTAATACATTACAGAATGGCGGACTCTGCTCCAGCCACGCGTGGAGGATTCCGTGGAGGATTTGGCTCCCGAGGCGGTGGTGGAGATCGTGGAGGATCACGAGGTAGAGGCCGTGGTGGCAGAGGAAGAGGTCGTGGGCGTGGACGTGGTAAAGAAGATAGCAAAGAATGGATTCCGGTTACTAAACTTGGCCGTTTGGTCAGGGATGGGAAGATCGAATCTCTGGAGCACATTTACCTCTTCTCTTTACCTATCAAAGAATATGATATTATTGACAAGTTCCTCGGACCCGAATTGAAAGACGAAGTTTTAAAAATTATGCCTGTACAGAAGCAGACTAGGGCCGGTCAACGTACACGTTTCAAGGTAGAGTTAACAGAAAACTACAGACAATATAATTCATTGTATTCACGATTCATCAACAATTTCCAATAATCTTACAGGCTTTTGTTGCAATTGGTGACTACAAAGGTCACATTGGTCTGGGTGTAAAATGTTCCAAAGAAGTAGCTACTGCTATTCGTGGTGCTATTATTTTGGCAAAACTTTCAGTCGTGCCCGTGCGTCGTGGTTACTGGGGGAATAAGATCGGTTTTCCTCATACGGTACCATGTAAAGTTACTGGTAAATGTGGATCGGTTCAAGTACGTTTAATACCCGCACCGAGAGGTACGGGCATTGTCTCAGCGCCTGTACCTAAGAAACTACTACAAATGGCCGGTATCGAGGATTGCTACACATCGGCAAGAGGATCTACGTGTACACTTGGCAATTTCGCTAAAGCTACTTACGCGGCTATTGCTAAGACTTACGCGTACCTGACACCAGATCTCTGGCACGATCAAGCACTGCGAAAGGCACCTTATCAAGAGTTTGCAGACTTTTTGTCTAAGAACCACAGAGTCGTGGGAGGACAGAGACCCGCCGAGACTGCTTAAACGAAATAAACTTTCACGGAAGTTATCTGAGCGTAGTGTACTCTTTTTCCCTAATCATTTTCGTCCTTTTAAAATAAAGAAATTATTTCTATTTCTATGATATTAATGCTTTACTAATCACATGCTTGAAAGGAAAACACAATGGGTCGAACAAAATAATATAAAAACATATTTTATTTTTGAAATTATGATTATTAAAAAATGAACAAAAGATTATACGTTATCTACAAATTTGTCTTTAGAGTTTTTAAACTGATCGTAAGCATTGTTAAATGTATCCAAGGTATGATCACAGATCTTTTCGAAGTCTTGCAATCCTTTTCTTAATATATCTACTGCTTTTCCTTTCTTTGCTTGAATCCTCAAGTATATGTTTCCCTCTGCTGGATGATTGACGAAACAAGCACAAAACTCCACGTCAGGGCTGTACAAAATTACACAAAATTTTAGGTTTAAAATTAAAAAATTGTATTACTTACTATTAAAGTTTACTCATACTTTTGCAAGATTACAGACACTAAGGAGTTTCCTAAAGTATAACCTTCGTCCATGAATACGAAAGTTTTGTTTTGATCAGATGATTGCTCACCGGCTACCTACGAAATTTAATTTTAATAAGACAAATTAACTTTTATCAAAATAGTACCGATAATTCGAACATTTATATTTTAAGAAACATTTTTAAAAGTTAAAAAATAATTTTATATTGACACAGTAACGTACCTCTGCTAGTCGGCCCATTTTTGATTATTTATTATTTATTCTTTAAACAAATGCCTATAAAGTAATATGTATAATATTATCTATAATTTATTCCCAACACTTTCATACGGTATTCATGATATTAGCACGTTAATGTAAAGTAGTAATGACACATGATTTTAATCATGCAGACACCACTGACAATTTGTATCATACAAGAATTTAATCAAACATTAAGGATATTTATATGTCATTAACGACAAATTTTATAGTTACAAAACTCACGTGTAAACAAAATAATTACGCGAAAGAAATTTATTAACTCGTTGAACGTGTGTACATCGCTCCGTCGGAACCTAACGTCCTAACTTCCTAGGTAATGGTAAACCTAACCTTACTTACCATTAATTCGTTGTTATACGTTGGAATTGCGAATTGTATTTAGCGACATACGCCACGCAACGTTTATCGTAGCAAAGAAATTAATAAATGATTGAAATTGATCGAGTAAACATTTTGCATGTCACTTAAAAATATAATATTGTATGGAGTATTACTAAATCCAATATTCTATTATTATGGCGATATGGTTAATAATAGTTTTGTTTTGCAGAAAACATAGACGAAAGGGATAAGTTGAACAAAAGCACAAAATGTTTTTAAAAACGTTATTTACCAATCCTCGGCTAATACATTTTCAAAACTGTACTAGTAGATGTTTTGCATCTAAAACACAAGATATTATTCAGTCTGCTGAAAGTGAACCAGTTTATATAGATAAAGATGACCAAGCATCCAGAGACCGTTATATTGAAAGACGAAGGAACAAGTCCAGACTTAACCGTGGACATAGAAATATATTATTTGATCAAAAACCTTATGAGAATTCCATAACTTGGTTTCATGATACATTGAAATACAAAAGAGGAATATTAGGGAAATATGGTATGGAGGCATTAGGGATACCTGCAGGAATTGCATGGCCTACGCACGAGGAATTAGAAGATATGAAGGAATACGAAAGAGTTGCATTTCCATTGACTCTTGAAGAAAGATGGCAAAAGATGAAAGAGAAACACAAGCAAGAAGAAGAGGCTATAATGACTAGGTACAATGAACTATGTAACATTTTACAATACAATGTTTATTGTATTGCTAAAAAATGGCACCAGTTAGTGGTAATTATTTTGAGTTCGATATACAGCAATTTCAGTAACATATTGATTTCCTTTTGTGAAACTGGTATTTTAAGTACAATAAGAAAATGGTACCAATTTTAAGTCTGGTTAAAACAAATTTTGAGAATTGTAATGAAATAGAAAAACGAAAGTAATTATTGGTAAATACAGGGCGTATTTCGACCACCCCTAGAAAAATTTGAATGGGGGATTCTAGAGGCCAAAATAATTTGAAAGTTTTTTCCGTCAAAAGATTTCACACCTCGAATTTTTTTCTAGAAAGTGGGTAGGATTTCGGGGGTATGTCTATTCACCAAAAATGATTGTAATTGACCCCCGCAACCGACAATAATTTTTCCAGAACGATTTGAAATTTTTTTTTTCGTCGAAAAATTTAGGCACCTAATTAGATTTTCGGTAAGGAATTTTTTTCGCGAAAGTGCGTAGGATTTCGGGGGTATGTGTAATGACCAAAAATGATTGTAATTGACTCCCGCAACCGACAATAATTTTCTTAGAACGATTTGAAATTTTTGAATTTAATTGTTAATAACTGTTTAACGAAGCCTCCATCAACAAATTGGTATTCTTGATTTTCGTCTTATTTTGGACTCTAGAATCCCCCATTAAAATTTTTACCAGGGGCGGTCGAACACCCTGTATATTGGTATTTTCGTATAACTGAAAAATAATGGTAAAATACTGGTATAAGTCCTTTGCAACACATGTTCTAAACATTTAATGATGGTTCCGCGCGTGTATAATTTATACATATTTACAGGCAAAATGAGATTGAAGCTAAAATGTTAAAAATGAGTGATATGATATTGGAGGTAGAAGAAAAAGTCGCTAAAAAGAAACTAGAAGCAGAACAAGCTAAGATGAAGAAAGAACGTCGAGTACAAGAAATTAGACGTCAGTTATTAGTCACAGGTCATGTAACCAACGATAAAATCGAGGAGATGATGGCTAAACTGGACAAAGAGGATAAAAAGAAACGAAAAGAAGCTAGGGCTAAACGATTACTCGAGAGGCAACAGAAATTCTTAGCAAAGTCTATGAACGCAGATACTGGAGTAAAAGAAAATGAAGATCCAGAAGATAGGAAAGGATCACAAACGGTTGAAGAACCTACAAAGTAAACACTTTAATCAAACCACATTGTATTTAAAAATAATTTCTATATACTTAGTAAACTTGACACTCAGCAAAAAATCTGTCCTAGTTGATTTCTGTTTAAAGCATACAAACTTTTAACGTGGATAGAATTTCTTTTATGGAAAGAACCTTACACAGAAGAATAATATTTACACGTTATAGTAAATATTATATTTCCTTTTACTAATACAAAAAAACGTTACATGTTACTCTGCAAGAGCTAGAAGAAACTATACTAATGTGTAGTATCATTAAATGACTCGATAGGGTACATATTCAGGCACAATTTTGACAATAGTATGCTGCGCTTCCTTTAAATTCTTTTGGTTGATTTCCTGGGTAAACTTCGACGAAACGAGTTTTACAACCGTTCGTGACATCCGGCTAACTTTGTGTAAATCTTATGGTGGCGTTGTTAGAAAAAAATCAGCTTTCGACTGTCGAGGGTGTGTCAGAATTTTCGGTAATGTCATGTAATATCAAGGACGATTTTCGATCGGTAAGAATTTCCTGAGACTTGTTTTCTTCAATGGCACTGTGAACATTGGAGTTATCAATGTTTTCGACTTGATCGCAGTTCTGAATATTTTGTACGTGTGTATGATCGATGACAATCAAACGTAATTTGTTTCTCTCCATATGTCAGGCGGACTGAATTTGCGACGGGGACGACAATTCGTAGAACTGAAAATTTAATTCCTCGCCGAATAGGTTTTCCGGCGTGATAATTTCTGGCTCGACCATATTAAGACCTAACGTTGTCGGATTTATGTCCGTGACTAGATAACCTTCGCTTATGAGTCCACATTCCTCTGCTACTACCTCTTTGGACACTGGATTGAGAAAATCTACAAAAAAAAGATTGATCATTTCTTTGGATACGTATTTCATAACTAGACAGTAACTGGTACAAACTCCACATGGATTTTTAGTTGCTGAAGGGATTGATCTTACCGCTTTCTTTCACAGGATAATGAAGCTCCTGCGTCTGTTGACTAGACTGGCTCGAATTATGTTCATTGTTAGACATCATCATAGGAACCAGATACTGTACCTCTACTTCTTTCTTAATACCGCTAAGAATTTGTTCGGCGCAGTGTTCCAAAGTTACAGAATTCACAATGTTCTCGGTCTCCTCTTCCGACGATGGTTGCGTAATACTAGCGGTCGCTGCTTCCACTTCGTCTATAGGGTTGATTTGACTGGAAAGAAAATAACAATTTCAATAAGCGAGATTTACATAAAATTAAAGTCACTTGGGTAAGTCACTTTGAAAGATAATCTGGTACGAAGTGAATACCTGATACTTTTTCGAGAATTTTCAGTTTCCAGAGTGGTTTTTGTGACTTGTTTCATAGAAGAATTGGTCATAGGAGTATTGATAATCTGTCGAGGTCTAGAATCCCCGGATCGGTTTGCAATTGCCCACAAGTGTCCAGCTCCGTGCGGTGCTTTCGATCCCTTTCGAAAGTGCGGGTTTATCGAAAGATTGTGTCGCACGGAATTTTTCCAACGATCATCGTTACTTTTGTAATAGGGAAAATGTTCACTAAAAAGACATTCACAAATTTCACACCCATTAATCGTCGCAATTTCATTTCAGGTGCACGTATTAATATCAAATTACATTACAGAAAAAAACAGATTAAACGATATCGATAATAGAGTGATTGAAAATATAAAATAAATGAAAGAAAAAAAAAAAAGCAGTTTGAATCCTCGTTTACCTCACTGTCCCAAGAAAACTAAACGCACGCATAAGCTTCTTCGTTTGCATAACGATACAGGATTAAACAGTGTTTGTCGTTTAACTAGTCACTACCAGTAAAAAGACGTCGACAAGCTTGCACTCTCCCACAAGAATAATTTTCTTCACCTGCTCGTGGCGATGTCACGGCGTGTTACACACCCCTGTAATTAATTCCCTGCTTTCGATAGGAGAGGACAAGAGACCCGACAAAGCGCCTTGAATATGGACTACTGTGTTAAATGATAGTTTTACTCGCTCCAGTGACCATAATGATTGTATAAAAACAAAAATTCACTTTTGAGATAATGCATCCTATAAAGCAATCGATTCTAATTGAAATATGGAATTCAACTTTGGCTCGCATCAACGCTTATCCTAGTTCCCGATTTTTGTAATTACTAAATTTTTGGTAGTTAAAATAAATTAAAAATAACAATATTTCTATCGAAAGTTTTAAAAGGCACTTTTTTAAATTTTAACTGGAATTCCTATAATGATTAATTTAACGGTATCTTCCCCCCTCATCATATTTTTTTAAATGCAGATTTTTTTCTTATAACAGCTTAACTGAATTAGAATACTTTTAAAAGGTGAACGGGCGAAGTATCATTCCAGAAGAGTTAACTAATGAATGAATACAAAAGCAAATCGATAACAGTAAGCTTGAACTGTAATTAGAAAATCACGTTATGAATGCTATAGGGAACATACGAAGAAAGAAATTGAAAATAAATCTGAAACAAGGAACCAACTGAAAAAGGAAGATGCTGTATTATATGTAACTGCTTTCGTTTCATTCATATTTTTCTCCTTTAAAGAACGAAATTATAATAGCTCATAAAACATTTGTTTTTGAAGGTCATTCTCCGAACATAATTATGGATAACGCAGGTTTCTGGAGTCAAAGGATATAATTATTCAGGTGTAAAATTGCAAGAGTATTTTGTACGCGGTGCTAAGAAACTTTTGACGAGATATAATTTATGGTACCGACCCCAAACTTATGGACGTCAGTGTACACTGCCGAAGGTTTAGGTCTACGTTTAAGACGTAGGAGCGAATATAGCATCCTTTAACAGCAAATGTAGGAAACGGGTTTCTACGAATTTACGAGAACGTGGCCTGTCTCGATTCGGGGTGGCTAGTCAGGGAGGGTCAGAATGGTTCTTAGATGGTACCCCTTGGCACCGCTGCCCTCGCAACGTGGTACTACCTGGTACCAGCTTTCCTCATCGTTGCAACCTCCCCCCAACACGAATGCGCACAATTTACTGGCTCTGTGCTTTCACCTGTTCGATCGTGGACTCGCGAGGAACAACGCTATAGATAATCGAGCCCCTGAACTCCTTCTCGACCGATTTTCTATCGTTGAACGTCCATAATACGATTACTCTTTTTTTTTTACTAACAAGATGCAGAGTACTTATAAGAATGAATGTATTACCGTATTAATTAACGTAAAGCTCTTATAATAATTCAGAATGATTAGAACATTCGTATTTAACCCGCGACCCTACAGACTTTTTTATGCGCGGCTCTGAAATACTCGCGCTCAGTATCAATATATTTATAAGAAATTATACATAAATATAATTAAATGTAAGAACACATATCTCTTGCATATGGATAGGATAGATAATTATTTAGCTGCCTTGTCCAAGGAATTTACAGATTTCAGGATTCAAGGGGTAGGACCACTGTAAAAACCTGAAATAAAGCGTTTTCTTTTATTTTTTTGGATGGATGGAAAAATAAGTGGATAATGATATTCAAGAATGTTATTAACCATGTCGTTAAGTGTTATAAAAAGAAAATATTTATTAAAAAATAATGCAAAATGACGACGCTGGAGCCATTCTCGCGAGGCGTGTTCTGAATTTCATTGCGTCTGAATTGACGCAAAAAAACAAAAAATTTTCTCTTAATCTACATGAGTATAGCTAAAGACATATGTAGGGGATGTTCGATAAGTTAATTTTAACGTTATTTATTGACAAATGATTGCCCCATTTTTGTACAAAATTGAACTTTCTACTTCAAATGCTCGCCAATCGCTCAAAAATTAATGTTTCAAAAATCCCCTACGTATTTCTCTGGCTATACTCATGTAGATTAAGGGGCCTTTCTACCTTGTGGGATTAAAAAAATCGATATTTTTTTTTGCATTTTCCTTTAGTATGTAGTCTCGAAAATATGTCTACCAAATATTAAATTGAAATTCGGAAACCTAACGAAGTTATAGCCTGCTGAAATGTACCGCGCGTAGGTATAACAACTAGACGTGAAACTTTAAAGTTGTTTTTCTCGAAACTACATCTTTCGGCACTGCGTGCGTGATAACTAAAAAACTATTCAAGATATCAACATCAAATTTATACAGTATCTTCAGAACTGGTCTCCCTATAGCATGAACTAGGATAATTGCGATATATGCAATACTTTTTCTTTTATTAACAAAAAAGCAACCAAATATATGAAAATATTCAGTATTTTTTCGTAAAATAGCTGCCATTTTGCCATTTTTTGTTTTTTTGAAAAGATCTTAGTTCATGCTATAACCACACTCATCTATATTAAGAATATCGTTGGTTTTAGGATTTCGAATAACTTGTTCGCAAGATATCACGTACGTAGTCGGGTGCCGTTCGTAAAAACTGTTGTTTGATGATCAACAAAAACAGCGTAATCAATAGATTTATGCGTTGCAAAAATTCGTAAATATAGCTAAATATATAATAAATGTATCTACAAAATCCGGAATTAATCGCTCTTTAATAACCCGTAAAAAAAATCACAAAGAAACACGTATTTTTCATGCCTACAAGGTAGAATGGCCCCCTAAGAGAAAATTTTTTGTATTTTTGCATCACTTACACTGCGTGCCGCAGAGTGCCTGAAATTCAAAACACGCCTCGCGAGAATGGCTCCAGCGTCGTCATTTTGCACTATTTTTGAATCAATATTTTATTTTTGTAACACTTAACGACATGATTAATAACATTCTTGAATATTATTATCCTTTTACTTTTCTATCCATCCAAAAAAAAGAAAAACGCTTTATTTCGGGCTTTCACAGTGGTCTTACCCCTTAACACTTTAATGGCCGCCATATTACGCGAAGACCGTTGTCCGTCACCACTGATATTGTAAACGAAAGTGAGATATACGAAGAGTCGAAGATGCTAGGAATATTATTATAAGGAATTATAAATGTGATCTCAACAAACGTAATAAGTTGAATGTATAATGAAATGGTGACTGATACAGTAGATCACGCACGCGTGACAGTGGCCAATGTTTACTAGCTCGCAAAGTCACGTATACATGACAGCGGCCGTCAAAGTGTTAAGAAGTATTAAGGATTGTCTGTTGCTTGTAGGAAATCTCTAGTAATTCAGAATGTACTACTTACGAGATCCACTGGTAAATGGCCGAAACGGTGAGTTCTCCCCTTTCTCGGAGAGCGTGTTCAATGAGTTCTGTATAGGTGAAGGGTGGCTTCTTCGGTCCGTTGCATCGGGAAGGTGCAACGTTTCTGTTATCAAGACTTTGGTAATTCTGGATCGTGTCCTGATGCGACGAACCGTTCTCGTTGTAATTCCTTTTAACATCGTTGACGTAGGCAGAACCATAGGAACGTCCGTTTATTTTCGCCTTGCTCCCTGAACAAGGAACGATACTCAAATACATAGCGACGATTTCTGCATAAACATTAAAAATGAAATCTTTTGCGCTACGCATGCGATTTTTGAATTTTGGTCGATCTATTCGAAGCAACACGAGGCAACGTGAAATATGAATGTATTTTATGATTGGGGGGTGCGCGAATTTGCACGCAGAAATTTTCAATGTTTATTGTCATTTCATACATTATGCTTAAAAATATCAATTTTATATTGTCAATGTTTTGTGACTGAAACAAATCTTTCTGAAGTTTCTCGTAAGCTTATTCTCGTATTGTAGAGCGATCTGTGCATAAATACGCGCATAAATTCTATGTCCTTATCGATACATTGTATACAGGGAGTTCGGCCACCCGTGGCACAAATGCTTGTAATTGACTCCTGCAACTAAAAATAATTTTTCGAAGACGATTCGAAGTTCTTTTTTTTCACCCAAAATTGTCAGCACTTACTCGAATTTTTTTCTCGAAAATACGTAGGATTTCGGGGGTATGTCTTTCGACTAAAAATGTTTGTAATTGATCCCTCCAACTGAAAATATTTTTTCCAGAACGATTTTAAATTCTTTAATTTCACCCAAAATTGTCAGCACTTACTCGAATTTTTTTTTCGAAAATGCGTAGGATTTCGGGGGTATGTCTTTCGACCAAAAATGTTTGTAATTGATCCCTCCAACTGAAAATATTTTTTCCAGAACGATTTGAAATTCTTTAATTTCACCGACAAATTTCAGCACCTACTCGAATTTTTTTCTCGAAAATGCGTAGGATTTTGGGGGTGTATCTATTCACTAAAAATGATTGTAGTTGGTCTCCGCAAATGAAAATAATTTTTTTAGAACGGTTTGAAATTTTTTTTTCGCCGAAAATTTCATCAGCAGCTGTCGATTTTTCTTAAAAATTCGTTTTTTATTTTTAATAAATTTGTTTGACGCTGTACAGAAAAGTTGTTTAATACTTTTTTGTAGGTATCCATGAGCTCTACTTCAGAAAAAAGTTTCATTGAAATATATTCACAATTGTAGGAGTTATGGCTGTTGGAAAATTGGACTATTTTTATGAGGTTTTTCTCACTTTACGGGATCAAGGAACAATTTTTTCAATATTATTAGAGTTTCTACATATTTCCCATCAAAATATGTGTCGTTTGCCTTTTGAAACATTAAAATCCTTCAATCCGTTCCGAAGTTATGATGTTTTAAAGATTCGCATGAAAATTCGGGCAGACAATTCTGGTCAGAAATTATATTTTCGGTAAGGAATTTTTTTCTCGAAACTGGGTAGGATTTCGGGGATATTCCTATTGACAAAAAATGCTTGTGATTGACCCCTGGAACTAAAAATAATTTTTCCCAAACGATTCGAAATTCTTTTTTTTCATCCAAAACTTTCAACGCATACTCGAATTTTTTTCTCGAAACTGCGTAGGAATTCGGGGGTATGTGTAATAACCAAAAATGATTGTAATTGACTCCCGCAACCGATAATAATTTTTCCAGAACGATTTGAAATTATTGAATTTATTTGTTAATAACTTTTTAACGAAGCCTCCATCAACAAATTGGTATTCTTGATTTACGTCTTATTTTGGCCTCTAGAATTACCCATTAAAATTTTTCCCAGGGTTGGCCGAACACCCTGTATGTGGTTTCGGATGCCAACTATTGTATCTCACTCGCCCTTATCCTCTTTCTTTATCTCCGTTGAACTCTGAGAACTAACCATGCCCACATAAGTGACCGCTGCCAGTCCCGAGCTTGGTCACTTATATGGGCACTGTTGTATTGTTTAAATAAGCCCGACTCTAATTCCAACGAATGTCTTCCAATAGCTACATCCGCATAACAAAAGCTACATCGAACAGTTTCAACATGCGAGCGAAAAAGCTTAATTAATGACCCCCCAAAGAGCTCAACACCATTTTGATTATCCTTGGACGAAGCCACGGTGGATCTGTCATCGGCAGCTTCGATGAACGGGTCCAACTTGAAGTCCAGCAACCAGGAAAGGTTCCCAGTTTCCTGGTCGTCGAACTGTTGCTGTTGATACTGGCTACCGGAAGGCGGGCCGGGCTTGTTTTGTTGGAAATTCGTTGACGGGATCGCAACCACCGGTTCCCAGTAACTCGAGTCAACCTGGTAGCTCGTCTCCTCGACCTGGACATCCTGGAGCACTTGCTCGCGTCGATGCTCCGACGACGAGGTAGACGTCGATGGCGACGCTGCGATCTCAGCGATGCTCTGCTGAGACTCCAACTCGGAGACGGTTGTCCAGGTACAGTTCGTCCCGTCCACGAGGAGAACCTCCAGCCGCGCGACAGGGCACTCCTCTACAGCTTCCTGGGCCGACAGCGGAGAAAATAGTGCCGCGTTGTCGGCGATCATTTGATTGGAAGCAATCAGCTCCATAGGAGTCTCGATATCCTGGAACTGGTACCGTTTCCGACTGTTTTGAACTTCCTCGCAGAAGCTCTCGATGTCCAGATCATCGAAGATCCGTTTTCTTGCGGCACGCGATTGATTGTCGGACAACTCGTGATCCGGAACGCCCCCGGTACCCGAAGACGGTCCAATCATCCTGTTAAGGGTTATTCAAGGACCATAACTGAACCAATGTTGGGAATTTTTCTTAGTAAATCGTTGTTGCATATAACATGTAATACGAGAAGTAAGTTTTCTACATACATTACATACTAGTTTAAATATAATACTAGCGACATGTTTACATCGAGCTACTCCGTTTGTTCACAGTACGTTATTATACGCCTTAAATCTCGGTTTCTCGCAGCGAGTCGAATGAAAATGAAGCCGATTTCTTCAAATTGTTTAAAAAAAATCGCTTCTCGTTATATTGCGGAAAAGTGTAGTGTTAGTCGCCCAATACTCCAAAGAATAAGAAAAAGATATATTACAATATTTCTTTTAATTTGTTGAGAATTAGAATATCGAAAAATAAATAAAAAATATCAAGAAATCGGGAACACTAATGTGTGGTGATCCAAATCTCCAAACCTCCAAACCAAAAATGTGTAACATTTGGGTACCCGAATCTTATGTCGTAAAACGATGCCAACGTATGTGTATTGGCTCCAAAAGATAAACGACAAAATAATTGCATTAAAAAGAAATAAATAAAAACGTATAATATAATCTCCAAAATCATGCAAAGTGAAAACCCTATAAAGAAAAGATAAGGGTTTAAAAAGGAGGAGTTCTTCTCGCGGAGCAAAGATCTTGAGAAATCGAATCAGTGACACAATCACTGTCAAATTTAAGAAATACGAAAGTCTCGATCGTTTTTGGAAACATTCCCGTTAAAATGATCGAAATTTTAATTTTCGGAAGTTCGTTAATTTCTTCCAACGTTAATGTCGATTGTGTCGCGCGCAAATTTATCATTGTAATAGAACGTGTTCTCTTACCTCGATTCTTTCTTCTACGATAGCGACGAACCTGTGCAGATTATTCAACGATTGTCGCGACAAAACGAACCGTCGTGAAACGAGTTCCGACTTTCATCACGAGGTCCTGCTGTCAGCGAAAAGACGACTGTACACGGGTTTCGAATGTCTCATCGATGCCTGTGCTCGTTACACCACGGGAAAGAAAAATTGTCTTGTCGTCGATTTTTACCGGCACCGTTTACTGGCAAAAGAAACGTAACCGACTCGAACACGGCTCAGAGATGTTTCATCGCAAACTGTACGTGTGCACGTTCTCGAACACCTAATTGATGCTTTCGTACGCGACCAACGAACTTCAACTTTGTAAACGGTATCACCTTGCAATCAGACGTTTTTGGAACATCTACATGATCAACTTCAGACCGCGACTGCCTTCTGTTTCGTATTTCAAGTGTTACGCGGTGCGATGCGCGCGCACGCACTGATTGTGGCCGTAATGGAAGGGATGTCCGCGCATGTATATCTACATCATTGGAAATCGCCTCAATGTTGTACTAAAATGTAAAATGACTAGTAATAAATGTTGTTTTAATGTATTTATTATATGCAATTTTTGTAATATTAGTTTCTAAACGTGGTTTTGCAATTTATTAACCTGTTTACATTTGAAAATGTTCATACGCAGCATTAAATCTGTCGCAGTCACAGTGCATATCCCTATGGTGCTAAGTTTCTGATTAGTGGAGTGACACTAAAAACGTCACGTTCTACCAATTGGTAATCACAACGTCATTTCATTAATCCTTCATGTGATCCTCAATGTATTATAAACTTTATTTTATCTATACGAAGTTTTTCAGTTTTTAAATATTTCATCGATATTTCATCAATCGACTGTGCCTTGGATCTATTGTGTCTATTAAGAATTAAGATTTGTAAAGATGCAGAATTCTATTTCTTCTGCTGTGAGGTCAGGTTCCATATCCTCCTCCTTTTTTCTTCTTTTTGTAGATAGTTCCCTCGTCTCCTTCCCTCCTAATAGATTCATGAAATGTTTTTTTCATTTTTCTTTTCATATACTATAACTTACAATTACTTTTCTTTTACTATATTTATTTATTACCCTCCATGTCTCTTTTTTGTCTTTAAACTTCTGCCCCCTTTGATTAAATTTTCCTTTTCCTTTTCTTTTCCAGTACTCTATTCTATTTATCTTTCCTACTCCCTATGCTCCCTGTTTTTATTTAATTATCTACATTTCTACTATTTCTACTATCTCTTATTCCCTTTTTCCCGCTCAATGTAGGTACTAGGTTTGTTTTACGCTTGTTACTTTCCTAACCTTACTTCCGTAGTCTGTTACATACTTATTTGCCTCAAAACTATGCTATTGATTTTCCTGTATCCATATCTAAAATCCTATAAGCTATTTCGCTCTCTTTAAATGTCCTCATATTATTTTTGCCTCTTTCTTAAATTTAATCGCTCATACGCTACCGCTAAAATGCACACGTGCTCACGCTTCTACTGCTCTAAGCCGAGTCTCTACGTACCTACTCAATTGTATATTTTATCTTATTTTATCGTATTTTTCAGGACAATATTTATTGTGATTTGTTCATTGCACTTTTTGTGCCGTATTTCGAATATGCAAGAAATGTGCAGCAGGTACTATTGTATCACCTAAAATAAAAAAGTTTCTTTAACTGATATGTATGTATACAGGGTATTCGGCCACCCCGGGGAAAAATTTTAATGGGGGATTCTGGGGGCCAAAATAAGACGAAAATGAAGAATACTAATTTGTTGATAGAGGCTTCGTTAAAAAGTTATTAGCGTTTAAAATTGCGCCGTAGATACGTAATCTGCGTACAACTGCGTGCGCACGATAGTGGTTCTCACTCAGCATGAGAAACTCTACTTAGTGACGTATCGACAGCCTTACAATTTTCTGAGTGAGAATCACTATCACGCGTACACAGTTGTTCGCAGATTGCAGTTCTACAGGCGTAATTTTAAACGTTAATAACTTTTTAACGAATCCTCAATCAACAAATTGGTATTCTTGATTTTCGTCTTATTTTGATTCTTGAATCTTCCATTAAAATTTTTCCCAGGGGTGGCCGAACACTCTGTATAATTTAGGCTTGGAGTTGGGTAAAGATTTCAATACGTAATATTTTATGTATTTAAAATGTTATAACATCAGCTCCACAAACGAGACTATAAATTATTCTAAAATGTTTGTAATATTATTTTTTTCTAATAAATCATATTGATTAATTCTTCAACAATATAATTAATAAACGTATTGATATTGATATTTGCTATAAAAATTCAGCGGATAACATTTTTTGCTATCGTTCATTATAAACTTCATTGGATACTTTATACTGAATAGAATAGTACAGTTTAAGAATTATAAAAGTTCGATGCGCCAGCGAATGAACTAGAACGTTTCCTATCTCTAGAATATAAATATTGGTGGCGATACGTTAAACCCGAAACTATGATCTATGATTGCGCACTTCAAATGTGTTTTGAAGTAACGAAAAAATCAAAAACTGATATGATAAAACCAACGATCCCTGTACGCATGTAACCCGTAATACATAGAAGTAGGAATACGACGTAAAAACGGACGAGCCGAGTTTATGTATGTTCACTTTTCTTGCAAAGTTTTTACATATCAGTTTATCAGCTACAAAAACTTGGTATCTGCGGTGTGCCAAGGTCAAGGTGACGGACGTCACAAAGGGAACGGAAGACGAGTGAGTTCACCTCGACTGTACGGACTGTACGGAAGTGATCTTCGAGTTTTGCGTGTTTCTCGTACAGAGTGTACCGTGGATACATGCACCCGCTGCGCACGGACGAACGTCACGAAGAATGACATTTAAAATTTGCAGTTAAAGATTAAGAGGATATAGGGACGTGTTTAAGAAGGTGCGTGTACATTGACAGTTACGTTACATGGGGCACTGAACGATTAAGGGAGCGCATCATGAACGTGGATAACGATTTGGACCAGCATTTGTTGCGCCAGTTCAGCTGTCTAGGCACCACCGATAAGGACGATCTGGTGAAGCAGCTGCAGAAGCTGCTGGCTGGCAGCCAGCTGAACGAAGCCACTGCTACGTTCTTTCTCGATATGAATAACTGGTGAGATACTGTCCCTTTCACATGTCGTTCTTACCGATGACCAACTTTCGTCGTTCGACCTAACCCTAACGTCGCCATGTTTACATGATGTTCACCTCGGACTCTAACTGGATACTGTTGACAGTTTGTATTCGCGAACGCAATTCATTCGCTTCTACGTTCGACTTCATTCACTGGTTGTTTTTTGTAATCGGTCAAACTTTTGATTCGTTGAACGAACGTTATTTAAAGTGTAACTAAGTTGGAAACAGGGTACAGAGAATTTCGAAATCTTTGATAGGCTCTGAGAGTAAAGAAGTTTTCCGTTTATTTTGAGTGTAACATATTCTTGTAATGATACAAAGAAAGTAGCAACTCACTGGTCGATGCTATGCCAATGTTCTTAGAAAGCATTTGTCAATACATTTATTTTGTTAATAGCTGTAAAGATTTATTGACTTTATTGTTTCCTATTATTATTAAAAGTAATTTCTATGCAATTGCAGGAATCTCCAGGCAGCTATATGTAGTTATTTTGACTTTGAGTCTCCATTCAAATTCCCTTGTATGGCACTAATATGTGATAGTACTATTGGCGAAGGAGAATCGGTACCACCTAATACTAAATTTCGAAAATCATGGCACGTACGAAATAGTGGTACAGAAGCATGGCCTGCTGAGATTTGTCTACAGCATACAGGAGGAGTACAAATGGGAGAATGTACAAGAGTACCAGTTCCATCTTTAGGTCCCAAAGAAACGGCTGAAATAAGCGTCGATCTTACAAGCCCTCCCATTAACGGTGTATATCAAAGTAAATGGAGGATGATGACATCAACAGGTTCCTATTTCGGGGGTAAGTATATTTGCTTTTGTAATGATTTTGTGTCAAGATCGTCTTTATCGCATAAATAATTTTTTTTCTTCTCTTTAGACATCATTTGGGTGATTATTGCGGTGAATGAATGTGGCACCCTAGCGGTTACTCAACAACTGCATCAATTAAGTACTTCACAATCTAACGATGTACAGATGTGCTAGCCCCTGATATCCAGAGACTTCCCTTAAATTTTTTTTTCTTTTTAATGCTGTTAATTATTTTAAATCAAGTAAGTGAATATAACATATTCATTTAAAATATTGCTTTAAATAATAGAATGATTTTCTGCTAGTGACACAAGAAACAATATTTCCAACAGATATTTACATGATTTAAGGAAGTACTGGATTTAAATACTGTATAGAAGTAACGTAATTTTGTTAGATTTGAAAATTGTTTACATAAGGCCTTTTAGCGTCCATGCTTGTCAGTTACATCAAAATGTGTTTTTTTTTTTCCCGCGATATTCTCTGTAATACAAAATTTGATGAATAATATACACTCGCGTAATGTAAAGCTGTAACAGACACGTATGGACCACATTTGAGACCGGTACTGAAAAAAATTGAAATATATATATATATTATACATAAATATATGTATATATATATATACACATATGTACAATTACTAAGATACGAGTTTATTAAAAACATAATTTTTATTAGAAAATAAAGTATAAATGCGGTTAGAAATTATAACACACAGTGAATTATATTCATTTACCAATTCAAAGACAGATTAGATGCTTACTTTCTTAACAGCAATCAACTTGAATCGAATAAACGGTAGTTCATTTTGGTGTAATGTGACTGTATTTGTTTAAATGGCCATTGTCATTGAAATTTTTGGATGCGGTTCATATCCGATCAATTCAAAATTTTCCACTACAAAATCGTCGATATTTTCAACGTTCCCGACTATTTTTAAACGTGGAAATGGTTTCGGCTCACGTTTAATTTGTTCCTCAAGCGCAGATATATGATTAAGGTACACATGACAGTCACCCATTGTATGTATAAATTCACCTGGCTAAAAGTAAAAGAAGAAATATAGTTTCTGTTAAAAATTCATACGACTCCCTTTGTAGAAACTTACCTTCAAATTAGTAATATGAGCCAACATATATGTCAATAACGAGTAAGATGCTATGTTAAATGGCACTCCAAGACCCATGTCGGCGCTTCTTTGATAAAGCTGACAGGATAATTCACCGTTACTCACATAGAATTGAACAAAGACATGGCACGGAGGTAAGGCCATTTGTGAAATGTCAGTTGGGTTCCAAGCCGTCATTACTATTCTTCTGTCTTCTGGAGAATTTCGTATCTTGTTTATTACTTCTTGCAATTGGTCATTACCTGCATACATAAAAAAATATGTCAAGGTAGTGATCATTAACTTTACATATAACATGTGATTTACCTTGTCCCTTGTAATTAGTATGCATGTTTTCATATTTTGCACCAAAGTGCCTCCACTGAAATCCATAAATAGGTCCTAAATCTCCTTCTTCCCTATCAGTGAAACCACATGAATTTAAATATGCACGCGAGCTGTTTCCATCCCAAATATGAATATTTTTCATTGACAATAGTTTAGCATTTGTTGACCCTTTTATAAACCATAACAATTCTTCTACTACTGCCTTCCAAAATACTCGTTTTGTAGTTAATAATGGAAATATACCTACAATCGATTATCTTAATCTCATACTATATTTAATTACAGGAGGGTATGTTACTTCTTACAGAAATACAAATTGTTCTGTTCATTCGTAAGTTAAGTTTACCTACTGTCTCTTAAACTAAATCGCATATGGGCTCCAAAAATAGACAATGTTCCCACACCAGTGCGATCATCCCTTTTCGCTCCTTCTTTAATGATCTTGCCAATTAAATGTAAATATTGATATTCTTCGTGTTGCTTTTCACTTTGAACATGTCTTAATTCAGTCTGTTTCTCGCCCATAATTTAAAAAGAAATATCAGTACAACCGAGATAATGTATAAAAGTAACGTAAAATAAGAGCTGTTCAAAAATGAACGTCAACGCAAGTACGAAGCACGTTTTATTGGACGATTGCACGCCTTTCTCGGACTTCTTCTCTCTTCTTCCCACCTTTCCTGCCTTTTTCTCGCCAATTCTTCATTAATCTTTAGGGTGCCTTTTCACATGAAACTATTGTAAATCATGATTTTTTAGTGCCACGATAAAAAAGGACATAACTTCGGTCACCGTGAAAACTAAAAATTGGCAGTGTTATAATCCGATGTCACCCAGTATCGTGACAGTAAATTGCGTGAAAATGTCTAAGACAGAAGTGTGACGACATAATTGTACCAAAGGCCATTGACTTTTAATATCACGTGGAAACGCTTCTTATATACGTCATTCCACCACTCGGAAGACTTTACACGCGATAGTTCAGGTTGTGTTTTATCTGTCTTGTATCGTTTCTCGCTCGTTTTCAGTCTCTCTGACTCACTCCCATTTTATCTTTTTCTTATCTTTGCAACAGTGTGGCCAGATTTGGCGTAATTGAACTGTCAGATACTTCGGAATTTTTAGCGCTATGATTAAAATACTTATCGCTTTATATGAAAAAATGTGTAGAAAAATGGATGAAGAAGTTAATTAGATATTAATTAGATTCGAATAATATTTGGAGCAGTTATAAAGTGTGGCGCGTATATGGCCGCACGATGGCGCTTTACGGGAGAGTGGTCGACCGTAGGGGAACCCCAAATGTATATTAATACCGAAACAGTTGTATCACTTTCACTGTATGATTTATTGACATGAATATTATTATCGGACCACATAAGGGATTATAAAATTTTAGAATTTATAAAAATTAAGAAATTAATGGGAAAAGCAGAAGGGAATGTAAATAAAAAACATGGAAAATATGTCTTATAATTTTGAGTTTGTATTAATATACACAAATACAAATTTATGAATTGTAATCTATTAACGAATCTTTTGAACCAATATTCAACCGATCAAAGCTCTGAGCAAAAGCTAGTTTAGGAGCGAATGTAACATTTTTATTCAAACTGTTCAAACATTTCAGCAGATTGAATTTTTTCAAGCTTGTGGGTAATTAAAATAAATAAAATGTCACTATACTTTTTCTACAAAAAATAGTTTTATTGTTATTTAAGTTATAACATCAGAGTGTTATTAAATATCAGTTTTCTTTAATTCCGCTATTTTACAATGCGATATACGTACAAAAGAAAAACTTTGTATCCTCGTTACTGGTAATCGTATCAATTCAAGGAAAACCGAATGAGCCAAACATGGAAGGGTAGTAATAATTTATGAAACGCACTGGTTTAACCATTCGCCAAGATTCGATTCGTATTTACAATTTAAATACACAGAGAAAAAGTGGCCGCTAGTTTCGGGAAAATGCTATGCAAGTTGACATAGAAAACGGACTATTCAAATATTCTGAATAAACTTCGAATACTACCATTGCGATCGTTGAATAGAAAATTAAGTTTAAACAAAAAAGTAACGAACTTAAAAATTTCAATTTTTCGCATTATTCAAATGCTACGAATATCCAGATATTTAATCAATATACAAAATATTCAATTATTCGAATGGCTAAGGATTCGAGGTTTATTCGTCGAATGTTTGAATATAAAAAATTCGACAAAGTAGTCTCAGCTCTAGTTTGATACCGAAAAGATAGGAAGAATTTGTGTAACTGCAAGAAATATCCTTCTCTACGTTAACGGATCACGAATGAATATTACCGTAATATGTACATCAATCGGACGTAGTTATCAAAGACTGTGCGTCTAACAAGCTTTCGGTAGTTAAAGTGGAGCTATTCATGATTGGCGCGCTCACTGTGTTTCCAGACTTTTCATTCGAGAACGGATAAAAACTATCAATATTCATTTGAACGGAATAGCTGTTCGATTTGTCGACCGGTGAACTGCAATTACCATTTATGCACATCTTCAACTTATTCACGTCATTTCGTAATAATCTTGCGTAAAGCTCTATGTGATTATGTCCGCCGTTACGGATTTCCAAAGCGGGTATCCAACGAAAATAACACTGTGTCCATAATTCTAAGCTAGCTATATTATACCGGGGCTTTATTATGGTCTTTTTTGTTGCGTCAGATTCGCAAAAATTGTATAGAGGATTATAGAACAGTAAAATGTCCTGTTCGCTGAATTGTTCCCTCCAGTCCCAGACGCTCCGATAAACAAGAAGAGGTTTACTTGGTTCCTAAAAAATATTTTATTCTTAAAATTGCACGTTCATTCAACGAAGAATACTGTAGTATTTTGAAGAGCTTACTGTAGCTGCCGCCACCCGATCTTTCTCGCAATTAAAAATGAACGTATCAAAAATTGAAACGTGAGCAGCATCCCACAATGTTGTCAGGTACGTTTCCGTGAACTCGAATTCTCCGGGAAATTGTTGACTTAATTGCCAGACACAATCCAAATATAGAAGTAACAGCGGAGACTATGGAAAGAGAAAAGAATTTTGCGCGTTAAAGTTCGTAAACCAAGAAAGCAATTATTGTTTACGATTGAATTTAACACACTTTTTCCGAATTGCTCTTAGCAATATGACCTAATCTATCACAGAATGGATGTCCACCGGCAACCCATTCCTTTTGCAACAACGACTGAAACCCATTTATGGTTCTAAAATAAGGATCCAGTAGCAATTGGACTAAGCTCGATACAATACAACATATATCTGTGCCAGCACCTTCTGAAAATCAATCTGTTTAAAATGAGAATTATAAAGAGCAGTACATTGTGATTACCTTGTAAGATAACAGAACGTTCTAGATGAAGGTGTTCGCAAGCTTCAACAGCTTTTTGCAAACAATATGATACACACTTTAACCACTTCGTATTCTCTACCAATGAATAGAAATTATTATCCTGCAGCCAGAATTGCCTAATATTTTCTGAAATGAGCAGAGTTCGTAAGATTGTCAAATATTTGTACTTTGAGCGTATTTGCGGCGTACTAAATGAAATTCACCTGGGGAGCACAGATTAGCAAATTTTGAGAAGGCTACAGCTATAAATTTTACACTAACGTGTTTATTTAATTCTAAAACAACCGGTTCCCGTTTTCGTGGGTGACTTTTGCGAACGTTCTCAAACATAATATTTTCTTGCATTCTCTTAGTAGCCAACAGCGAAAGCTCGGACATTTTAACTAATGCTGCACCATGTATGCTCGACCAAGACCAAATTGGTGGACGGTTGCCTTGGAAGTGCATAGCTGCGACCATTAGCTGACTATCGGTAATGGATGCGGGTACAATTATATACCGTGACAAGCTGTAAATAAATTTGTTGCTCTCTTACACATTATTCGAAGCGTAAATAGAGGCTTTATCGAACGCAGCATTTACCTACGACAGAGCTTGAAGTCTACATTAGCAGTAGACAATCTCCAAAATTTTCTATGTTTCTCATTACTTATAGTTCGTTCTAATTCGTTAATCCAATCTGACAAGTCTCGAAATAAACGAACACCTTTATCAAGGCTGCTATAGTACGCTTCTCTGAAACATGGAAATAGAAAAAATGAATTAGTTTTAGATATATTATTCGGCACATTTTCTATGAATTGTACTAGATATCAACCTGTAATCATAAGCAAATAATAATTGGTGTCTACTGGGGAAAGCGTGATGTAACAGTGCCCGCAACAGCTTTTGCCCGTCTCCAATGGGTGAAAATTTAAAAGAAAAGGACCATGTTCGTAAATTCTAAAATTCATAATGTATCATACACTTTTAGTAATGCATCATATTAAATATTATGCTGTCAATAGTATACACATGAATAATTACTTTACAAATAATAAATATCCCTTTTACTTTAGATGGTACAGTATTGCCAGGTACCAGTCTCCTTTTCTTATCACCTTCTGTTATATAAATATCTTCAATGTTTGTTAAACATGTATCCATATATCCGTAAAGATGATTCTGTTGACGAGCTACATCCTGTAAAGAAAATATCCTTTCTTTTAAATTGTATTCATTATTTAACAAACAATTCTAAACAGCGATGTGTTAAGAAAACAATGAGTTAAATCGTATTTAAGATTTACTTACTTCTCCGCTTGTGTCGTCGGTTGTAATAAATGTAAGCTTAAAATTTGTGACCGATAGGATGCCGGACGTTCCTTGCTTCAGAGCGCTGACGGGCGAGAACATGAGAACACTTTTTGCTCCAGTGATGAAAATCTCACCAGGTAGTAACTTGATATTGTTTTCGGACAAAGAATTACGTCGACTAGAACCCAGTGGCTGTACAAAATATCAACGGACCGTGCATTTCAAAGAAAGATATTTACAATATCTGCAATTGAGGTTATGTCCTAATGTTTACATGAAAACGCAGCTGGCAATTACCTGCATCTCGTGTTCCTCGAGGCCCACGTAGCTTATAAAATTGTTGCAGCTTTTGCTTTCCATCGCGAACGTTTGAATGATTGTCGTCGACCACGTCGAACTAGAACCATAGAAACAATATCCCTTGGCACTCGTGATTCTGCTTAATTTCCTTTTAATTTCATTCTCGCACGATCGTAGATTATTTATTGTGAATCGAAGTCAAGACATTTTTGAGTTCACAATTAAAAGATCACTTCCCGACCAGGAACAAAATCGCGATACCATATTCTCTTGTGCGATTCATCCTGAATAATTTCTTTACTTCTTCCTCATCCGTACCTATCGTGCTCTGTTCATTGCTAGACCTTGAGGTTGCGTTCATTCGCCGCGGGTAACGCCGTGAAATATCGTTATCGTGTAACGTGGAGTTTGTCACTTAGCCTACAGTCACACGCGAGCGGTGCGTTTCTATGGTTTTCCTTGCTCGCGATTGAAACAACCAAGCAAACATAGGAACGCCGGTCTTGTCTGTCTTCGTTGTTTTAATTGCTAAATAAGGAAAAACATAGAAACGCAACGTCAACGAACCGCTCGTGTGAGTCACACGGTGTTACCCTAGCAGAGATGGAGCCCCGGGTGCACCGAGGTCACCTCATTCTACTTTCTTAACTATGCCAGATCACACGTATGTACAGTAATCCGCTAACTTGAAATCTCGCTGGACGGCACAGGGGCAAAGAGCATTCCTTCTGGGAGACTTCAAGTCAGCGGAGGACTGTACGTGAACTCATAAAATTTCGGAGAATCGACAAAGGCAAACTGACACATGTCCGTCTGACATCTCTGAACCCTAGTCTTAAGAAAGAACAGTATCATTAGTCTTGGATAGAGATGGCGTGTAAAACTTATCACAGTGAAGTCAAGTTTGAAATGTACAAATAATAAATATTTATTAAATAACAAATATAAAAATGAATGTTATCAATATCATTTACAAAATGTTCTTCCTTTTTTTTTTTATACAAAATGAAAAATACAATGCATTTTGTTTATGTTCATAAACCGTAATTATCATCATTCTAATATTTTCAATAATTCTCCTTTTAGTCAATAGTAAGGATGTGCAGAATCCCGAAAATTTCAACAATTCATGTAGCTAAGATAAAATCAGGTCGATTCACATTTAAAAGATTCAATATGATCATTTCAGGTCCGGGATCTTGCACATCCCTAACCAAATTACAATAATTAATAAAGGACACTTAAGTTCGAACCGCGTCTCCTATCTTCTAAATGAGCCCGAGCTATTTCTAATAGCTGCGGTCTCTGCAACAGATTGTAAGCGACAGAAAGCATATTTAACGCTTTGTTTTGAACAAAAGGAACACCGCAAGAGAAAAGATCGTGGCCCAATTCTAAGCATGTGCCGAAATCACATTCGTCAGCGGCGATCGTTGCCAACCTTATTACTTCCTCAAGCTTCGACATCGGTGGTTTCTTCGCTTCCGACGTTGAAGCCTGCTCTATTTGTTTCAATATTTTATCTAATTCGTCTAAAATACACAGATTAAATTAAATCAGTTATATACTGTAAACGAAGTCATAAATGTTGAACAAAAGTTTGTTTCAGTTGCAACTTACTATTAGTTACAGCTAAGTCTCTATATCCTATTTCAGTTTTGCTGTCATATGGTACTACAATACCAGCTTTGTGAAAAGTACTTGCAACAACCTCCTTCTTTCTAACCAGCATACTATTTGTCTGTTTGTCCAATGTTATATTCTTTTCTTTGGCATAGTTTCTCAGCTTTTGATGTAGCTGTGCTATCCGGATCTTTTGAAATGGATTAGCCAGTTTCAGTTTCTCTTCTATATATATGCTATAATGATTAGTTAAAAATATCAATTGTAATGCTCCTTGAATAGATTCGGTTTGAAAATTATTCCAAATTAACAGAATTCTTACTTGACAGAGCCAAAAATATTTTCCGCAACAGGTTCAATTATACAATTTACATTTGCTTTGTTCTTTGCTACGAACACAGGCTTCTCCAAACTATCGTCTCTCCAATAACCAAAATGCAAATTATCTTTGTCATCAATTTTAATAACAGTCTGTAAAAGAATTGTGTAAATATTCACAAATGTTTAGATAACAAAGAAAGATATTTAATATTCTTACTTGAAATTCTGCTGGATCATAATAATATCTCCAGTGCCTCAGCAATGCTTTTTTATCACTAACATTAGAACTTAAAAAATCATCCTTGAACACATCATAGGGACCCACAAGTTGCAATTGAAGATTTTTTAATGCATTCAAAGGATCCGTTTTAGAAATGCTCTTACAAAATTCAAAAAATTGAAAGAAATCTTCTGGCATTTCAGTGAGAAACAAGCATGAAATAACTGTTTGCGCATCACTTGGAAGTAATTTGCCACTTTCAATGTTAATATTGCAATCTTTTAATAATGATGTAATGGTAATTCGATTAACTGAATGGTTTACAGACTCTGCCAACTCAGAATTCGATACATCTTCTGTGGTTTTGATTTTTTTATCATCATTGTTTGCAGTATTATCAACAGTGGACACAATGCTTTCATCAGTCATATTATCGTGTATCTTCTGCACTTTTTTCTTCTGAGAATCGTTTAATACTTCACTGCTGTTCTTTTTTTTCGTCTTTCTGTCATCTTGCGTTTTCCTTTTTTTTGAATGTTTTGTAATAATTTGCTTTTTCTACAAATTATTAAAGCAAAAATTTAGATAGAGAATTCTTAAGTAAAACGTAGGTTACAAACGTTAATAGAAAATTAACAGTAAAACATGCACGTAGTGCAATGTTGTAAATAAAATATGAACAGTAGTTACGAATTCGTACAACGTGTTCTGTAGGTGGATGTTTGTATATTTTGTGGTGAACAGGATTCTTTTGGTAACATTCAATTCCATATCGACAAGGGATCCTACTATCTTCTTGGTAGGTTTTATGTTGATCATTTTCGTTATTACACATCTTTTCGGTTAGATTTCGCGAAAAAAATTACAAAATAAAAATTAAATAAAAACACAGCTAAAAGTATAAAATAAAACCACTCCTTCCAAGTACTGTATCAATAATTGTAATGTTATGAGGACAAACGAAAAGTTAAAGTAGAGCGTAATGCATATCCCTCTATTGGCGAGTACGGCAGATGTCGCCACAATCTGCTGATGAGCTGTATCATATAGCGTCTCAATCCTGCAATTGAAAAAAATGCATCTAACATGCTCTGTATTATCCTCAAATAGAAGGAATCGATGCCTTCGATCGTATCACAGACGTCGTATACCTCATTCGTGATCGTACGATGCAATCTTTGAATATGTTACAGCGCCAAAACAGCAAAATAAAAAAATACAGTTCTCAACATTTTATTACTGAAACTTCCCATTGCACATATACATTATTCTTACAAATTACTCTGCTGCATCTACACGAACGTTACATCTAGATACATTAATAATATTGTATAGAAATATTACAAACAGGTACAAAAACTACACTACATTCTTATTACATGATATCTTACTTTTAATTACGGATTACAAATTGCCATCATTTGCAGGAGATTATCTTCCGTGGCGATGTTACGGTATTTATCGGGTTCTGGACATTGACCCTTTATTTATAAACAATCTGAATCACCGAAATTGCAAAACTGAAATTTGTAACTCTACGATACACATAATAAAACATTAGATTAAAATTTTTTGCCTCCGTGAAAACAATCGTCAAATTTTTGAATGTTAAGTCTCTCGACCTTCTATGTCTATACAATGTTAAAGATTAATATTTCTTGAAATGGAACGCAGATTCTGCAAGATTGATTCTTTGATTGATCGATCGTATCAATGTTCATCGCAATGGATACTATTTGTGCCTACGTACAGTGTTCATCTCGTTTCTTTACTTGTAAATTAATTATTGATCCTTCAGCTGCTAGAAAAAAATTAATTTCTCCATAGATACATCTTTTTTTATCTTGCAAAACGGAAACTGTATTTCAATGATCGAATTTCATGGAAAGAAAGAAATCAAACGTAACGAGTAATTGTATTTAATTGCTTAATTGTTTTTTTTTAAATGTTAAGTAATCATTAACATCGGGATGCATATGTTTTCTGCACTTATGACATTAACGCGTTTTTAAACAAGTCTCGCAACTGAAGGATGATAGTAAAGACTTCTTCATGTAACATGTAAAGTAAATAAAGGAGCTTAATGCTTGTATCAGTTCTAGTCGATCGTGTATAATTAACAATAACCATAGGAGGTGGCAGTGACATTTCAGGGTGGTTGGTTCTTCCCGTTTATCGTACGCAAGGTTGTTACAGTAAGAATTTAAAATAATATGAAAAAGAAACACCATCCTCGCAACCTCAATTCTCTTAAAGACAGTTCATAGTACTAGTATTGATTCATTTAATATTACGATACACTTTTTTATTCACATTCTAAGTCTTTACATGTCTCTATGGCTATAGAGAGATCATCCGACCAAAGAATAAATTAAAAAATGTACAATTTGAATGTTAATTAATTAATACTTTGTGTACATTTCTCCCTAATACGATTCCTCTACCTTAACAAAGTTTCTCGATTCTCTATTATTGCTAACAATTTTGGTTTTCAAAGGGCAGTACTTCGATTTCACTCGAAAGAGATCAATTGGATTCTCCGCTCAAAAAGTTTCAATAATCTCCTAAATAATTTTGCCGAAGACGATGATTTTTGAAAAAATTCAATACCCTTATTATGCTATGAAGAAAAATTCAGACGTATCACCGGTTGTACAGCTTACAGATAATCAATGCGAATACTTTTACTGTAATGGTAATTCTTTTTAACGAGGATTCAGTTGCTTGAAGGTGATCACTTTCTTGGTAAGAATTTTTCTGTTACAAGAATTTATTTACTATCGGATTTGCGCAGCACCTCTTCCTTAAAATGCATTTAAAAAATATGTCCACATCGTTATTATTATTATGGCATTCTTCAAGGTATACACGAGCCAAGGTGCTAACACCAGAAGCATTTCAAAGGATAAAAGTTATCAGGTTTACTGAACATTGTACCGTGAGAAATACTTGACAGGAGAACGTTTAGTTTCTTAAGGGCGGTGGTCCACCCCTTCGTCGAGATCAGATAACGCAACAAAATTCGCGACTACCTACATTAAATCGTTAAAGCAACAACGTGATTTTACGGTTCTGGACCAAAGTATCAAAAGCTCACGAAGTTGCTTTATACATTAGTCTACGAAAGGCTAGATTCATTTTTTTTTTTCATTTTTTTTTCATTTAAACTTAAACATCTATTCGAAAGCCATCGGGCGTTTATTTGGAAATGAAAAAGTAGATATTTACAGGATCTATACAAAAAGAAGGAAGGGGAAAGGGAAAGGCGTCCTTTAAACGAAATCTTACAAGATAATTCAACGCGAAAGAAGAAACTTACATATTAAACTTAAGACAGGCTCTAAAATACAGATTGGTCCCACGTCTCAATTTCTTCCTTTTTTTTTTTTTTTGTTCATTTTGCGTTTTATAAAAAGAAGAGTAGCCTTTGTACACCTTAAAGCAACATCCTACCACGCAGCACGTCTGCGCGAGACAAAGCTACGCTATATACTTGTTTGTAAAACCAGTTTGTAAAAAAGATGATGCTCGATCGTGTTTTATTTGCAGGTTTCGAATCTACCTCTGAACGCGTGTTTACTTTGTCAGAATATATTCTTGTTTTCTTTTTTTCTCTCTGCAACGCAGCCAATTGAAAAAGAAAAAAAAGGAAAAAAAATACACTCACCCGTGACAAAAATAATGGAGTCACGGTTAAGCAGGATACAAAATATTTTGAAATATCGCTAAATGCATTTCTTTCAAGATGTTAAAAGAAAATTGATCCAACAATGAATTGAAGTCCCTATCGCTTATTTACAATTTTACAACGCATACCGTGTACGGTAAAATGTTTCAAAAACCACTATATACGTCGTTATGGTTAACTCAAAAACTTCACGCTCGATTCTTCCTCGGGTTTCCCTGGTATGTATAGAATTTTGGCGACGCACAATTGTCACTTTAAAAATCGTACATTACTTTTGGTACGTTATTATAACCTTAAGTCGTACGAAAAGACAGAATATACATATACAATGTACTCTGCGCTTAATTAAAAGAAAACAAATAATTCCATGCTCGATGCGAAAGTTACCTTAGCTCCACTGGCCTAAAAAATTCAATTCGAGGAACGTTTCAACGTTACATTTAAATAAAAGCTAGAGAAGCAACAAATGAGACGGAGAAGTAAAAAAAAAAAAAAAAATATATAAGAACGATCTTAATCGTCGGGAATTTGAAGAACATATTTAAATCAGGTATACGATATTCCCAACCGTACCTACGCTTTTAATATGCTACAAAATTTTACAAATTCAGATCCACTCTACATAGCTGTCGCATCTTTGTACTCTCTACCTGTTCATAATATGAAAAATCTAAGTAACTCCACTCATTTGTCTGTCAGGTATATAAACGCGGAAACATTTACAATTAATCACTTAGTCCAGCAATGTATAAAAAAGTATAATACATCAGTCTGGCCAGTTGCTGACCAAAATACTTATCGACCTACGTTACCTAACGTTTTATATTTATTTTTTTTTTATTTTCTTATTCATGTTCACAAGACCATGAACAACGATCGTCTTTCATTTTATGCTATGCGTATTCATCATCGAATCGTCGAATCAACTGTATAAAAAATTGTTCGAAAGAGAATTATACGATTGTACCTGTCATGAGTTAGTTAAAAAAAAAAAAGTTCCACGGTGTATGCAGGCTTTTGCAAATTGCGACGAAATATAATTGTTGCTGTCGATGGAAAATACTTGATACAGAAGCGCTCTTTTAAGAAGATTAAAGAAAACTATCAGAGCTTAATAGTCGTAGAGTTAAAAAGCGATCATAACTAAAAATAAAATAAGGATTTTCATGGCTACACAACGACCAAGGTCCTTCCTCTTCATATGTAACGCAAGAAATAAGGGTAATAGGTAAACATATTACCTATAATGTTTGTTCTACAATTAAGAAACTTAAAAGACTTAAAAGAAATGGATGGACCCCGTTTCATTGATCTGTTATGCGTATTCGAAGGACTCCTATACCATTGATCTAGAGAGTTATCTAGAAGCCAAGAATCTTTGTGTGAAACTCATAATGACGGGTCTCTCGATTGAACGTTCGTAGAAAAATAGAAAAAATGTGCAGCTTTATTATAAAATAAATTCTATCGATCAAGAGGCTTCTCGATACTCTCTTCGAGGATCGTTTCCGTCGTTACACGAGTCCTTCTTATTTTGTATTTTAACCCTGACACGTTGTTTTCTATTTTCTCTTATATGTAGGTACACAATTTATGCAGAGTATGAAAGAGAAACCGTTTCAGTTTCGATCTTCACCCGTGTATCTACAAATGAACAAGAATTGTCTCTGCAGGGCAGTAGGCTCAAATACTTAAATAAAAGATTGAAAAGGGCAGGTTAGCGACCATAAAAAATCCTTCCAGCGTATCAAATATTCACCACGAAGCAATCCTCGATCATTTTTGTGTACTCGCATATTCATTTACGCCTATGGATACATATAAAACTAGGAATTCGCGGTTAAGACTGTTGAGTTATCTTAAACTCAATCTATCTTAAGAAAGGAGCCATTTCCTGCTCCGGCTCGCAAAAGAAGAGGCGTTTTTCTTCTTGAAGTGGTTACAGGTTGATACACGTAGTTCCCCTGTATCGCTCCAGTCAACGTTTTCTGTCTTTTCGTGCTAGGGCTGAGCTCGTACTCGAACGTCTCCCGTTTCGAGATATTCAGCTGCATGTGTAGCGAGTCTTTATTATCCTCTATATCTATTTCGTCGTAGAGGTGTTCCACGATGTCTATATCACAGTCCTGGCTGCTCTCATCGTAACTGTCGGTCACAGAGTTCGCGGCTATGTGACTGTGGATGGACTCTTCGTACGTCGTGCTCTCTTCGACAGCTTCGTCACCCGAGCTTTCTGTTTCCTCGGACATATCTCCGCTGCCAGCGTACTTCATCTCGCCCCTCTCTAACAGTTCCAAGTGATCCGGATAGATCATCGCCTTCTTGATGGCCAACGGATCTTTCCTGGACCATTTTTGAACCTCCTCGTCCATTTTCGCCACTTTGGCGGGGTTGATGGCCCACAGGCAGCCCTTCCTCTGGTTCCCGTTCCCGGCTGGCTTTTCTATCTTCTCGAAACATTTGTTCAGTGACAAATTATGTCTCACGGAGTTCTTCCAGCCGTTCGGTGCGGTCTTGAAGTAAGGAAAATGCTCGCTGAAAGAAGACAGAGAATGGTTAGCATGCTAGAACGGTCGCACCGCAGGTATATTTCATTAGAAGGGTTCCATTAAAATGGTGGTTCAACGTAAATGTGGTATATACAGTTAGTCAATTTGAGTCCCTGTTAGAAACAGAACGTTTGAAATAAATAAACAACTTTTGCTTACAAACGTATATAGAAGTTAGTTTACGAATCAATATAAAATATTATTATATATTATTATATAATTTTGCAAATCCTAAAACCCTTCTTTTAACACCCTGCATTGATAATGAAGATCAATGGTGAAAAAAGAAGAAAAAAGAAATAATCATTGTAAACCAAAAATTCCGGTTACAATTTCGTTTCCAAAGTATTATAACGATAGCGCTAGGCGAGTTACAGAGAGGGGAAACGGCAGCTAGTTAAACAAAGAGCGTGTTCCGCATTTTCTATGGGGATTGTACCCTTGGCATGCACCTGGTGTTCCAAAGGCCCCATACAAAATGGCAGCTTCCCCCCCGTTGCAACCTGGGAATAAAGAAGGGACGACAATACTTTCTCCCCTCGTGGCCTAAGCACCGGAGGGCTTCAACCAGCCCTTATCCTTCCGGCCAAATGGTCGAAAATAAGCGAATAGGTCGGCGACACGTCGTTTGTCAAATAAGAATCTCTGGCTATAATGTTCGCGACATATCAACAAAATATTAATCATGCTTCAACCTTTTTACAAAAGGTATTTTTTTTTTCATAAATTATATTTTCAACGCTCGATTCGTCACATTTTTTAAATATCCATTCTTTGATTTTACGCGTTTGAGAAAAATTCTTAATAAATGGTTAAATAATCGATGAAAACCGTTGCTTAAACTTCATTTAAAAATTGACATCTTTTTATTTGTTGAATGTAAGTTCCTGCTTCACGCTGCGTTCATAATTCTTTCCAAAACAACAGATGGACTTCAGGAATCGACTGTCAACTTACCACATGAAATTATAGATTTCCGAGACCGGTAGGGACCCTGTTTGGCTGTTTTTCAACGCCATGGCGATCAAACAGGAATAAGAGTAAGCCGGTTTGGGGTAGAGTTTGTCGTCGTAGTCCGACAGGTCAAACTCCTTCTCCCTTTTCATTGCGGCAACAGTGGTCGTTCCTGGACTAACGTGCACGTTGTTGTTATAAATCTGTTTACGCACGTGATGCGGAGTTTGGCTCGGACTGTGCAACACTTTGAAATTTTGCACTTTGATACTGGACACGCCGTTTATTTTGGGGGTGGTCTGCGCCCTCGTAAACTGAGGGGAGATCGTTTTCGCGGCCGAAATCGAGATTGTTCTCGATTTAGACGGTGTCACCGGTTTCGAGATTTCTTGTTCATCCTCGGAATCCTCCTCGGTATCCGTAATGTCGTTCTCGTACTGTTCAGTCTCGGTATCGTTCTCTATGTCGTTTTCCTGCTCATTCTCGTTATCGTTATCGTTCTCGTTCTCTGTGCAGCTGCTGGCTTCGTTCTCCGCCTCGTCCTCCACGTCGATCTTCTCTTCCTTCATGTCTCTCTTGGGCGAGAACGAGAAGTTCCTCCTGGCGTTACACGGTGTTGGACTCCGGACTGCCATGTGAGGCATGACCGAGTTAGGGTTCACCATAATCGAGGCGGCATCGCCTCCGCTGAGATCAAGGTTGAAGTTGCTGGAAGAAAAGACTCGAGTCAGCCAAGGGGAACTTTGTTCGCCACGAACTGAATATAATTTTATTTATTTTTAAAAACTGCAAATGAGTTCTTTTTTCTTTTAAACAGAATACCATAATTGAATCTCAACGCGCATTTACAATTTCAAACAATTAAATAAACACCTGTTTGAACTATTGCTGTTGCCATTGAGTAAACTGGTGGACCCAAACCATCCACTGAGATCATTATGGCATCCAATAGGATCGTCGTCCATCTCTAGGCCGGACATGTCGGTAAAATTAAAGCCCAGCTCCGGGTGACCACCGATAACGCCTTCGATCTCGCATTTGATGTCGACGTCAAGCATCTCCTGGAGCGAGAGACTGTCCGTGCCGAGGTAGTAATCCATCGTGAGCCAAGGGTCCCTTGTCGGTCCCTGATCCAGCCCAGTACCGTGTCTACTCTCCGTATCCAACATTCACCTGACTGAAATTAAAAGACATCAGTGAGACATTTTGAAAAACTCAACTAACCAGAAAAAAATATTAAATTAAATAAATCTAAAAATATTAGATTTTAACTCCCAATATTTTTTAATCGATAATGAGCACATTTGCTTTACTACAACAAATGTGAGTACATTAGAGAGTTCCGTTTCTATTAAAAATGCAGTTGCATTTTTTAGATGTATTGATATATGAATATATATAAAATTATATTCAGATTGTGCACCATTCGATACAGTCTAATTTTGCCTCATGACATTTTTGCCAATATCTGGCACGGTTGGCTATTCTTATTTTATGGCAGAAGTAGGTACACCTAAATTGTCGGTAGTTTTAATGTTAAGGCAGAATGTGGAATTGTTAGAGCAGAAATCTCACGCGAAATGCATTCGAACGTTACCAGTTTCCGATCGAGACGCGTTACAATTTTATAATTGCTATATCACTGCTTGACGGATAGAGTCGGTTGCGTTTTATTTCCACCGTTCATGGAAATTGCTTTATCCAGGCAGTCTCGAAATATCGGTTTCATTAAAACTCGGTTTCTCGTCCATCGATCATTTTTACATGGACGTCCGACCCCGCTTTATCGAGTTTAATATTCTGCCTGGACAAACTGCAGTTTGCAACTTGGCTCGCTGAGAACAGTGGTTAGATTACCTTCCACCCACGGAAATATTAGCGAAACAACACGCATCGACATTCATTACTGAAAACGTCGCTGTAAAAGTCAAGCGTTGGCAATGACCCATCCGTAATTAATGACTTATTTACCAGCAATTTAGTCTCAAAAGCAGTATAATCGTTTTTTTTTTTTAATTCTACACATTGACGTGTTGCTTTCTATTATTTCTTAAATATCATTATCAAAATTATTATCATACTTATTAAAAATAGTTCCTATAAGAATTTCGCCCACTCTATTATAGACATTGTAAATATATCACACGTAAATTTATTCACATGACCGATACCGTCATTAATATTTTTCTTGGAAAAAACGTTCTGATGAATTTCGATGATTTTATCGGATCTAAGGATCATCCTCACGATCTCTCGCGGGCAAGGCCAGTAGATTCTCGACCGTGTCCGTACGCGTGACCTCGCGCGCGCGCACACACGCACATACCACACGCACATCAGCGTGTTAGTGTACACAGAGAGTGTGCAGGAACGTGCAACGAGGATCTTGAACCCACAACCGGCTTGTGGGTGTGACTGACTCATAGTACTATAGTCGATTTACTATAGGAGCCGCGTGGACTCTCGTAGTATCTGTCCCCTCCTCTTCGTTCCCCCCTTCCATGCTCGTTACACGCTCTATCTCTCTTCAATCCCCCTAGCTCCGTCTTTGTCACGTTCGAGGCTCTGTATTCCGAAGGGAACAACCACTGTTGTGTTGCGCTCTTTGATCCTCCTCCATTCTCCATCGTCGTAGTCGTTTGTCTCTTTCTTCTGTACTCGGTATCCCCGGCGTTTTTATTCGCCAAACACTTTTTCCACGTCTGTTTCTTCGTACGTCTGATGTACTGCCCAGGTTTTCTAACTCCTTTGAAGTTCTCCACGACGATTCTGCACAGTTAGCGATCACGCTCCCTCCCGTGTTTCCGAAACCCCAACGCTTACCGATGTTCATCCTACGGATTGATTTTCCCTTCTGAAAATACTGTATCTAGGTCTTTGTTACTATACTTCTCTAATCCCTTACCACTCGTGCTAGAATCGGATCTAAAAAAAGAAAGAATTTCTTACGAACAACTTCATTTTATATCATAATTTTAATCTTGTTATTTTATTAAGCAGCGGAACGATCGACGATCAAAGTCATTGTCACCCCTTCAATATTTTTTTTTCTCCTAGAATCTCAATCATCTTCACACGGAGTCGTACATTTTCTTCCTTCCATTCTCCCGCTTCTCCCGGCCTTTCACCAAAGCTCCCGATATTTCTCTCTGCCCTTCGCGATTCTTCATTCTCTCGTCCTCACCTGGTATTCATTCTCCATTGCTTTCTATCTTTCCCTCTCTCTTGCGCGTTCGATATTTCTCTGTCACGAAGAATCCCTTGTTCCCTCTCTGTCCCGTTCCTCTTCTAGCTTGCGTGTTTCTGTCTCTGGTGGTTTGACGACTTCAGGAACGAGACTCCGGCAACCGTGGCCTACCGAACAGACTCAACTCGAGCTCACGTATGTGCAACACACGTTGCACCGCACCGGATGCACTACACCTACTACACACTACCGACCACCGAATTATCAGCTAGCGTAGAGAGAAGAACCGCGACTAATGCCGGGTGAAATTCTTATCTGGACACAAATTTCGAATAACGAATAAAAGATAAACAACCTGATATTCGAAACGATTTTCCTAAACATTTAAGATCGAGAATCAATTTGTTTGGTTCCTCGGTGAAAAGTCTCCGACACCCATATCTGGGTCAGTCGTTTGATCGCAATTTATTTGACATTATAGGTAATGTTCCATTAATGCGACTAAAATTAAGATAAAAGATCAAGCATGTTATTTTTCTGAACTTATATTCCCCCCTACATTGAATTGCATAAGAGAACCTTTATGCAATTCATTTTCTGGGTCACTCTGTAGCGAGCAAGTCAAGTAACTGTAATGTTATTGAATATAATAATCTACAATGCTAATTGCATGCTCTATTATGTCCTTTTATTCGCGTAGAATCGCAAGTATTCGAGTTAGCTGCTATCGCTTCGAAATTTATTAAACAGACAGTATTGCTCGTGTTTAATTGAAACGTTGTTCCGAAAATACACGGCCAACGTGGAAGGAAACAGGTCGGATTATCGGTCTCGGTGAAGAAAGAGAAAGACAAACAGAGAACTGACCCTGCTCGACGTAACTCGTATCGCGGAGTGGCCTTTATGCGCGCGAGACATTCAAGTCTACGTGACTGAACGATATTTTTAGACGTAAAAGCGTAATGGAACTCGGCACATAGAGATTCGATGCTATTTTATACGATCGCATTTTCTAACGCCCACGCCCCCCCTTTCCGGTCGGTTACAATCGACGCGGACGACCCAAAATGTTACGCAACTTTTCGCGAACGACGCGACAAATAAAAAAAGAATCGCCGATGCAAAGTTTCCGGGGAGAATTATATTCCCGAAGGTCGAGAAGCAGGAGCAACAGTTCACTCGTGCAACGTCATCGGGGCAATGTTCATGTAACTTGGTGTAAATGCTACTCCAACTACAAATGGCCTGTGCACGGGCCACGTTTACGGCGACCGTTCCGTGGAATCTGCGGTCAGATGCAATCGTGCATGTATGCATCGCTCTCGGTGCATACACGGCGAACGCGTCGACCTTTTTCGCCCCGACTAATCAAATTTTCGCGCATTTCACGATCCAATTCGAGGATCGTTCTTGCAACGAGCGTACTCGTTTTACACGCGATAACGAATTCTCACGCGATCTTCGTTTTTTCGCCGGAAACGGGAATAAAATCCGCGCTAATTACGACTGTGGTAATTCACTTGCAATCAGGCTCGATCGGGGCTATAACAACGATACCATACTACCGAAGCAGAGTCGGACAAATTTTATTCGTGGATAGGTTAATAATCGTTAAACAAATTTTGATTATTATTCTTATATGTTTTGCGTGGCACCTTTTGCACACCCATCAGAAACGGCCCTGTTCGTATTTACTACATTGTTACCCCTATTCATTAATAACTTCAACCAACAACTAATTGTGAAACGGCAACGAAATCATTGAGTAAAACGTCCGATTAACTAGACTGGCAAATCGAAAGTTCCTACGTGAATCGTCGATTCACAGGCATTTACAACTGCTACAACGAAGTGCAATTTTCACGGACTAATAACTGCAATGGCTACAACGGCGTGATCAAAACATAGTTATCGTTTTGGGTCATTCCGGCCATATCGTGAATAAATGGCGTACGTCTATCCGAATGGGATGGAAGCTTTTGTGGCGCGAGAAAAAAATGGAACTAGGAAATTAGAAAAGAAGAAGAGCAATGTCGGCGGTGGGTCGTCGACCCAGTGGCAAGCAACAAGCAGCAGCATTATATAAAACGGCTTTACAACGCGTGTGCTCTCGATAACTTAATCTCCTCGAATGAGAATTCGCACGCGAGAGCAAACAACAGAAAAAGAACAGATTTGAAATCCACGGAAAATAAATATACGCTTAATAATTCTTAATTGACCCTCGAAAGACCGAGCCACAAGTTGTCGCGTTGAAGACCAGGAGTGGGGGAGGTTCGTAGACCCCACCCACGTATTATATTTTCTTTATTGGAAAACGATTTTAAAACGCAAGCGTTACAGGGGGATTGAATTAAAGTGTATTAAATAATATGGATTTGTGTAAACATTAATTCTATACGCATGAATGATTTTTGGAAATACTCTATACAGAATAAATATTTCAAAAGTTCTGTCTATTAATAATCGCCCTTTTTCTCTATAGTCATTCCAAGATTCAACGACGCCCCCGACACGCAATGCAATGCAGTTTCAAATTCGACCCAATTCATGGTTTGCTTGGAACGGAATTACCAACAAATCAAATGCATAAATATTCTCAACATACTGGATATCTCGTTGAACAGCAATGACATCCCCAGTTAGGGTGAACAGAAAGCGGAAGTGGCGAAAGCAAAGAGACGAGGTGCAGGAGGGGGGAGAACTAAAATATTTAAGATGCACGGAGATCATGCACATGCGCTCGACCCGTTTCACTGGGTAATCGGTCTTTCACCCGCGAGACCTCGACGAATAACAACCTTGGGTCCTTGGCCGCTTTATTTTCGTCTGTTTTCGAGTCTGGCGCTGCCTAAACGTTTCATGCACTCCGTCTCGCGCGCCCACGACGTCTGGTTGCATCAAATGTCTGCTCCGTTTTTCCTTCCTGCTCTCTCTACCCTCGCCACGACTTCTTTTTCGCGCTATAAGAATTTTTATTCAAAGAACGA